CTAACTAACCCTAACTAACTAACCCTAACCCTAACTAACCCTAACTAACCCTAACTAACCCTAACTAACCCTAACCCTAACTAACCCTAACTAACCCTAACCCTAACCCTAACCCTAACTAACCCTAACTAACCCTAACTAACCCTAACTAACTAACTAACTAACCCTAACTAACCCTAACTATCTAACTAACCCTAACTAACTGAATACTCGTCGTTACTTATTTATTAATAATTATTAATATACTTTACGAAAACGACGACGTTAAACGGTATTTAATTAAAAACGAGAATATTTATTTAAATATTAACGTTTAACGATAAATAATTTAAACGTATTTAATACTTTTAAACCTTATATTACGTCGGTAATTAACGGACCGGACTATTATATAATATAAAAGATTATAAAATAACTCGTATATAAATTAACGGACTATCGTATTTAATTAAAAGACTAGTTATAACTTTTAATAGTTTTTATTCGAGTAAGAGTAAAAAGATTAAAGGAAGTTACGAAACGAAATAAAACCCTAGTTTATTAAAAAAAGAAGAATAATTATTATAATCGATTCGTAACCGAAAACCACGAATTAAATAACTAAACTTACTTAATAAAATACGGTATAACTAGTCTTTAACCACACGTTAATACTACGTTAGTAAAAAGCCTTTCTTTTTAAATAAAAGGACTCCTTTCTTCCCTTTAAAAAGAAGGGGTAAGAATTAGTCTTTGTTATAATACACACTTACCTTCGCCCTCGAAACTAATACTTTTTATTAACTAATCTATTATGAAGACCTATCCTACAACCACTTATAATATTAATTAATAATATTTAACCTTAATTAAATATTTAATCGAGATTAGTAATAGTATTTAACCTTAATTAAATATTTAATTAAGGTTAGTTAGTAGTGTTTAACCTTAATTAAATATTTAATTAAAGTTAGTTAGTAATATTTAACCTTAATTAAACATTTTATTAAGGTTAGTTAATAGTATTTAACCTTAATTAAACATTTAATTAAAGTTAGTTAGTGGTGTTTAACTTAATTAAATATTTATCGAGGTTAATTTAAAACTTATAACCGTAGTCAAATATTTAATCGAGGTTAATTTATAACGTTTGGCCATAATTAAACATTTGATCGAGGTTAGTAATAACGTTTAACCTTAATTAAATATTTGGTTTAGGTTGGTTAATAACGTTTAACCTTGATTAAATATTTGATCGAGATTAATTAATAATATTTAGTCTTGGTTAAATGTTTAATCGAGGTTAAATGTTACTAAATAGGCTCGATTTAATATAGATTAGTATATAAAATAGTAAAAACCCAAACCTAGAGGCCCAGTAACATAGTTTAGTTAAACGGTACGTGACGTAACGTAATACTAGACTCCCGTAAAGGGAGTCTGCGCGTGACAGTGATACTAGACTCCCGTGAAGGGAATCTGTATGTAATAAGGTTAGTATATAAAACAATAAAATTTAAACTTAGGGGTTTAGTAGTATAAGTCTTAAAGAATACTAGTAACTAGTTATTTTATTATTAAAAACAACCTTACTAGTTATTTTACACGGAGTCCGACACGGCCCGTTCCGTAACAACGCCCACCTCCTCTTTACCGAATCCGGTTGTGACACCCTTGTTACCGTTACGCGGAACATCACTAATCCGGTGACCGGCCTTATCGTGCTCGGCGTCCCAGGTGGCTAGTTCATCAACAGGGACCTTAACCAAAATGTTCGTTTGTGCGCCGTCATCTAGAATATCGATTCGTTGGCGGATACGGTAACCACGGAAGACAGGCACCCAATATATCCACGCCCAGTAATATAAACCGCAGGCCACGACACTGTAACGTTAGTAAATTTTGAACAATGTTTAGAGCATGAAAGGAAAACAGGAATACGTACATTCCAATGCCAGTCAAAATATATGCTGAATACAGGAATGAAACATCGCCACCGTAGATGCCACCTTTTGGTGGGTACCAGGGCATGACGACGGCGTAGAGGTTGACGAGAATGTTAAAAATGACAGCCACATGCCAGGCCTTAAATTCTGGCTGTGGCAGCTTGGCACGCGCACGACGCCATCGGACAATGTAGAGCCCGGCACCCATGAGCAAGTTGAAGATGGACGACGGATACACCTTCGTGTCGACAACTGGGGTAGGTTAGCACGGTAGAATAAAATATTTTCGAGAGGCTGTGCGGTCATACCAAAGTTGAATGCATCACCGGCAGGCGGCGCCAGGATCATAATGATGGTCAAGCCATACGCGACCGAGTACGGCCCCAGGGGCGTGCCAAAGGGACGAGTTGAAGACCAGAACCGCGGGAAAGGAAGCACGCCCTGTCGACCACATTCGCGCACAACACGTGACTGGCCCAGCAGGACCGCGACCAGGTTGCCAAAAGAGCTAAGGGCAATAAGCACATTCAACCCGCGCACCGCATGGCTGTCGCCAAAGACGGCCTGGAAGAAGAGACTGGCAGCAACCTGGCTGGAAGAAACAAGCGCGGCCTTTGGCACAGCTGCAAAGTACGCAATATTGGCAAAAATATACAGGATGGTCACGATCAAGAGCGCAATGAAAGCGTTGCGGCGAAGCTGCTTGACGGGGCTTTTGATTTCGTTGACGACGTTGAAGGCGTTGGCATAGCCACCGTACGAAAAGATGATCTTGTACAGCGCATTGGTCAGGCCGTACGCTGTGGCAGTACCTTCAAACGGTTTGATGAAGTTGGCATGTGGGTCGGCCACACGAGTGTGCCCCCCGAGCACGACGAGTCCCGTGATAGCGATGAATGTCAGGGTAATAACCTTGACAGTGCCGATGGCGTTAGACAAATAGTAGGACGTTTTCGTGTGGAATGCAACAACTAAGTATGAGAAAAGGGTAGTTAGAATAAAGAAGAGTATTACAACGGCAACGGTGGTGAGAAAGCATATAAATCACTTACGTAAAAAAGCAACCGAGTAACCGGCCAATGCGACGCCCTTGAGCTGCCAGTTGGTCGGTGTGTGGCCATTGGCCCTGAACAGGTACTGTGCAAGCACAATGGAGTTGCTGCTGCTGAAGGAAAGCACGACCGTCTGGAAGGCAAAGGCAACGGGGAACAGGAAGCGGGGCCGAAGGTAGGCCTGCTCGAGGTAGACCGTCTCTGCACCCGAGCGGTTGGGGAAATACGCGGCAAATTCAAGATACACGGCCAGCGATGTCAACGACATGAGAAAGCCAATAACCCAGAAGATCATGCTCAAGCCGACGGAGCCTGTGCCACCAAGGATAGAAGAAGCTAATGCGGCGTGTTAGTACGACATACGACGTTCTATATCGACGCTTGTCATGAACTGCCGGAGCAACGCGAACAAAACTCACGTGTTGAGAACACGCCCGTGCCAATCTGAACGCTTTTTGTCAGTCATCAATTCAAAGGAGCGGGCGAGATGATGTAGATGTTGTCGGATCTTTGAACGCACCATCATGCTGACATTGAGGAAAATGATGGTCACGGGGCCGACGGAGTAGCCTAGCGGCGAATGCCGCTCAACCGGCGCTCCGGTAGCCTCCTGGTAGGAAGGCAGTGAATTGTTGCCGCCTTTTTCATGGATATAAGTAAGACCACCGTCGGTGATTTCATCTGGACCGCTGCTATCCCCCGAGTCAAAGTTGTTGTCATTGTTTCTGGCGGCACCATTGTCTCCACCACGAAAGCGGCTCACGGTGCTGCGGAAATAGGATGCCATGGTAATAACTGGATGCTACCGAGAAAGATAGGCAAGACAAGTAAGACGGATGAATTGAATGATTGGCAAGTGTAGTCCGTAAATAAGCACTATAAGTAAGCCGTGTGCCAGGGAGCACGATGATGCCGAGAGTGATCGTCACGACCTTGTACGATAACGAGCTTATATATTGGTTAACGGACCACGGATCAGTCCGACTGTGGTATCCCCTCCAAAGCGCTCCCTGATATCGTCCATTTGCGTGCACAGGCCTGGACGATTGCGTCGATGACGGCAGCCTTTGCAGCTATGGCATGCCGAATCCTATTTTCCATTTGTGGCAGCGGAGCTGTCAAATCTCCAAGTTCTGTATGTCATTCATGTTCCGAGACATTTTCGGCGTTGTGGTACGTGGGGGAAATGCCAACTTGCCACGTCTTAGAAATCCGTGTATTTCCCGAAACGGAAATGCTGTCCCATGCAAAGGCTGCACGGAATTTACGGCTTTGATAGCATCATGTCCGTTGGTTGGTTAAGAAGGCACCGATGGAGTTTGGGGGCCGGGGATGATGATGATCAGGGGAAGACATGCTGGCTGCGCTATGAGAGTTGGAGAAGTTCGCTGTGCGTACCAGAGTGGTGGTATAAAAGTCGAACATTCGAATACGAACTACTGCTGCAGATATTTGCAGAAAATAAGATTTTAAAAGAATCATACTTGTCGCATTGGTTGTCGAAAATGTTAAGATATGGTCCATAAGTGGACGTTAGGGTCCGTGTCCAGGTCACTGATAACGGAGAAGACAACAGACTTGGGAGCACAATCGGCAGTCTTTTTGGTTCTATTTCCTTGCGGTGTAAATGATGCATCGGCGGCTACTAGACGTTAGGCACACCCCAAGGTTTCTGCTTTATTACAAACAAGGGCGATCCTTTCAGCGCCTCGCTGGCGGCGGGCAAACACGACAGTTTTGGTGACATCCCGCGCACGCGCAACAGCCGTCTCGAAAGGCGTGCTTCTCGGCCAATTAGCTTTGCGGTCGACGTATCGCCATATGTACGAAATTTGTGCAAAGATAGGTGAAACAATCAATTTGCCCACGCTACCCAGTCCTGGGTTCCGATTACGATGAAGAAATACCAGGATGGGATTCTAAGGCATTCAATACAACAATTGGACAAAAAGAAGAGAACGAAGGAACAAACGGTCCACAAGGCACGTGTATACAAAGGTGAAACAGCTACAGAATATCATTTGTAAGCAGTGGCAGCTTTACAATAGACATATTCATCTTTATCATTAGATACGGTTATTGGTTTGGTTAGGCAACCCCGGTTGCTCGGACCCGAGGTAACCGAAAAAAAATAACAAAAAAATACAACCTGCCTCGCTTGCCGCTATCACAGTAACTGTATATCGACTGCAATGTCACATCGCCAGGTCACGTGGTTGCCGTCTCCGTGGCCGCATCTTTTTGTGTTCCCTTGCTGGCACTCCTCACCGTCGGGACGAGAGGGAATACCGAGTTCTCTGGTGTGACACCGTCGTAAAGTTTGTCCCAGCGGTCTTGGAGGGCCGCCGCTGTCGGCCACGCATTTTCAGGGTCTCGGAGCCAGAGGCGGAGTAAATGTCGTCTGAGAGAGTCAGTCGAGTCTTTTAAAACGTGGTCAGAGCGTACTTACTGTTTTTCGGGTGAGTCGGTAAAAGCACCTCTGGCGTGGAAAATGCTCAAGTTGTTGGCGAACTGGATGTCGCCCCGGCGAAAGTGCAGCGCCACTGCGTTGCGCTCTGCTGTGTAGTGCACGGCGTCAAGGGCCTCGGCCTGTGCCTCTGTAATAGCCGGGATATCCGACGACCGTGGTAGACCCCAGTAGCCTGTGAACGCGCGCCGTGCATATTGGATAACGAGTCGATCGCTGTCATCTGGCACCCTGTGCAGCAAAGGCCGGAGGACATACTTCGCCTCTGTCTTGCCAAAGCTATCAAATGCCCACGGTTCCGCAAGGGTCTTGATCAGGTCCGGCCGTGTCTTCGCGAGCTCGTTGTACACGCGGTAGCTACTTGACAAGTAGCTCTCGCCGCCATGATCGGACTCCTGCAGTGCAAAAAGGGCGATCACGTCACCGGCGTCTGTGTGGAACACCTGCTTCTCGGTCGTATAAGCCGGGGCCCCGATGCTGGCAGCGTCCACCGTCGCGGTCAGGTCCTTAATGTGGGCGAGCACCACATCGGCGGGTTTCCCATCAAACTGCGAGTCCTGCCGACCGCGCACTGGAGCGACATGCGCTGAAATTCCGGCGAATAGAATCACATTCTCCTCAAGGGAGTGCTCTTCTACCGGGATGCCGCGGATAACCTTGAAGCCACGACCGTGGTGCACCTCCCGAGAGACATCACGAAGCGTGGCGTGCAAGTCAGAGAGTGGAAACGTCTCTTGGCTGACAAATCCCAGGGGCTTGTTGAGGTCTTTGAAATGTTTCAGAGCACGATGTAGCTCAGCAATGTCGTCTGCGCTGAGGACATAGTTCCAATCGTATTTTGACGCGGTCAGGCTCTCCAGGTCCCAAGCCAGCTCAGAATGCAGCTGCTTTGGGAATCCCTCGGGCAACACAGGACTCAGTTGTTCAGTCTCCGCGCGGCGCTTGGACCGTGCTTCGAACTTGTCGAAATCGGGGGAGTAGCCAATGTCTGGCTGGCCAGGTGGCCCACGCTCAACAACAGCAGTCATTTTGTGACACCTTCAAAGTGTTGCTGCAGTAATGTCCGTTTTGTTTGATAAAATGGCTCTATCTTTCGCTTGTCGTTCTGTGTTGTAGAACTGTATTTGTAACGCTCGCATTCTTTGCATCTCACATTCCCTAGAGGGACGATGTTTTATTTCCTCCTCTTTTACTTTTCACGTGAAAACAATTGCTGTTTTGCAAAAGACCCGTCGTAATATCCAACCACGCGTTGATAGCGTCATGCGGGGCATTTCCGTCTCACCTCCGCGGGCTTGGCACGTCATCGACACTGCGAACATCGCCATGGTTTGCATCGTTGCGCCTCAACGGCCTTGCTGGATTCGACAAATATTGGCACAAAGGGCAAGTGCTAGCCGAGAAGAGCTCGTGGGGGGCAGGTGGCTGAGGAAAATAGACAACCGTCGGGTTATTGTGCCACAATGTCAATAAATCGCGAATCTTCGACATGATGCGTCCCAGATCCCAAGTGTGCTGGTTAAAGACAGCTGCTGGGGGGAATATGTGGCTTGTCCCTCGCTGATACATTGCTTCTTCGAAACCGGTCAGACATGATCCCTGTAGCGTGCGTGATAGTTGCCGTTGCCCACGGACGAGATGAAATGAAACCTTGCTCGGCCGAGTTTCTTGAGAGTATTGTGTCGTATGCGGCGCTGTCATGCGAATATCTGCATTAGATCCTCGTTCATTCTGCCCAGGTCTCTGTAGGATCTCATTATTAATCAAAATCTAATCGTAGCTTGTCGCGGATTGCGCTAGAGGTATCATTAAAAACCAAATAGAAAAAATAGTCTCTCTCCGGCTATTTCAAAGCCATCTAGGCCCTCAATTCGCAAAGAACATTTCAGTTCACGGTGGCTTGTTACCACCCTCAATCCCAAATCCAGCTGATCCAGACAATCCATTTGCCGTACTTAGTGTCAGGCTCCTCTTCGTACTGGGCCACCTGCTCAAGTGCATCAGCGAGAGGAACGGTCTCTAAATTGACAATCTTGGTGCGCTTGTAGAGCTTCCAAAAGAGATAGGCGATAAGGACAAGCGGGATGACAAGATAAGCCGAGACAAAACTGGCGGGGTCCCAATTGCCCTTGGTGAAGACCTTAAATCCGCCCGTGAGCAAGATCAGGACACACATGGCCAGGCCGACCCACGAGCTGGCAACGGTCCACGAGTTGTACCATGGCAAGCGGTTGGCCGGGATTCCCTGGACGCTGAAGGCTTTCCGCAGGCGCAGGTGGTTGATGAAAATGGTGATCCAGCTGACGAGGACACCGGCTGCGGTGAGATCGACCAGCCACCAGAAGACGTTGAGCGCGCTCTCGGAGAGGGTCATGAAGCTGAGGAACATGAAGAGTGTGAAGAGGCCGACAGCCATGTAAGGTGTACCCCAGCTCGTGGTGCGGAGGAAAATGCGCGGCGCTTGCTTCTTGAGGGCCAGTCCGTAGAGGACGCGAGTGCCCGAGAGCAGGGCCTGGTTAGAGGAGGACCACGCGGAGGTGATGACTACGGCGTTGACGACTGACGGGATGGCGGGTAGACCAGCCGCGGACGCGGCAATGACAAAGGGGCTCTGGGCAGCGGTGCCAGACTGGTCGTCCAGGCGCGGGTCGTTGCTAGCCACGAGCATGCCGACAATCAGCACGGCCAACACGTAGAAGACGGCAATACGCGCAAAGACACGCTTGCAGGCACGCGGGATGGCCCGTTGTGGGCTGCGCGTTTCGGCAGCGGCCATGGCGAGCGACTCGACACCGGCAAACGAGAAGACAGCGCCCGTCATGACACTCCAGTAGGCCAAGAAATTGCCCCAAGCACCGGACGCAATAAACTCGACAAATGGGCCAGGATCCTTCCAGTAATAAAAGCCAATGCGCGGCGTGCCCGGCACACCACCCAGATCGACGACCAACCCAAGGATGATGAGGAAGACAACCAACACGACTTTCAAAAAGGCGAAGAAAAACTCGACTTCGCCAAAAACGCGGATGCGCGCAAAGCCGACGATGTTGGTCAAGATAATAAACACGACAATCCACACGGCCGGCGTGATGTCTGTCCAGAACTGGAAGAGCACGCAGATGGCTGTGATCTCCGTTGGTATGGACAACGCGTTTCCATATACTAATAGATATCCGACGGCAAAGCCCCATGCCGGGTCTATCAGCACTTCGGCGTGCCGCACAAAAGCACCCGTCACCGGGTACAGCGCCGCCGTCTCGCCCAGCGCAAACTGCACTGCACATACGACCAGGCCGACAGTGCCGTAGCCCAGTAGCGCGCCCAGGGGACCTGCTGTCTGAACAGCGCCGCCCAAGCCCAGGAACAGGCCAGTACCTATTGCACCGGCAATGCCTAACATCGACAGGTGTCGCTGATGCAGACCGCGCTTCAAATCACGGTTCTCGGCCGTTGTTAGCAGGCCATCGTCGGCTGGGTTGTCATCGTTGTCAAGGACCCCGTCAGTTGGTCCGTAGCCATCATATGCGCCGCTTTCGACCAGTGCGGGATCTTTGCCGTGTGTTCGGTACGGCGCCGGGCGTTCGGACGCCATGAGAAGAGGTGTTGTCGAAGAAGATGCGTCGATGTCGTTGAGGTCGTCGTTGGGATTGGAGGGAGATGAAGTGGACGATGCGAAATTCTGTCCGCCCATGTTGGAGGCCAGGTGGCCGTCCGCTAACGAAAGCGACCTACACACTTAAAAAAAAATTGTGTGCAAAGTCTCCAAAATATTGACTAAAATACGGGCAGAAAATACAAGAGAATACGGGGCGATGTGGACTTTGTACAAAACGGTTACTTTGCACTAGCATATTCTTTCGGTGGGGAGACCAACACGAGAGGCACTGAGGGCGGCGTGACTGGCGTTTTGCGGCATCGGTGCTGGAGTGGAGACCTGGAAAACGTCATTTTGGTGCTGAAGCACGCTGTGAAAATTAGTGGGGTTCTGGCGGTCTTATCCGATAGGTATCATCTCGTAGTGGCGATAATTTTGGACGGACCCTCCCAAAGAGGCAGGAGCAACACTGGCTTCCAAGAGAAGATGAGAAAATGACCACCAACACGCAAAGATCCGTAAAAAACGGAACTTCTTCCTGAAAACGCATACCTTTGGAGCGACCACGACATAATTCACGGGGCAAGAGAGGAGAAGGATATATCCATACGTCTTAGGTCGTGTCCGATGAAAGGGCAAATTGTGTGGTACGGTAAGGAAAATTGTAGGGACAGATAATCCATAAATGCCAACTTCGATCGCAACGAGGCAGACACAGTCATAATGATTAAGCGATATTCCGTGTATCTTTCCGGTGCGTATCATCGCCCCACGCGGGTGTACTCTGTATTCTACGGATACAATGCAGGGTTGCTTACATACTCAATTGCGCCTCCAATGCGTTACTGAGCTGTTCGTAAGTAGCGTCATGCGACATTGGTGACATCGAAATATGTTTTCTGTCTTGGAAATGACCTCCAAGGTTGTGGTATTACATAATATATTTTTATTTGCGGATATTCTTTTATTCTTATTTCTTTTTATTACGAATAATTATACTACGATTCTTTTAAGTCTATTTCTTTAAAACTATACATAAATTCGAAACCGAATACAAAGTTAAAAATGAAGTCAACCATATGAAAATCAGCAGGTTTCGAACCGAAACATCAAACGGAACCAAGGCAACTCCCGTAACTTTAATATGTTAAGCTATCCAACGGTCTTGCTTGGTAACGATACGACGCTCGAAACGAGGAATCTGCTTGGTGAACGCTGCTGGGTCGTCACGGGCACCGTCTTTCCAGTACTCGTACTCAATCCACTCATTCTCTGGCATCTGTTCCTCCATGGCAGCCATCCACTTGCCGAGTTCCGGGCTGAGAGGAACCACGCCCGTCTCCAGCACATACTGGTCCCACAACTTGATGAGCTCCTTAAGACGCGCGGGCTCCTCATCGGCGAGATCGTGGATTTCACCTGGGTCCTTCGCTAGGTTGTACAGCTGCCACGTCTCTGTGCCTTTTGGCTTGGGAATGAAGACAATCTTCCAGTCGCCCTTACGAACAGCCGCGCGGCCACACGTTTCCCAGCCGTGAATAAATTCCTTGTCGTGGATGCGCTCAGCCGTGTTAGCCAAGTAGGGCACCATGGACTTGCCGCGCATGCTGACAATCTCGCGGCCCTGGTATTGCGGAGCCGGATGCTGGACGCCGGCCATATCGAGGATCGTGGGCACAATGTCCATCACGGTAGCGAACTGATGTGTAATGCTGCCGGGATCGGCTGCCCTGACAGTCGAGTTCCACGACGCACCAACAGGCGGCTTCATCAGGAACGGCACACGCACACCGCCTTCTGTAGTGTAAGCCTTGTAGAGGCGACTGGGTGCGGTGGCAGCCTGGGCCCAGCGTGGACCGTACCAGATAAAGGAGTCGCCGTTTCCAAGGTTGTCAATGTTATTGTTGTAGTACTTCTTCAGATGGCCGACCATGCTGCTCTGCACAATGGGGTAGGCCTCGTACGCAGCGCCCTCAGCGCCGTTATCCGAAAGAAAGCACACAAATGTGTTGTCGAGCTCTCCCGTCTCCTCCAAGTAGTCGACCACCTTTCCAACGTTGATGTCGATGCACTCAACCATGGCCGCAAAGACCTCCATCGCCCGACACGAGTTGGCGCGCTCCTCTTCCGTGAGGGCGGCCCACTCCTTGACTTCGTCTGCCACGACCGGGTGCGGCTCCACGTCCACCGGGATCATGCCCAGCTTCTTGAGGTTTTCAAGACGCTTCAGCCGCAGAGCGTCGGGGCCATCGTTGTACACGCCGCGATACTTCTGGACCAGCTCCGGCGGCGCCTGTAGTGGCCAGTGTGGTGCTGTAAATGGCAAATAGCCGAAGAAGGGCTTCTGCTTTTCCTCCTTGCTCGCCTGGCGGTCCTTGAGGTACTGCAGCATCTTATCGCCGTAGCCGTTGGACGAGTACCAGTTATCGGGCAGCTTGCGCACATACTCGCCATCTTCGCTATGTAGCGCAATAAAGCTCATGGTCATGAACTCGGGCGTTGTGTCCTTATCACGCAGCTGTGGTTCGTAAGCATAGTGGTTGCTGCACGCCGGAAGATGCGCAAAACTGCGCGTAAAGCCGCGTGCCTTGGGGCTGTGCTCGGGCGTCAGGCCTAAGTGCCACTTTCCCGACATAAGTGTCTCGTAGCCGGCGTCACGCAGAATCTCGGGCACAGCGGCCACGCGCTCGTTGAGGTAGCCCTCGTAGCCGGGCATACCGCGCTGCACCGCCGTAGACATGGTGCCGTTGGGATCATTTTGGCCCGAGATGTTTGTCCACTCAATCAGGTTGCCCAGACCAGCAATATGATGGTCGGTGCCCGTCATGATCATGGCCCGCGAGGGGGAGCACGCGGCAGCTGCATGGAAGTCCGTGAAGCGGATGCCGTTGCGTGCCAGCTTGTCGAGGTTTGGGGTGTTGATTTCGCCGCCGAATGAGCCAATGTCAGAAAAGCCCAGGTCATCTGCCACGATGACGAGGAAGTTGGGTCGCTTCGAGGCCATATCGACGTGCCAGTGAAGACAGGATGAGTGTGTGTGGTGAGTCGCAAAACTCGAAGTGTAAGTAGCTAAGAGGGCGCTTGTTGGTAGTTGGCCGTGCTTGATGGTGCTAGACTGGGAAGAAAAGAGTTAAACAAGTGCTTTAATCAAAATCAAACGAACGAATACAAGTGCCGTCATCTTGGTGATTTTGTCCAAATCGAACGGCCTTTCTTATACGGATAGGTTACGCTATTATGCAACGATCTCGGTCACGTTCGGCCGTATGAGAGCTGTGTGCGTCGCAGGGGCGCCCACGCGTGATGCCTGGAGGGGTTAGAGCGGGTTCCGCGAAAGACACTCGGTATCACTATGTGTTACAAGATTCCCGAGTTCCGTCTTTACACCGGCAGTCGGAATGCGGCGACCGGACGCTGCTGACCCTCATTGGCATGCTGTCTTTAGCGCGTCCCGAAGCGTAGACTTTAAAGTGGATCTGTCCACGGAGAGTAAGCTTCCCCGCAATTTATTACCAGGGGACAATGGAGAACATCGAAGAAGATGGCACTGATCAGATCATGCCTATAGGCGCATGTGTTTTTCTGATTCGAGGACTCTCGATGCTGTGAGCTCAGGGGGGTAAGCACGTCTTGAAGAGAGCTGTTATCAATGAAGCGGTGCTTCGGTTCTCGACGGTATATAAACTACGCCCTAGGTCTCCTTCCATTGTTGTTTCTCATCTCTCTGTGGTCTCTCTCTCTCCACCATATTGACATTCGTCACCAACTTTTTCCCATTGTATTTCTTTTTGCGATATAATATTACACCTTGAGCTTCCTGGAAATGAAGGGCGAGACACTGGGCAGAATCCGAGCATATTGGCTAGGCAGCGTGGTGTGTCTCGGTGGTTTCCTCTTCGGCTACGACAGCGGCATGTAAGTGACTTCTTTTCCAGTGGTGTCTTCACAGGCCTATCTTCAACGGTATATAAATATCCAGGCCAATTTGCAGAGGACATCGCTAACTTTGGATAGCGTCGGTGAGTGCATGATATACGCCAGACTGACGTTATTCTGCCAGACCCATTTAGCGACCAAGTCATCAGATCCATTCCCACTCCTGTCATTGAGACTCGTCTCATAGCACATGTTCTTCTTCCTTCTAACGCCTGTCTCCTAGGTGGCGTCCTTACTTTTAAGTCATTCGAAAATGACTTCCACTACACGTCCACCGACGCCACACGCACCAATTCGCTCGCCGTCGGCCTGCAGCAGCTTGGTGCCTTTGTGGCGTGTTTCTTGGCATGGCCGCTGACGTCCCGCCTCGGCCGCCGGAAAACATTGATGTTGGCGTCGTTTGTGTTCTGCGTCGGTGCTCTTATTCAGACCATCAACACACATTCTCTGTCAGCATTTTACGTGGCCCGTGTCATTGCCGGCCTCGGTCTCGGTGCAGCCACCGTGGTTGTGCCTACTTACAGCAGCGAGATGTCGCCTAAGGACATCCGCGGTCGCATCGGCTCTTTCTTCCAGTGGTTCTATACATGGGGCATATTTTTGTCCTATTTTGTAGACTACGGCGTGTCGTTGCACATGGGTGGAACCGACTCAAGGCAGTGGCAGATTCCCGTAGGCCTGCAGCTGGTCCCGGCTGGACTGCTAGGCCTCGGTATGCTCACCCTGAAAGAGTCGACACGTTGGTTGACGAAGAAGGGTCGTCACGAGGAGGCCTGGGAGAGCCTCACGTGGATCCGGGGCCAAGATTCCGAGGAGGTGCAAATGGAGATGGAGGAGATCCGCCGGGGCGTTGAGAACGAAGTGCGGGCCACCGAGGGCTTCCAGCTCCGGGAGCTGCTTCAAGGAGATAACTTAAAACGCGTCTTTACTGCCTTCGCCATCTTTACTGCACAGCAGTCGACGGGTGCTACGGCGTTTGCATACTTCGGCCCGCAGTACTTTAAGCTGCTCGTGGGCAGCGGATCCAAGGATCTTCTGCTGACGGCCATCTTTGGTGCCATCAAAGTCGTCGCATGTGGTATATTTGTTGTATTCGTGTCGGAGCGTGTCGGTCGCCGGAGCATGCTGGTTGGTGGCGCGGCACTCATGGCGGCGTGCCAGATCACCACGGCCATCGTGGTCAAGACCATCCCACCCCCGGCCGAAGGCCGTGTCACGTCGTCCGGAATCGCCACTGTGGCGCTAATTTATATTTTTGTCATCATCTACAACTTCTCCTGGGGTCCTCTTCCATGGCCCTATGTGTCCGAGTGAGTGACTCAGTTGACTTTACGACTCGAGGCCCCTTTGTGCCACAGGCATTTCTACATACATTTACTGACTGGCATAGGATCTTCCCCGCTCGTATTCGTGAGCCGGGTATTGCAGTCGGTGTGGGCTCGCAGTGGCTGTTCAACTTTGTGTTCTCGCTAACGACGCCGTACATGATGAAGGGACTGGGCGGTTGGGGCACGTTCCTGCTTTGGGGCATCTTTGATGCTGTCATTGCTGTCGTGTCTTTCTTTTTCCTTCGCGAGACAAAGGGTCTGTCCCTGGAGAAGATCGCCCACCAGAAGTTCCGCAAGAGCGCCGATGCACACCAGGTGGACGAAATTGAAGATGCCATTGGAAAGGAGACGACTGTCCTTTGAAGAGGGTACTTTCGCATATTGTTGACGAGGAGAAACCAGATACAGTTTACATGCAGTTTGTAAACATGACTTTGTGATGCCAGCCTTCTAGATATATGCTCTGAAGCTATATTATATGCAATACCTAGAACATTTGCTGCTCATCCATGCCCACTCTGCTACCTTGAGGAACAGGATTGCCGTAGGTACCCAGCATATCCGACCACAGTCCAAAGTCAAACCCAGGACCGTCACCCATCAGATCGCCAAACAGCGGCGGGAGGTCAAACGTCGTGACAGCCACATCGCCAACGTCGTTGTTAACATCCGTGCCCGCATCTGTCCAGTATTCTGTCACGTGCCCGGTATTGCAGTTGTCCTGCCGTTGATGTTGATTTTGAGCAACATTGATGTGTGTTGGCGGCCAAGCTGCAGGAATCATCCCAGCCACATCGGCGGTGCCGGCGTTGTCTTTGCCCCATTCGGCTGTAGATGCATTAGACGCTGTTGGACGTGCAGCGCCTTCCCTTACAGCCTCACGGCTGTCATCCACAAAATCAGAGCGTAGGAGAAGACTGTGGATAGCGAGAAACTGGTGAGATCCGGCTTCTTTTGTCACACCAGGTGGGATGCGGATGCCACGATGGGCGCTAAAGACAAACTCGTTGTCGTTGTTCATTGGTGACGACCGTAGTAAGCGGCGGTAGCGGGCCACGAGTCGTGTGAGATCGTCGCGCATGGGCTGGACCGCGACAGAAAAGGCAAATCGGCGTGACAAGGTAGCGAGCACATCCTGGGCCTTGGAGATGGCGATGCGCACTGCCGAGGTGTCGGCCGTAGACCGTGTGCCCTGTGTTCTGTCGTACGTGCTGCCAAAGAGCACAAATCGAGTGGCCTGGTAGCCGCAGACTGCGGCATCCCAGTCGAGCGGCTGGGATGGGTCGGCATGCTGGTCGTAGTCGGTGAGGACACATAGCACTTGGCGCGCATTCTGAATAGCCCGACTGCCCAACAGTGTGATATCAGCCGGGCGGATCTCGTCAATACAGCTCTGCGCAGCCGTGTCCGGGTGTCCTCGGAGGAAGCTGCGATATAAGTCGCATTGACACTGGTAGTAGGACATGTGCAACATAGCGTACTGGGGCGACCATGGGAAACTACTTGGTTCAGCTGGTGGATATCTGTCTTGAGGCGCCATTTGGAGGTGGATGCGTTGGAGGCTGCTCTGAATCTCGTCAAGGGTGGTGTAGAGGTTGCCAAGGGTCATTCCTTTTCCGTAGATCTGTCGGTTAAATCTGGCTAATATTAGCCATGTGAGACTCATGGGGCCAGTTGCAGGTCAAAAAATGGGCCTACTTCATGATGTTCCGCCGTAACAGCGCTACCTTGACAAAAAGTCCCCGTTGTCCAATGGACGTCGGCTCGACTCCCAATCCCGGGATTAGAAAAGCCACATTCATATGTGGACTGGCCTCGTTGGCAAAGTTGATATCTTCCCTAGGCAGCCGCAGGTAGATGATATCCGGGTGACACAGTTCAAACTCCCGTAGGCCCGAGCAGAAGACTTCCTCCAGAAAGTACAAAGACCAGAATGTTCGGCGGCGGACCTCCTGGGCCACGGGGCTCAGCTCGTGATGCTCGTAATTCAGACGCAGAGCAGCAGCGAGCCTGGCCGCGAGACCGGCCAACATAAATGCCCGACTAAAACCCCCAGAGTCGGCACGGTAGCGGATGACCAAGAGAAGCGCCTGCAGGTGGAAGATGGACGGATGGCTGAGGCCCTGAAATACGAGGGTTTCGCTGGCCTGGGCCCATTTATCGCGCTCGTCGGCACATCGCCCCATGAACAACGCCGTAATGGCACAAAGTGCGGCCTTGAGGGCCGGGTTGATGGAGCGTTCTAGACATCGCTGCACGACAGTGGACTGATGCAAGAACCCGTACGCAGGCAGGGCGTGGAGATAGCGGAAGTACTGGTCTACCAGCTCGACCTCGATCTTGTCATCAATGTCTACAGAGAAGTCGGTCAGAGAGGGAACAGACACCACAGGACGATCAGGTGATGTGATTGTGGGGCCAGGCATGTCAGGCATGTGGTCAGCGGTGTTCGTGATAATGTTGGTGAGAGAGGGACGGAGGTTGGAGTCAGCAGCGAGATCATCGGACGCGCCATGGGCCGGACGTGGTGCAATTGGTGCCGACCGTCGCTGCTGTCGCTGCAAGGTGCTCATTGGGCCGGGACACATTTTGGCTTGCCTGGATTTCCACGTTGCCGCTGTCGTCTCGCGTACCAAGTTGTTGCGTTGTGTGCTGCGGGGGTTACCCTGCACCGTGGTGTAAGTACAGGGTTGATTTCGTCGCACGCACTCAGCACACTCTGGTGTGTCAGCCGAACATCTGATTTTGCGATTACGACACCGAACGCACGCCAGCGAGCTACGGTACTTGGGCGGCAGCTCAACAGCCGCACTGGCTGCTCGGCTGGCTGCTCCGTCTGAGCGACTCGAGAGAGAGCAGACCAGCCGAAGACGGTCGCATGTCCCACAAGATGGCAGGGCCCCATCACAGCGGACCTACTGCGGATACGGTTTTGGTTAGCAGTTCACCCCGAAAACATCGAGGCAGAAAGCAATGGGAGGAAGGGCAGGAAGGGCAGTCATACCTTTCTGACGCGACATTGCACGCAGACGGTCTTCATAGTAGTCTCTCGTGCGGGTCCGGTAGCTGACGTAACTCAATATATGAACCGCAGCCCAACGTTCCCTGGCGACGGGGGGATTTGGGGATGAAATGGACGACAGCCGACCGTATATATTTGAAGGGGGCGATAACGGATAACGCGGGGAAATAAAACAATCCAACGTGCGCGATGGCCGATTTCCGTCAAAGCACATCAAATCCCGGAGGCGTTCATCCTCTTCAAGAAAACACGGCGACGTGGGGTACAAGTATGTATCCGGAAACTTTTATTTGTTTCTGTTCCTATCGGTGGGTGGTGACAGGCGAAGTCGTTTGTGTGGCAGGCCCGGCGGCGGGGAACCAACCCAAGTGGGCCAATGGCAGCAGACAAAATCCGAAAGCCGGTTTGGGAAGTGGAGAAAGCCTGACCACCCCGCTAGCGCATGTACTGTGGGAGCACGGGAACTGTCACTTGCGGCCCTACACTTACATCCGGACAGCTGCATTACGTCCCTAAATGGCGCCCTGCAGTACAGGTCTTACGCCAACACCAGCGGTAGATCTAACGACCGAATGTCATACTGCATAATGTGTCACGAGTTACGTAGGGCGATCATCTACGTGTTCAATGCTCAGCCGCATCTGGCAGAGCTTGGAACCATCATCGTGCACCACAAAGCACCCATCTACAACAATTTCCCAACAACATCCTCAATCATTTACCAAGGACACAAGTGGAACGGAGGTGAACGGCTCCGTGTACTTGACGAGGCGGACTTGGTCGTACTGATAGATACGATTGTGCCGTAGATTGGAGCCCAGTCCCGCCCAATATAGAGCACCGCGATCTAACGTCACGATTGTGACTCGTTGAATGACACAACCACTTTGTGATCTTTGCCATACGCCAAGCGCCGAACATAGACGAAACCATTCCTCTAACCCATACTGCCGACGTATTAGAGTCACATGATCTATTTATAACGGGAAAGGCGCGGGGGCGTATTGACGGACACGGCAGACACTTAACTACCCACTCTACGCAATATAAGGTTCATCTACGGCAAACTGGTAACTATCAAGACCGGAACGTCCTCTAACTATACTGTACATCATGGCACGACAACGGGAGACGACGGTGGACACGAGTATCGCCGTACATCATAAATCCACGGCAAATCTTAACAATGTCGCGGGCCATTCTGGCCACAGCAAGCCGTTTTCTCTCATTGACAGACACGGATGTGCTCTTGGATGGTACGGTGGTGCATTTCGTCGGTGCCATGCTTGGCTAGCGTGACGACGCAATCTTCTGCGGCCGAGAGTGGATCTCGTCTGGTCATCATATTTGCAGGCGACAGCAGCTGGCTGTTTGGCGTCTAGAATTGTGCGTACCGGTTGTCCACCAAGGCAGGCACGACGCTGTTACCATCATATTGAACAACGGAGAATGGGCGTCTCTGAAAATAGGTGTCTTCAGATCCACCCAGAGGTGGCGCGTCACGCACCATATGAAGGTTCCAAATGTGTGCACCTCTCAATGATGTCTCCGTGGTCGCCTGAGTGCTTGACCTGCGCTTGATAATATAGCCGAAGGAGCTTCTAATGCATAGCGGGTGATAGTGCGTGATGTTGTCTGAGATGGGTGAGGTCCTTCGAAAGCCATGTCCGTGGTATACGACGAGAGGGGATGCGCCAATGTTGAAGTATACCCCTGTATTTGGTCGGAGCTGCAAGACAACACAAAATCGATGATCATCTTCTACTCGAGTTCCGTCATGCTTCTAGAACGCCCGAAGCGTTCCAGCTAGTAAACGTAAAACAGATGCCCGGTTGAGCCGCACGAACCCTAAGCCTGATTAGTAGTAGTAGCACATCCTGGTTGTGGTTCGTAAAGGCACCAAATGCCAGGTTGCCCATCGGCCCGCGAAATACACTAAACATCTTACAATTACGGAGTACGCAGATTTGGCAACGTGCATACGAGATAGACAAGAGATTCTGTTTCGTGGTACATACACCTGAAGACGAAATGATCACAAGGCAGCAAGCATTGTATGAGTGGGGATAAAAATCGGGATGCGCAACGCCATTCCCGAAAACCGTCGAGATCCGTACATGGAATTTGCTTGGTAATATCTTGTTCCACGAGCGTAGCGGCATTCCAGTGATACTTTGTAGTTACCCAACACCATGGTCAGCTTACCGGACACTAAACAACATATGATGTTTTCGCACGTATATGATGTAGACGAAGCTAAGAAGACTGTCACCCTCTGTAGCCCTGTGACGTCGTGCCATTTTATTTGAAGGCTTTTTCTCGGCCGTTTTCTATATTGGGAATGAATAACGAGGACAGGATAAGCTAAGCAGTGGAGCATTACGGAGGACAAATACCACTTAACCAGGTTGACACAGAGATACATTGTGTTGAATGAGCCATCGCAGTTTTTACTTGGCAAGAAAGGTCTAGGGGTAACAATTGGGTAAGACGGACAGTTCTCCCAGCAAGCCCCCCGGTGGGGAGGAAAAAGCATAACGGCTGGGCGCGTCGCGTATTTCTGGTCAGCAGTTGCGACTTACGGCGATGGCCTTGATTGGGAAGGAGAAGTGCACTGATTTGTCAAAGTGGTACACAGAATTTTTTTAGATCGGGGCGGCGAAATTGTTTGCGATTGCGCAATCGAGGTCCCGCTTTGGAAGTACCGATCGACGACTCCCGTTGGCTCCTGCTGCATTTCGACACTAAGTGCAGCTTGTCACGACATCCAAGTACAGGTACCAAAAAAAATGTGTTACAGCCGTACGAGAAGTCAAAAATATAAAATCTTAAGGTGCACCGGTTTCCGATTTGTCTACGTCGCTTCAACATATAGCACCCAAGCTGTTCGACTCGGTTGGGACGCACATATTTTGACTCTATGCCATAATTTGTCCACCTACGCCGTCCTATCTCGATGGCACCTTCCTTCTTCTCGAGGCCCAAGGGCTCAACGTCCTCATTCGATCAGTTCACCCCGCCGGAATTGTCGACCGACGCATCAACTCCAACAAAGGCAAAACCCGGCGATGGCGGCGATGGCAGCGAGACCAATATTGGGGCACGCTCCAGTGCAGACGTCGGTAAGTTTTCGTCTTGCGCTGCGAGGAGGCAGGCGTTTCCCAAGCAGGGATGCTTACTGCTATTTCCACAATACAAAAAGCCGGCGAACTGACACTTTTGCTTCCGTCTCCACCTGATTCCGAAGGCCGCATCGAACATGCTCGCGAAAACAAACGTCAAATCGGCGTACTGTCGGCGACCATGCTGATTGTCAACCGTGTATGTAAAGACCATACCTCATCCCCGTCACTGCAACTTTATTTGACAGAGGGTGAAATTACTGACTTGTGATTTTAAGGTTATCGGGACGGGCATCTTCGCGACACCCGGTACCATCCTCGCGCTGTCTGGCAGTGTTGGCTTGTCCCTGTTTATCTGGGTGGCCGGCATGCTCATTGCCGCAGCAGGCACGGCCGTGTATATAGAATTTGGCACGGCCATTCCCAGGAACGGCGGCGAGAAAAACTACCTTGAGTTTGTGTACCGGCGCCCACGTTTTCTTGTCACGGGCTGCTATACAGGCTATGTGATGCTTCTTGGCTGGGCCAGCGGCAACTCTGTTATTTTCGGCGAATACATCCTCAACGCCGCACAGGTCGAGCCGACACGGTGGAACCAACGCGGTGTTGGTTTGGCATGCATCACCAGCGCGTTTCTCATTCACGGCCTTGCACTCAAATGGGGTCTTCGCCTCCAGAACTTCCTCGGCGCCATCAAGCTTATCATCATCCTCATCATTGTCGTCGGTGGATGGGTTGCTCTAGCCGGACATATCAAGCTGCCCGAGGACGAGAAACCACACAACTTCCGCAATGCTTTTGACGGGACGACAGGCAGTGCCTACGGCGTTGTCACCGCCTTGTACAATGTCATCTGGAGCTACATTGGCTACAGCAACGCCAATTACGCCCTCAGCGAGACGAAGAATCCGGTCCGAACTCTCCGCATTGCTGCACCGCTGGCCATTGGAGTCATCTCTGTGCTGTACATGCTCGTGAATGTGGCCTACTTTGCTTCAGTGTCCAAGGAGGAAATCATCTCGTCGGGTCAACTGGTGGCTGCATCCATGTTCAAGAATGTATTTGGTGGCGCAGCAGAGCGGGCCCTGTCTGTCTTTGTCGCACTGTCGGCATTTGGCAACGTTCTCAGCGTCATCTTTTCGCAAGGCCGGCTGGTGCAAGAGCTGGGAATCGAGGGTATCCTCCCATTCTCGCGGTTCTGGGCTAGCAACAAGCCCTTCAACGCACCACTGGCTGGACTCTTTGAGCACTGGGCTGTATCCGTCATTATTATGCTGGCCCCACCACCTGGAGATGCATACAACTTTATTTTGAAGTAAGTTCTCCTTCCGCAATTCCAGCCGCAATAGCCTGGACGGCAAAAAACTAACTCATGTGGTACAGCCTTATTTCTTATCCACTTGCCATTGTCAATGCCTTTGTCGCTGCTGGTCTTCTGTTTCTCTACAAGAACCGGCAGTCGTGGAATTGGCACCCACCCATATCGGCAACGTGGCCCGTGGTTCTCTTCTTCTTCCTCAGCAACATCTATCTTGTTGTCGCTCCTTTTGTCCCTCCCTCCGAGGGACAAAACGTCTACAACAATCTCCCTTACTGGATCCACTGCGTGGTCGGCTTTGGTTTGATTATTGCTGGCGGAATCTACTGGGTCATCTGGGCCAAGATTCTCCCCAAGATTGGTCGGTACGAACTGGTGCGTGAGGAATATGTTGATGACATCGACGGGTGGGAGAAGCACGTGTTTGTTCGCAGACCCATTACTTAGGGCCATAAGACACATGACTTGGCAATACACTTAACGATACAATTTTAATCTCAAAATCCAAATTTGACAATCACCCAGGCAAATAACAGTGGGAAAATGGCAGTAGGTGAGAATCAAATGTAAAGCATGAGTGTAGCCAGTCATTTAAGGACATTGTATCAATACTTTGCTCTCTTTGGATGGATGACTTGCCGACTGAGTGAGCCAGTCAGTCCATTTCCGACGTAGTAAGCCTAGTCCAAGTCGAAATTGTCACAAATTCATCTACAATCCAACAGCGGCCACTATTGCTAAGATTTATTAAAACACAGAAACATAGTTAATAAGTTTCTCTACTTTCCTGAACGCAAACACTAAGTAATAATATTCACATAATCGTCGAATGTTGCATGATTAGGTTCCTTTTGTAGGACCCGCTAATGTGCATGAGGCGAGACATCTCAGGGGGCAACCACCAGTCTAGGGACTAACACGTGACTATCTAGGCTTCCCAATTCTTTCATGTGACGTATCCCGTGCCTTACCCTGTGACCATCTGGATTATGAAAAGAATGGTGCATTTAAAATTTCAACCGAGCCAGCAAGCAGGACAGCGACCAAATGTTGCCGTTGTCGCTAGAACCGAAACAAGAAATGCCCCAACCGCGGCTCGTCGGAGCTCAAGAACTGCCAATTGAGCCGTCGGGCATCATTTGGCAGGACGACTTCATCTCGCCCGAGCTAGAACAGGAGCTCATCGACCGGTTCCTCCACAAGATGGACTGGCCCGACGGAACTGGGCGACGATCTCTGCACTTTGGCTACACCTTTGACTACCGGACCTTTGGCGTCGACCCCGAAGTTCATGTCACGCCATTTCCAGATTGGCTCCTTCCGCTGATCCCAACTGGCGAAGACCGGCCACCGGAGCAAGTCTGTTTGCAATACTACCCGCCGGGCTCGGGCATCCCACCACATGCAGACACACACTCTGCTTTTGACCAGCTGTACGCTTTATTTTTTGGGTCACCCGTACTCATGCAGTTCCGAAAAGGTGACAAGCGTGTTGACATCGACCTCACGCCACGCAGTATGATGCAAATGACTGGAGACGTCCGATTACACTGGACCCATGGCATCCGGCAGCGCAAGACAGACACATTAGCCGATGGCACTGTTCGCAGGCGTGAGGACCGTTGGAGCATCACATTCAGGTGGCTACGAGGTGGCGAGTGTGACTGCGGTGATGTGTCTCTGTGCGATACGGCGCAAAAACGATTAGGTATTGAAAAAAATTACCGCTGGAAACAGATATCTAAATGATAAAAATCAAAATAATGTTTAATGTATGAAACGTAGCGTAAACTATGGACCAACAATTCTAAATAAATGGTTTATAAAATGTGGCACTTTGGTAACAATTGTTTAAGACGGGACGACCGACGCAACTTTTGAGAATGGCGCAGCAAAGCCGATTTTTTCTCGTCCGCAGAGTAGTCGACGCCAGGAATGCGCTCTAATGGCATGAATTAGCACAAAGTAATGAAGATGACGAGATGATATATATTTTTATTTTCGACTCTCCATGATCCGGCGGAATACTGAGCGGCGGTGCGCATAGTACTTCTCTCGCAGACCATCGCTATGGCGCAAACCAGTAAAGGTCGCGGACAGGCTCGCGCGTCACTCGGACGTCTCGTTAGGCGCGCTACGGTGCGCTATGTGGCATCCAAAGATCAAGATGTCGCCCGGTGCCAGAGGTATCGCAACCCATGTGTGTGACTGCACCCACGAGTCTGCGATACGGCTGCCGTTGGCCAGATCAACATCCATCTTGTGGGAGCCGGGCACAACCTCAAGGCAGCGGATCGCAATGGTTGCGGTATCTATCGCAATATTTGCCGTGATGTGCTCGATGCAGCCGATATGGCCGTACGCAGGTGCGTCCAGGTGCGGGTGGAAGCCGTTGCCATACGGCAGGGTCGTATGCCTCTTAGGGTGTTGTTTTTCCAGCCGGTCCAGGGGCCGCAACTAGAAGGAGGCTTGCGAGCATCTTTTGGCATCGGTGATTTAACGCACTGCCCTCAATTAGGTTTATCACGCTGGCCCTTGCTGGGTCGGCGCTTGGTGTCCGCCGCGGCAACTGGAACCCTGACGTTCACTTATGTTTACACGCAGACTCACTTGAACTACTGCAAAATACGAGGCAGAATTTCAATCCGAGAAAGTCAGCACGGGCATCGTACACAATCTCGTGGTGGCTCATTTCTGACGGAGAGTGTCCCTGTATCAGATATCTATAATAACAAATTCACTCTTATGCTTTTCGTCAGCGAGCTAGACAACATCCTCGGAGTGTTCACAATCGACGGCAGCAATAATGATGGTCGTGACATCTGCTCACAATCCTCCCTGAATATCACTCTGATTCAAACGGTCTCGACCCTTGGCCCTGGCTCAAGCCGCTCATAACCAAATAATACCAACTTGGCCGCCGAGGCTCGCCGAGCGATGGCACTTTTGCACGTGTCTCGAACCGTAACACAATGTCGTACCATACTGACATGCTGGCCATCTACTCAGTCCACCCGGATGAGTTTGAGCATCACGTCTACATGAGGAACACCCTGATGTACTGCAAAATTCTCTGACATTCTCACTCTCGCCCGACGGTCGGTATATGGCAGTCTCCAACCAGGTATCTAACAGTGTGGTTACATTAGAGCGCATTGGTGAGCTCGACGGTCGGTATTGTAACTCTCGGTGAATTTGACCTTACGCGGAACAAGGGGCCTATGGCTGAGGTTTGGGATAGTTAGCAGAAGAGCGAGGTCTGCCCCTCTTTATGTTTATTAACGTAGCCTCCACGATGGACAACTTAGTATCAAGTACACTTAAGATAGAATAGGTAGAAACAGAATTTACATAGCAAGTCTATAAGACGCAACTACGTTAAAGTTTTATAAATGGCGAAGTTAACGTAAGCGGAATAGTTTGTCACTATACTTTTACCTCAACTGTCCCGTACTTCGTCGCGGTAACAATAAAATAAATATCACGATTAATATTAAAATAAAACAAAATACCTACCTTATTAACTTACTATTACCTTATTAAATAAAGACAAATATTTTTGACTGTATGTGTCACCGGAGATTAAATCGAAGGTCAAATTCATAAGATTCAATAAAATCAACTAGTATTACCTACCCGTTTAGTTTCAGTTTCTACGTTTTCTACCTACCGACCTCGATGAAAATAAAATCAACGTCACCTACTAACCCTAATTAAAAATTAATTAAGTATTGGCAAGATCAAAGGTCGATCGACACCTTGGAAGAGCGACAACTCAATAGAACCGGTGTTGACTTTGCTTTTGGGGCATTCCAAATACTCCGTGCATTCATTTACAAAGAGGACGTTCCGGTGCAAACGACTGAGAGTCTTACTTGGATAATTGACAGTGAGCTGAAGCTGGTATAAACCCTGAATTCTCTCTCTCTCTCTCTCCCTTTTTTTTTTTAGATACGCGGCTGCATAAGATCCTGCAAGTGACGGCTGATCGATGGTGGGGTATGTGGAGAACAACGAATTGCATTGCAGGGTCGATACTCTCCATACGGAGTACATCAATATCAGATCAGCAGACTGCGTAGATCATCTTCATCGCAAGCCACACTCTGTATTTGCATGTCAACGTCGAAGACCACCCACTGTCACTTGCCATGCTATGTCCCAAATAGTCCCACATGCGACACTGACACATGCACACAAAGGTCGGCCCTTTCCGAATGGCCGAGGAATTGGAATCCAGCCAATGGAGGGCACTAGTAGACCTTCTGGAACTATTCCTGGCGACTAGGCCTCTGATGGTTCGTACTAATCGCTACTTTTTGCCCCATAAATGCAGGCTCTTTCCTTGACAAAACAACAGAGTTTTCGTCCCCTTTTTCTTATCCTTATCGACCTACTTTTTTTTTCTCTCCCGATCACCATTTTCAGGGGTCCTCCAGGGTTCATGCCTACCAGTAGTGCGGAAAAAGTCTTAGTGCAATCTTAAAACGCCCATTGACCAGTTAGAGACGAGAATTGTTGGGACATGTTCCATAACAGGAAACTGCGAACCGGTGTCTTTCGATTTGGCCAGACACACGTCCAAGTCGGCTGCCAGAAGCAGACGACGGAACCGAGTGGTTTCGGGGGTTTCCTGTGTGTTTGGCGGAGGGGCTTGACTTCGAAGGTCATTCCTGTCTGTGGAATGAGCTCTGTGGAATAGGATGTGCCCGGAAGGACACAAGTAAGCAGAGTGGGGCGGGAGCCGAGCGGTTTTCTCCTGCGTTTCTCTTGCTGCCCTTTTCCTCTTTTCTCTCATATTTTTTTTTCACCCGGCCCTGGGTCCGTTTTGAATGGAAAGGGGCGAGCAACCGCCAGACGGCTTGGGAAAATCTTGTCAGTTAGTAGGCTAGGTATCGTTGTGGGGAGAGAACAATTAAAAAAAAAACTAGTGCAGTGCAGTAAACATATGTCCAACGTTTGCTAACTCTCTTTCCTTTTGTTCTTCTACTCGCCCAGCATTTTCCGTAATCGACATATTCCCTCTCTTACTTTCATCGCATCTCTCCTCACTCTCGCCATTATGTCGGTTGTTTCGTCCTCCGTGTCTTCGAGGCAGCCTAGCCGTCGGGGCAGTCCTGCGAGAGCCCCGGTCACCAACGAGAAGACTTTTATGGCTACCAATGCGCCGGAGGCGTTCCCAGACATCAAGACCATCCGTGATGCCATCCCCGCGCACTGCTTCGAGTCATCCACGGCTCACTCCATGGCCTACGTCGTCCGCGACTACGCCATGGCCTTCGTGCTTGGCTGGGCTGGGCTTACCTACATCCCCAACCTTGAGAGCACACTGCTGCGCACAGCCGCCTGGATCGCCTACGGCTACGCTCAGGGCTTGGTGCTGACGGGTATCTGGATTCTGGGCCATGAGGCCGGTCACGGCGCCTTTTCACCGCACGGCCTGCTCAACGACATCGTCGGCTGGTTGCTCCACTCGAGCTTGATGGTGCCGTATTTTTCATGGAAATTCTCGCACCACCGTCACCACCGCTTCACCGGCCACATGGAGAAAGACATGGTCTTTGTCCCGCGCACCACGCCTACCAGCGAGATGAAGCCCGGCATTGCCACGCTTTGGTTCGACCCTGAGCTTGTTGAGGACACCCCGTTGGTCCAGATGCTGCAGCTCATTGCCCACCAGCTTGCGGGTTGGCAGATGTACTTGCTGTTCAACCTGTCGGCTGGTGATGACAGTAAACAGCGTGAGGCCCCCTGGTACCGCTTAAGCCACTTCGAGCCCACCAGCGCCGTCTTCCGTCCAAGTGAGGCCTTGTTCATTGCCCTGTCCGACATTGGCCTGCTTCTGATGGCCGGTATCCTCTACATCGGGTCCACTTATGTTGGCTGGTCGACTGTCGTCTTCATGTACGTCGTGCCCTACATGTGGGTGCACCACTGGCTGATTGCCATCACCTACCTCCACCACAACCACCCGGATGTCCACCACTATGATGCCGAGAGCTGGACCTACGTCAAGGGAGCCTTGGCCACGGTTGACCGCGACTTCGGCTGGGTCGGCCGCCATCTCTTTCACGGCATCATCGACACCCATGTCGTCCACCACCTTTTCCCTCGCATCCCATTCTACAAGCAGGAAGAGGCGACAGCTGCCATTCGCCCTCTCCTGGGTAACTTCTTGCACCGCGAGACCCGGTCCTTTATCGGCCAGTTGTGGTCCACTTGGAACACCTGCAAGTACGTCGTACCGGACCCGAACGTTCCTGGTGCCATGAAGTGGGCCGAGTAGCGTCCTTCTCTGTCCATTTTGTATTTCGTACCTGTCTCATTTTACTTTTCTGATATTCTACGACGTCCTTTCTTTCGACAATGCAACAGCACACACAATGCATCATAGATGGACCATACATAAAAGTCATAGATCATAAACATTAGAGCACGAGCGGTTATATTTTGATGGCCTGGATTACTGGACAATCTCAGCTGCGCCTTGACAAACGACCGGATTATTAATCAACTCACATAGTAACTACACAGCTGCCAGTGGATCACTGACAACCAGAAATTATTATACGGTTTACATATGTGGTTTACACAATCTATGGCGTGGAGTGATGTTGTTATATCGCGGTGCAGATGCAGTTCGACGGCATTCGGGAGACCCTGGCCCGTGAAGTCCCGACAGGAACCGTCAAGGGTACGAAGAAGCTGGCTTTGAGCTGGCAACGGACTTTTTCATGCACGAACGGCAGGTCTAGAAGGTGAACATGTTTGGTTACTACCAGAGAGAAGCGCAGCAAACAGCCAATGACGAGAGGATGTTCCTTGGCTTACACGAAGACAGTAAATCGGGGGCTATGGCATGTACAAAGCGCATGTGGACCTTATGAGAGCGTTGCCGCTGTCCTTATCTTTAACTCCTCGTTGGGCCCGCTGTTCTGTCCTAGGACCGTATCAGAACCTTACAGCTTTATCAGATCTGATCGCCTGGCACATGCATTTCAAGATATTACGCATACACGTGGTTTGTCGAGAAGATCAAGGTACGAGTCAAAATTGTAGAGTAGATTGTATTTGCAAAGCACAAGAGACCGGCTAACCCCGCTGCAGGGCGCTGTCGACCCCTGCGGCATTCTTTCGCGAGGAAAGTCGGGCGTATGGCCGCAGAGGCATCGCGACGATTCGTTTGCGGGTAGGCCCTCCCGAGGAAGGTACAGAGAAAGGGGATACAGGAAAAAGGGTGTAAGAAAACATGCTGTACTGAAATCTGCGGGGTGTACGACATACGTCGTACAAGATATCTCCTGTTTCATTCGCAAAGCATATTATAGCTGCGCATCGTCCTGTTTCCCAAACGCACTGCCCCTGTACTGCTTCACGCCCTCGACACTGTGAAGCCAGGCCACACGGTCGTCGGTAAATTGTTCAATCCTGGGCCTGAGCTTTGATTCAATCAAGTTAAAGTCATCCACAGTGCCAAGACGCAGGATGCTCGTGCCCGGAAACCCTTCGCCGATGCGGTACATCAGTGTCCCACACGTCGAGCAAAAGTAGTTTGTCATCTTGTGGCCAGAGCGGATGCTACTCGACTGGCCGAACGTCTTAAGGTTGTCTCTGCCGCGTACGTGTTCCAAGTGTGTGTTTGCAACCACGAAATTGGAGGCAAACGTGGACGCCGTGATTTTTCTGCAGTCGGTGCAATGGCACAAAAATGTGTCACGGAGACCAGGGCCCTGCGTAGGCTAAAAATTATTGTGTTAGTGGTCTGCTAAGTCGCTACAGTGCAAAGGCTGTAAGGGATGGAACGCTATGCTGTCCAATCCGATGGTATTTCTTACAAAAGCTAGCTGGACTGCGCCGCAAAAGCACGTAGCGGATGCTCGTTCGTCGGTAGACCACCCATCGGTGGCTAAGCCCGCGACGGGAATGTAAGGCTTGGATTTGTCTGCAGCGGCAGCCATGGTTGAAAGCAGAGACTTGTTCAGCGGTGGTAATTGCTAATTTGCGTTTGATGGTCAATTGAAAACCTTTGGTTGAGTGTCATCAAAGCAGCACGAATGCAAGAGCAGCAGGAAGTGTTATATATGTCGAATGCGAGTCAGCATTAACAGGAAAAACCCGCGCTGTCTTTTAGAGAAAGGGTGCGGGTTGACAAACGGAGTATCGGAAGGGAGTTGCGGAGTTGGATGCAAAAGCCAGCTCTCATCCGTCAACTCCTGGGATATGACGAATCGCAGTCCTCCGTAAATGCGCTCTACAGTGCTTTGTAATTCATCGTTTCGTGGTTTCCAGGACATTACCGGAAAATTACAAAATAGACTAAAACGGACACCCAGTCCGTTACCATGTACACTTTATCTTCATCTTTTTACATCGCGGCACATACACTGTTGGAGAGTACAGAGTACTGGACACACAAATCTCACCGCGGAATCCTTCTCCATGGCATCGTCCCTTGCAAACAGCAGGCTTTTCAAGCCACTAAAACTGGGCCATGCGACCCTACAGCACCGCATTGTCCTGGCTCCCCTCACCAGGAACCGGAACGATAGCGAGCACTCACCCACCCCAATGATGGTGACCTACTACGCCGATCGCGCCTCTACACCCGGCACTCTCGTCGTTTCGGAGGCCACTGCAGTTTCACATGACGAGGAAGGCCAGCGCAACATCCCTGGATTTACAAGTGACCGCCAGGTGGCCGCATGGAAGGAGATCATCGACGCCGTCCACGCCAAGGGCTCGGTGTACTTCCAGCAGCTGTTTGCTCTTGGCCGCGCTTCTACCGCAGACTATGTGGCCGAGAGCGGACGCCCGTACCGGTCCAGCAGCGCCGTCGCCATGCAGGGCGTTGACGCCACGCCTACCGCGATGACAGAAGATGAAATCCAGGAGACCATCCGGGCCTTTGTGGACTCGTCGAAACGAGCGATTGCCGCCGGGGCTGACGGTGTCGAGATCCATGCTGCTCACGGTTACCTGCTCGACCAGTTTCTGGCGGACTCGGTGAATCGGCGCACCGATCGTTGGGGCGGCTCCATTGAGAATCGATCTCGGTTGACGCTCGAGGTAGTCAAGGCTGTTGTGGAAGCCGTTGGTGCTGAGCGCGTTGCTGTCCGCTTCTCGCCGTATGCCGGTTTCCAGGGCGTCGAAAAGAGCGATACCCGCGAGCTGTACGGCTACATCGTCGGCGAGATGAAGAAAATGGACAATGCCAGGTTCGCGTACTTGTCGCTGGTGGCCGCCACCGGCGACCCGGCCGCAATCATTTTTGGGGGCAAGGAAATCAACAAAGGCAAAACGCTGGAATTTATTCTCGAGGCCTGGGACAACCAGTCGCCCGTTACGATCGCTGGCGGCTACACTCCGGAGATTGCCCGGTTGACAGTTGATGAGCACTACCAGCATTACGATGTGCTTGTCGGCTTTGGCCGCCACTACCTCGCCAACCCAGACCTCGTGTTTCGCATCAAGAATGGCATCCCGCTGAACAAGTACAACCGCAAGACGTTCTACCTGGTCATGTCGAATGTCGGCTACAACGACTACCCATTCAGCGACGAATTCAAAACGACCCAGGAGACTCTAGTGGCAGCATGAATGGCGTAGAATACTGCATGTTTTTTTAAAGGCAGAATAGAATTTTAGATACTGCTTGGAGTGGTGTTGAGTGGTAGAATTGATTCCGTTGACCATGGCTGGACTTTTGCTTATCGTGAATGTTTACGATTTTCTGTTGGTGCTCGACGGCTTAGACGTTCAGTTCAGCTGGGCCTTCAGTGGGTGCCCACTGCAACCAATTTTCACACTTTTCTTCCTGGCGGGACATTTCCCAATCGTTTTGGTGTGAATTCTCATCAGCCCCTAACTTCCTACCTTCACTTTACCATTTTAGTGCAATTTCGCGCCGCGGTTAGTTCACTGAACACGGTCGTTGGTGGTCCATTGTTTACAGGCCCGTCACATAGTAAGATTATTAACAGCGCAACGGCCCTGAAGAACAAAATATAACGTACAGCTCCGAAACTCCGAGCACCGCTTCTCCGCCTCAGAGCCATTCCGCAGCAGCCCCTTCACTTTCCTTTGTCATCCATCGTGCCTTTCGAATCCGTCCGCATCTCCGTCCCCTTCCCTAACTCCGCTACAGTCACCGCCCACGAATACAAAACATGATGCCAGAAACAACTCGCAACACCGATGACCATTTCGACGTCCGTCGGCGGAAAAGGAAGCAAGTCTCTCGAGCTTGCGATTGGTGCCGTGCCCGCAAGATTCGATGTGACAATGCGCAGCCATGCGAGGCATGTCGCCACAGAGATGCACCATGCACGAACCGAGGAGCGGACGGCGAACCCCGCACGCTCCCTCAGGCGCTCCGGGAAACCGAAAAGCTGAAGCTCCGGATCAGAGAACTGGAAGCTTTGCTCGATTCTAGACCGCCCATCACACCGGCGGCTTCATCCAACCTTTCAACCCTCAGCCGCGCGCGAGTCCCGTCCGATCCAGACCCAACGCAGTTTCCGACGAGTCCTGCCTCAAAGCCGCAGTGGAAGGGCATCTATGTCGATACGGCGCGCTCTGGCCGGCCGTCGTACTACGGTGCGGCGTCCTCTTTCTATTTTTTGAGCCGCATCGGATCGTTTCTCGGCAACGCGCTTCAGCAGCCACATGCCACACAGTCCATACAACTGCGCGGGCCGAACAAACGGGCGTATCGCGATGCTCCGAGGGAGGCTGCTGGCAATGCCGTGGCCGATCTAGACGGCATGCCAACCAGGGGCCAGGGGCTTTTCATGTCCCGATTGCAAGAAGAAGCCGTGCTGCGGCTGTTTTGGGAAGGATACCATTGCCTCGTCCCTATTGTCGATGAAACACAATTCCGCTCCCACTACGCGTCGCTGTGGGAGTCACGCTCCACACAGCGGGCGCAATCCGCCCTCGTCGACATCATTCTTGCAATCAATCTGCAGTTTGGCTACGCATACATGCCGCCTGCCATACTTGGATTGGCCGAGGCTGGACGAGACGCGCTGCCAGACGATGCCACCAGCGCTGGCCGGGCCTACTACCGTCGTGCACAGAGCCTTCTCTTTGATGAGCTCGAGAGCCCATCAATCGCAACGGTACAGTGCTGTATCTTTGCCACGTACTACCTGTGTTGTGCATCGTTTCAGAACACCGCCCACGTTGTCCTCGCCCAGGCCGTCCGGACAGCACAGATCCTCGGGCTGCACACCGAACCGTCGGCAGACTTTCCGTATGCCGAGCAAGAGCTACGCAAGCGGGTCTGGTGGACAGTTTGGATGACTGACACAAAAATATCATCCAAACTGGGTCGCCCGTGTCTCATTGACCGCGCGCTGGTGACCGTCAGTTTGTACTCTGATGGTAGGGACGCCGCCACAGCCAACGACGCTACGCTGGGCTTCCATGACAACGTCACGTGGTTGACTTATGCACTGCAGAACTTGCGTTTATTCCAGACGCTGCTTGATGTGTTCGATCCGCTCTGGGAAAAGTTTGGTCGCGTCATACACCGCAAGGACCTGTCGTGCATATACACAGACCCGGATACAGTGGAAGACTGCGCCGTAACCCTGGCTCGGATGCTCCCCGCAATGAAGACGTGGGCGGACAACGTGCCTTTGGGCTTGAAAATGCGGCGACGCGGCGGGGGCGAACCGTATTCCACGAGCTGCCTGGCCGTGGAAATCGATACTCTGGTTCCGACCTGGCTGCAAAGGCAGCGCGTCTGTCTTGAGTTGACATACCACCATGCTGTGTTCAACCTCACTCGGCCTTTTATCACATTCTACACACACCCCGGAACATACACTCCTGTTGCAGAGCGCCTTGCCACCACCAGTGTCGACCATGCTGTTTCATTTACCTTGATCATGCATCAGTTCGTCACAGAGGCAGATGTCATGAGCTGTTGGTCAGAGTATTTTTCCATGCAGTGGAACGCAGCCATAACACTGGTGGGCTTCGTCCTAGCCTATCCCATTCACCAAGCCACTCAAAAAGCTCGCCGTGCAGTGGACAAGGCCTTGGTTGTGCTTGATACGTTTGGCGCCCACTTTGCCATCAGTAACGACGCCGCCGCAATTATGAGGGACCTGGTCACCAAAGCCGATTTGCTGGCTGGACACAGCGGCAGTGCCGTCTCACCTGCCCTGAACACCACTCCTCTGCTGCCCGGTGCAGCCCAGGACATTCGTCCAGCAGAAAGCGGTATCAACTCAGCCGGCAATGACCTTTCGTGGCTCGATCCATCCCAACAGGATGGCTTTTCTCAGTTTATGGACTGGGCCCTGTCGGTTGACGCATACAACAGCTTCGAGAGGTTTTTCACGCCAGGTATAAGTTCTTTCCCGTGACTGCGGTATTTATGGTAGACCTTGAACAGGGTAGATATCAAGTGGGGAGCGCATACAATTAATTGAAATTTATTATTGTATTAGCTTGAGGGTTGACCTTGACATTGACAATCCCGGTGTTTTGTTGGCGAATGATCTTGGCCCTCCCAGCTAACCTGGACTTGCAAGTTTGGATAACAAGAACTAACCGAGTTTGTCGAACGGTGACAGAAAAACTAACAACATATCCCACATCGCCTACGCCAATAATATCTTTGTTAATTCGGCATCCATCATGCATCGCGAAGAACAGCACCAGGTAGCAGAATTCGAGAGATTCGAGAGGGGGAGAGTGCATATACCATGGATATGTCGAAATTCGATATGCATGACGGTGAAAGCGTAAGAAATATGACGGGAGAAGGGAGATTGATGGCTCACTACATAAAGAAACAGCAGGGAAACGCCTCGATGCCCAGGCCGCTACCCTGATGGGAATGGCGAGCCGTAGCAGCGAATTCAAAGGAATCCAAACACAACCCGAAAGAATACATAAATGTGGTAGACGTTATTGCGACGCAAGGTGGTTTAGGAAGCTAGCCTGACTTATTACTAACCACGCTTCGTCGTTGCTTTCCTTCTCGGCCGCGCTGGACACCGGGTCAAGGGCACGCACTTGCAGGTCTCTGGTCCCGTAGGTCACCCGACCAAGTCGAAACATGGAGCATGTCCTACGTGTCGGCCTCGGTAATAGCTCCTATTGTACGTTATCCCAGATGTCGCTCGCTACTATTCCCATTTAGATTCCAGGGAAAATTACTTTGGTACCTGCTTTAGTCAAACGTTTTGTTTTTTATTTTACAATATGTCCATATACTCTGTCTTGAACCTTATTTATTATTCGTCCATACACCGTACGAATTACAACTCGTCGTCAGCGAAGCAGCTCTCTCGCCACATCTTTGAAACCGCAGTGACGGATGTGACGACAGAATGTGTCCAATTTGCAGATCGACAAGACCATGCTTATTCAGAACTATGGTCCTCTTGCTCTTCACGTATTCATGTTTCTTATGTTCCACATGCTCTGCTCTGGGGCTTACAGGATATGACTCCCATTTCGTTCTAGAGGAACTTTAATTAACATTACTGATGGCTTTGAAACCGACTGCCTGCCTTCTCGTCGTGTATAAATTCCAAAGCCTCTCGCCGATTCCTGTCTGTTGAGTTTGACTCTCATTGACTTATTCTCAGCTTCACCCACCTTCCCATCCCAAACCATATATACTTGTCTTCAGAGTTCTCTCTTCAATCTTTTTTACAACACAAAACACCTCGGCAAAAATCTTTCACTCTTCTCCTACCTGATCTCCTTCTCGTCAAAATGAAGGTCTCTACAGCACTCCTGGCCGCCGCCTCTGCGGTGTCGGCGTCGCCGATTGTCAATGAAACGTGGCACGCCTTCGACGCCCGTGCTGCCGACGCCACATCGGTCATCATCCCACGCAACGGTTACGCCGACATCGCTGTCAGCACCCACAACACGCACCGCCAGAAACACTCGGCTCCCCCCATGTCATGGAACGCCGGCTTGGCCGGTTACGCCGGTGCTGTGGCGTCCTCATGTGTATTTGCGCACAATCTGGGCCCCGGTGGCGGCGGCTACGGTCAGAACCTTGCTGTGTCCGGCTCGAGCGCCGACATTACCAACGCCGACCCCAACACGTTTCTTACCCAAGCCGTCACGAGTATGTGGTACGACGGCGAACTGCCCTTGTACCCGGGCTACGGCCAGCCGACCCCCGACATGTCCAACTTTAGCAAATGGGGCCACTTCTCGCAGCTCGTCTGGGTGGCCTCGACGGAGGTTGGCTGTGCGACGCACTACTGCCCGGCAGGCACCATATTCCCGGCGCTCAACTCATGGTACACTGTCTGCGACTACAAGGCCGCGGGCAACGTGGCCTCACAGTACGGCAAAAATGTGCTGCCGCCGCAGGGTATGTGAGGAAGACTGTCAAGAGAACGGAAGAGCTTGCTAGCTTTGTCGGTTGTTACCCTGTTTGCTATTAACGTTGTGCCACGTTTTAGCCAATTTCAGAGTCAATAGAATGTACCGTTGGGGACAATATGCAGAGTGGTATGGATATGATTCATGTAGAGATCCTATGTACGGCAAGGCAAATGTAGACATTGAATAGCTTAGAGATATCATGAGCGAATGAGTGAGAATAATAAAGGCTACAGGTAATCGCAATTGGTCGATAAAAGTGGAATAAGCAATGCGTCCTTGTGGAGGACATAAATACGGGTAGCCAAAATACACAAAAGTATAAAGCGGGCACAATCGACGTGCCACCGACCAAACGTGAACGATATGTGACCGTTTGGTAGCGCACTGCGGATGAAAACACATAAAAACGGTAGATCACAAGACAAAACGCCTCACGACATCCCGAACGAGACCAGGCAGACCCAAAATAGCAACAGAAGTGCAGACCGAAAAAGGTGTTTGAAACAACCAATAAAAACGCAAAGGAACCGAGAGGTGCGGAAAGGTACGTGGAAGAGTATATGAACGGCGTCTTCATATGTCGCAAAAGGCGTAATCTTACGCCATGGAAATGATGGGAGTGTCGTAAGGGTTATCGTAATTGAAAATGGCTGGGCTGCTGCCGCCGTTGCTGTTGACATTGATAATCAGTCGGCCGGCACCGCCGCCACTGTTGAGCTTCATGTTGTTCGCATTATCCGATGTGGCCGTCCATCCGTTCCGCGGTCCCCACATAATGCGCTTGCCGTGCTCCCGCACCGTCTCCTGCAATGCCTCCATGATCGGACAGTTCTTGCGCACGCTCTCGTACGCGTCAAACTCGACCACCTCGACGCTCGGCGCTTCTTGCAAAATATCGTGCAGCAGGTCGCGGGAGAACGCCTCGTAGAAACCGGCCTTGCGAAAGCCGTCCAGCCAGCTGACGCTCGGATCCAGCTGCACAAACACGTTGAGCTTGCGCACGTTGACGCAGTCCTTGAGCCCCAGCTTGCGGTTGACCACCCAGCACTTCGGCGGCTTGTTGAACCCGGGGCCGAGGCGCAGCTCAAGGCTCGTCATGGCATTGCGCTGCTCCTTCTTGAGACGTGCCAGCAGCGGTCGGCGCGTCTTAAAAAAACGGCCCGGGTAAGTCGGAAAGATGCGGAAGGTATGTATGCTGTAGTAATAGTATGACGCCTCGCGGTAGATGGTACGGCAGGTACGCAGCAACATGAGCTTGCGGTGCACCTTCTTGTAATTATCGGGCGTCAGATCAACCACGGCGTCGACACCCTCGAAGTGGAAGCCGTAGATCTTGACGCGCAGCTCCGACGGCAAGTCGAGAAAGCGGAAGGGCTGAATAGGGCATTCGGGCTCTTTGCCCTTACTGTCGCCCTCCGCGGGAGTCTCGCTGGATCCAGCAGGCGCAGCGGCGGCAGTGGCGGCAGCAGCCGAGCCATCTGCACCATTCGTCTCAGGCACAGTCGCCCCAATGCTCAGTTTGTGAATCGGGATGGTGCTGATGTCGAACTTGGCCGGTACCACATCATCCTCGTCTTCAGACACATAAGCAGACGGTAGGGCCGAGCTAGATGGCGTCGTAAAACTCGAAAACACCGGCGTGGCGACCGGCGAAACGGCGACAGGTCGGGACAGCCGTGGCCGCACGACTTGTGCCTTTTTGGTCGTTTTCTTGACCATTTCGTATGTGGGTATAGTTCTTCAGATCAATCAGCTAATGAGAAGTTGAAAGCTGTGGGCACCGAAGAGTGGGATAGAGCGTTTCCCGGTCTGCTGTCGATTCTGTTGTAGATTACACTCGTGAGGGATGTCGGTTATGCGGTGCTTCGTAATCCACGCCCAGATGCCCGTCGTCTCGGCCTCCGTCAAAGCCAAGTCCTCAGTCTTGCTAGATAGATTAGGTAATTCTCTAGAGAGTGGCTCCATCGTGAGTGCAGCACGCAAGTCGACGAATGGGCGGCCACCCTCTAGAATGCCGCATGCGCGCCCGCCATTGTGGAGATTGAAATGTTGAGGACGACGGTGAACGTGAACGTGGGATTGGGGTTTGTCGAGCGTTGTTCGCGGAGGGTGGTTGTCCAGAGGTGTCTCGTGACTAGGGAAAGCAAGGCACAAAAGGAACAAGACGAGGGTAGTGTTGGAAGTGAGATTGACAGAGGAGATTTCGAGGCTGGCCGTGTGGAATGGTTCTACCGGCGTTATGACGCTGATACGGATGGCGCGAGACGGCGGTGGCGTGGTGAGGCGAAAGCTGAGAAGGAAAAAAAGACGAGGGAGAAGAAAGAGTTAGGAATGAATCCGGCAGATGAGCACGAGGACGGTAGAAATGGAGAAAGAGGAGAAAGAGGGGATCTAAATATGGGCTGTTGCATAGATTAACCCGGTACTGGAGGGTGGATGGCGTCAGGCGTGCAATTGGAAGGCTCGCTCTGTCATCGGGTCAAGGCAACGCTGACAAGCCGCTCTGCAGGTGAAGGCAAAGGCGGGGAAGGGCCAGGCCGTTGACGACTCGGTAAAAGAATTGCCTCTCAGCAGTGGCGAGGCTCGGGAACGGGTGAACGAAAATCCGGCTTATGACGCTACCGTAGCATATGTCTGGCTTTGCAGCTTTGGCAAACAGGTTGTGCCGCACACCCAACAGCAGGACAGACACCGGACCAAGAACTAAATTTTTCCAACCCCTGCTGTGTCCAGTGTAAGGCTGCGAGGCACATCCCACCTTGAATTTTCAGGTGACAGCATCGCGTGTCGTGCGAAGCTCTCTTTCTGCGACTCCATTACCACACAACATCCGCTGCAGCACACCCTCGATTGTGTGCCCACTACATGGTCGTCTACAACCCCGACAGTCTCTCTGTGTCTTTTTTCTCACTCATCGACACCGGTCCCTTGACACAGCCGCACACCCCGCCATGCTCCTCAGAGCAGCTGTGCGGCGGCTTCGGTCGCCGGCCATGGTACCGACCGTTCAGCGAACGACGGCAGCCATTGCAAGATCTACCATTGGCGGCACATCTTCTACCTCTTCGGCCCTCCGCCCGGCACTCTTCTCGACGACCGCTCTCCTAGCCCAGGGCCGCTTCACCCCGCCAAGCAGCGACGAGACTACACAATCGCAGCAGCAGCCGTCTCCACAACAGTCCTCGTCCAGTCCAGCAGAGGCCAAGCCGCCGAATCAACAACCCAAGTCTACAAAGGATGCAGCAGCTGAAGAACAGCCACCAAAGATTGACCTATCGCAGCTACCAGACCTGACGCAGGGCATACCGTCGACGCTCGAGCACGAGACCGCCGGTGCGATGAACAAAGCCTCCTTGGCGCCCTTTGAGGAGGAGACTGCCGCCGGTGCTGGTGGTGCAGGTGGGCCGGGTGGCCCTGGTGGCCGCGAGAAGGGTGAGCTTCCGGCGTCGGCATACGTCTCTTCGTCGGAGAAGCGGCGCCAAAAGGTGGCCAACTACATGTTTGCGGGTGCGTTCGGCCTCGCTGTTGTGGGTACCGTCTATGCCGGCCGCAACTGGGATGAGGAGGACGCGCGGCGGCACCCGGACGTCCCCAACGGCTGGGGTTTGGGTCTGTGGTGGAACCGCGTGTCGACGCGGACAAAAGAGGTGCTGTCGTACTACCACGAGCCTGCCTTCGAGAAGCTGCTGCCGGAGCCCGATCCGGTTTACGGCCGGCCCTACACGCTGTGCATTTCCCTCGAGGACATGCTGATCCACAGCGAGTGGACGCGCGAGCACGGTTGGCGCATTGCCAAGCGCCCCGGCGCCGATTACTTCTTGCACTACCTCAGCCAGTACTACGAATTGGTGCTGTTCACGACGCTGCCTTTTGCCATTGGCGAGCCGATGGTGCGCAAGCTGGATCCCTACCGCTTTATTGTCTACCCACTCTTCCGTGAGGCCACCAAGTACAAGGACGGTGAAATTGTCAAGGACCTGTCATACCTCAACCGTGACCTGTCCAAGGTGATTATCATCGACAGCAACGCCAGCCACGTCCGCGCCCAGCCCGAAAACGCCATTGTGCTGCCCAAGTGGGAGGGCAACCCCAAAGACACAGACCTCGTGGCCCTCATCCCCTTCCTCGAGTACGTTTACACGATGCAGTACGGCGATGTGCGCAAGGTGCTCAAGTCCTTTGAGGGCAAGGACATCCCCACCGAGTTCGCACGCCGCGAGGCCATTGCGCGCGCCGAGTTTGAGAAACAACTGGCGAGCCAGCGCCGTGGTCGGCCGAAGCAGGGCAGCGGCGGTGGCATTGGCGGCCTCGGCGCCCTCCTGGGTCTCAAGTCAAACAACATGAGCGTCATGGTCCCCGCAGACGGCGAGCTCAACGTGGCCGAGCAGCTGGCGCAGGGCAAGATGCTGCAGGACATTGCGCGCGAGCGTGGTCAGAGGACGTACGAGATGATGGAGAAGGAAATCCGCGAGAACGGTGAGAAGTGGCTCAAGGAGGAGGCGGCCATGCAGGAGAAGATGCAGCAGGAGGCCATGCAAAACATGAAGCAGTCATTTACCGGTTGGTTTTTGAGCTCGGGACAGCAGGCCCAACAGTCTCAACAGGCCCAGCAGGCGACTCAGCAGGCGGCAAGTGAGGGCACAAAATAGACCACCTACGACTCGGTATCTCTCTCTCCATTCCATCATCACTTCCCATAATTCTCACTTATGTCGCAACCGTATCACACTGCATTCACTTGCGACCTTGTACATTCCACTTTCTTCTCATCTTGGGGGCTCCTTTCTCTGTTCCTGCGTTCTGCTTTTCTTCCTTTTGTCACGGAGTCAGCGGTGAAGGCCGCAGGCATGCATCGGGTGATACAAAACTTGGTGGGGAGGCTACAAGACGGAAAAAGCATACAAATAAAATGAAAGCCATAACATATGGACAAAATCACAACATCACAATATAACAAATATAACAAAATATAACAAAATATAACAATGTAACGAACCATCGTTTTATCTACATTACTCCTATCTTGTTGAGCATGCCACCGGTCCAGTCTATAAAGTCAGGAGAGAAATTAACAGAATTCCAAAGCCAATGCAAACTCCAAAGCAAAGCAACGCAGTCTTCAAATACTAATAAACATACCCGGTCATTATCTACCGTCATCGGTTTGGAGTGCCATTAGACACTGGTTTCAGACCTTTCTCTGCACTCGCCATAGCCGCCTTCGCCGGCTTCGACTTGTCCTTTGGCAGCTCCTTCTTTTGAATATTTGCACAACTCGGCCAGGCCAGCGGCTTTCCCGCGAGTGACTCATACGTCCTCACGGCGTAGAAAACCAGCAGCAATCCAGCCGCGACCAAGTCCACAATGTGAACCACCCACCATACGTGTTGCCGGCCAAATGCACAGGTCGCGTACTCGAAACGCCACTCCCACGCATCCTCGTCGAACCAGGCACTGAGCAGGCCGGCATTGCCTCCAAATTCGCCCATCATGCTGCGCACGGTAATCTCCCGCACACCCGGCAATCCATCGCGTTCTTTGCCCAGCAAACCTTCGGTCCGCGCAGTCGCCCACGTCGCTGTCTCCCAGCGACGGTCCTCGTTGGGAATCTTGTGGGACTGGTTGATATAGTGGAACGTGTCGCAACCCTCGTGGTCGTGACCGTTCAGAATCACGCCGCGGCGGCCCTGTCCGCCTCCAGGCGCGTTGCGGTCGCCGTGCATCCCAAAGATGCCCTGCAGGAAACCCTCGCTGGCGTCCTCACTCAAGAGGTTCTGCTCGCGGAGCGTTCCATCGTCGTCGTGGAAAGCAAAATAAGGCGCGTCAACGCAAACCCCCTCGGGCTTATAGAGCGGGATGTGCGTCAAGACAATGGTAAAATGGCCCTTGAACTCGACGGCTGATGCGGTGTTGATGATGGCATTGATAAAGTTGTAGGTCTGGTCCTGGATGTCCGCACTGTAGGCGGGCGTGTCTAGGTTCATGTCGTTGAGGTTAATAATGCGCAGCTCGGGCACGAGGAGATGCGAGTCCGGGTTGGTCTCGTCGTCGAACACGGCGGTACGCGCGTCGGCGCTCAGACGGTCGACGGGCAGCTCAAACCGCAGCTCGTAGTTGGCCTTGCCAAACTGGCGCTCAAATCGTGCCAGGCGCTCAGCGGTGATGTCGCCGGCATAGCCAATGTCGTGGTTGCCGGCCACGTTGATGATGCGGCGGGTCCAAGAAGCGGCAATATCTGCCACTGTCTGGTTGATGGGGGTGCTCGTGTTGGCCGGCATACCCAGGTACCCAGACAGGTCGTACTCATCAGCCGGGAACATGGCCAATTCGTCGGGGATCCGCTCGCCGTTCTTGAGGACGCGGTTCCAGAAGCGAAAAGCACGTCGCTCAAATTCGTCGTCGTCCACCCACTGGCTTCCCAGAAGGTCGCCCAAGACAGATATGTGCGTTGGTACCGTCCACCAGCGCATCAAACGCACAATGTGTGCAAGGTAAAAGTCGTTGCCAAACAAGTCGATGCGCTTGCGGCCGGAAAGGATCGTGTTGGGAATGTCGAGGAACCAAAAGTCAACCAGGTCGTGCAGCGTCTGGCGCATGCGCTCGCGGAGGGTCATGGAGGAGACAGAGTCATCATCGGGGCCGTTTTCTTCGCCGTAGTCGGAGGGGATCTTCTGGAACGTGGCCAGCTTGAAGGCGTGGACGAGGTTGGGGAAGGACTGGTCGCTGTAGGCGTTTGGGATCGACGTGTCGCCTTCGAGCTGCGGATCGCCGAGCGCGAGCATTCGGAAAGGAGCGAGCGGGCGGCTTGCCAAGCCACTGCGGCCCGGAAGCAAACCATCAAGCCTTGACGGGAGGTGCAGGCCAAGTGTCTTTCGGAACGCGGACGATGCGCTGTCGGTGTCGGAGTATTCCGTCGTCGGTCGAGGCGGCAGAGGAAAGGCGCATTGCCCAAAGACCGGGTACAGGTAGGTGTATACGGTCAGCGCTACCGCCACTGGCACGAGGATACGCAACGCATTGCGGAGGAGGGCCGTCGGCGAGGCAAACATGTGATGATGCGAAGAGACGAACGAATCGCGGAAACAGGAAAGGTGACAAAAAGAGAGAGGGCAGCGCCGTCACGCAGACATGGGGTATGCTCGATAAACGGACACGGTGAGGCAAAGGCCAAAGAAAAAATTGGTGAAGACAACACGCGAAACTGAAATAAAAAAATAAAAATAAAAAATAAAAAGGAGACGACGAAGAAAGAATACGACAGGGATCTCTTAATGGTTGAACTTGGTTAGAAAGCTTCGATGCAGCCCCTTTCTGCAAGTCTAGTTTGCTAATTTTTTATTTTTTATTTCGAACAATTTAAAGACTTAAATGCTACAACGCGCCTGGGACCAGTTCAAGGGCGTCGGGTCCACTTTTTAGCCGGGACAGGGCTACTGTGAGCGGCCCCCAGTTCCCTAAATTTGCCGCTGATGGCTGTCCAGAACAGCACTTTAGTGGACACGAGTGCAGTAGCACTGACATTTCTGAGCCATTGTGTCTGTTTTGCAAGTGTCTCGCGTATAGTGCGTCTTGGGCGACAAAATCATGTCGCACAGTCGTTCTCACGTTCGCCAACACAGCATCTGTCGACAGTCGGTCGGCAACTGTTCCTTGGTATATCGTCTTCGCCTTCCTTGGCATCATTGCTGCCCACGCTCCCACTCACTCGTCCTCGTCTTCAAAAGTCGGAATCTCAACGTGGAACGAGGCTGCCTCGCCTATTTCGTCGCCCCTTTGGATGGCAAACGCCAGGGCCGCGTTCTCTCTTAGACGCATAGACGCCGGGGTCTCGCCGTTGTCTGTGTTGAGCGGCTTCCATCCGGCGCCCAGATCGCGTAGGTTCTTTGGTGCGGCAAAAACAACGCGGGCCTCCTCGCCAATAGCAGGGATGGGTGTCGTCTCGGGCAGCATAGCCGCGTGGGCTAGGCCGCGTGGGTAGCGTTCGCGTAAAACTTCGAGCAGTTGGGTCGAGATCGCGTCAAACGTCGCGGAGCGGTCGACGAAAAGGAAGATGGTCTGTGGTCCGTACTTGAAGCGAAGGGAAATGCCATCGTTGGGGATGTCGATCGCAGCCTTGTCGGTTAGCAGGAGCCTATGCGTGACTTTGTCTTCACAGGTGAGTAGCCGTAGCCACCCATGATTTTCTTACCATATTTGCCAGTTTGCTAGAGGTCCGTGGTGTCTTGTGTCTACGGGGTGAGGCTGAAGATGGACGACGTGAAGGTGTACGGTGTCTGTTCGATCGCTAAAGCTAGCATTCACCGGCAGCAGCCAGTCCCCGCCAAAGCAGTGTGGCCAATCACTGAGTCGCTTTTAGTGGCTCCAGTGTAACCGCGGCGCCTGACTCTGGGCCGCTAAATGCAGCATCAAAGTTTTGCTCGAACTGAAGCTGTCAAGAGTTCATCATGATGTGACGCTTGCACTGACGACCCAGCCTCTCGTGCTTATTTTGAAGCCTCAACCGCCTGTCGTCCCTCTCGGCCATAGTCGATCTACGCGAACACTCAGACACACAGACAGATACAAGCATGGCCACACCGGCGCGTGGGGGACTGCCCATCCATGCTATGGATCATTTGGCCTCGGAAACGACGTCCGACAACAAGGACTCTACAACAACCACAACGACCGCACCCCCGACCCCGACGCGCACACGTGGTGCCGCTGCGTCGGAGGCCGAACAAGAAGCCATCAACGAATACTGGCGCCAGTCCCGACTATCCTTGCCAGACGTCGTCCGCATCCCGCTCGCTACGATGGCCTCGTTTACTGTTGGCATGGGCCTCGGTATTGCACATGGCAGCACCATGGCCGGCATGCGCTTCCGCGCCGAGCACGCGCACAAGCTGCCGACATCTACCACGGGCTGGTACCTGTACCACAAGTCTAAAAACTACCATGTGGCGTACGGCGGCATCCGCGAGGGCCTGCGCATGGGTGCCAAGGTGTCAGTGTGGACGACGGCCATGTTTGGCATCGAGACGCTGTTTGACCACTACCGCGACACCAAGGACGTGGCCAACACGGTGCTGGCCTGTGTCACGGTTGCCGGCGGCTTTAGTCTATGGAGTAAGTGACGGTGTGGAGAAGAAAGGCACAAGAGGGAGTACGTTGAACTCAGCTAACATTCGACACAGACCGCTTTCCCCTCGCGACAGCGGCACGCACAACCAAGACGGCCATCCTCGTGGGGTTTGTATATGGCAGCCTACAGGACCTCGCAGGTCTCGCGCGGGGACGTCGGATCAGCTATGTGGATTATGTGCAGCGGAAGTTGAAAAGCCGGAGCCAGCCTGAGGTGCCTGACACGCCAGCTGTATTGCAGGAAGACACACGAGTCATAACGAAATAAACGCATAACAACACATACCCCAAGACACCCAAGACGATGACGAGAAATACGAAGAGAATGCCCAAAGTAACAGACAAGACGAGGCTGACATGGCCAGCGAGGCCAATAGCCCATATCGATAGACAACGCACTATTCAGCTGTGAAACCCGACTAAGACGTCACCACAGACGAGACAGCGGCCAAACCAAGCCGTTCACGGTCGAGACAGAACCAGCAAACAGGCACAAATGACGTCCCAGGCGCTATGGCAAACGTGGCATGGAACGAGTCCTTGTTGCGTTGGGTCTTTTTGCGTTTTGTTGCACCTTGTTGCGTCTTGCTACGGCTTAACACACGCCAGGAACAGGCGTAGGAATGCGCTTCAGTGGCCGCTAGCCCGTCCGAGATGCTGGCATGTACGCTCTCCGTGCAATCCAGGTTTACTCGCCATTCACGCTTCATTGCCACACTGTGCTATTAGCGCTTCATCAATCCCTCGATCATCGGGCATGAAATGGCCGAAACTCGCAGCTCGATGTGGGAAATAGACTGATTTTCTCTCTTCGGCTTCAACATTTTTGTACTTATAGCATGCATGCCTTCCATTTACGCTCTGAGCTTTTCTTCGGCTTAGCGTACGGCCCATTTTGCGGGGACTTTGGCCACATTGAACGGCCATTCGAGGCATTGTCCTTAATGAGGGTCAAATTGCGGCCGATTGACGGACAATGAGAAGGAAAACGCTTTGGTTGTGGGCACTAATGGAGAGTTGAATGCTGCCAGCGGATGTAATTTACCCAAAGGCCGTTACAACGAGCCCCTCGGCTATCTGCGGCATTCATGTACGCCCCGCCGCACACGTGATCACTAACACGAGAGTTTGATCCATTCTCAATGTCCTTCAATTGGGCCGCCCTCTCGTTTGATAAGGGCCGTCGTCTCGACTACGGCATTGATTTGCCAGAACCTCGAGTTACTTACGAGACCGAGCCAGTGCTCTAGAAAATGATGCGAGAATATTTTCAACAGCTTGTCCATTTCATAGCAGTCCAGAACCCCGGTTGCTCTTGCCTCCTTTGCGATAGTCGGAGGTTTGGGGCGAGCTATTTGCATCAAAGAGCCGCTCCTTCCCTCCCTCCTCCTTTTATTTATACACCCGCCTTCCATTTCCGGGAACTTGTGAACGCTCGTAGTGTCTTATTTTAGTTCTGCCTGATTTGATACACTCTGATTCCCGTCGACTCTCGTGATCTATCTCTTCGTCTCCACACCTCCTGGGGCCTTCGGGTCAATATCTTGTCCAACGTCCCTGAGACTAACATCATCCCACCATCACTTATCTATCTTCTCTATAGATTACTCGTGCTCGCCCACTCCTATCTACACCAATATTCCTCTCTCTCGATCTCTGATCTGATTTGTCGAATCTCTCTTCTTTCTCTTCATAACATCACATTTGTCGATATCTCCCGAGATTCTCGCCCCTATCAACGTTTACCACTGCCATGCTGTCGTCCCCGACGGCGGCAGCGCGTCACGCGCTACGATGTGGTGTTTCCACCATCTCTGTGGCATCATCGTCTACCTCCAACACCGCGCCCCGTGGCCGAGCTATTCACACGTCCAAGCAGCGGCCAAGTCCGCCCATCCCGGCCGATCATCTCGCCATCAATAATGGCCCCGCCGTTTTTGGCGCCACGACAACAACAGCAGCAGCGGCTCCCGGTCCAGGTAAACCGTCAGCACTCTCGGTCTTGCCGCTTTCGTCCATCTTGCGCTCGCTTATGGCCACAACCGTTTCATCGTCGCCACTTCTTCTGGGCCCGTCCATGGCCGTTATGACGTTGCTTTCCCACAGCACAAACCCCTTACTGAACCCGGATCGAAACTTCCTGCTGCGCTATCTATTGAAAAAAACCTTCTACGCTCAATACTGTGCGGGCGAGAACGAGCGCGAGGTGCGGCAAACGGTTAACAACTTGAAGAGCATCGGTTTCCGCGGTGTGATTTTGGGATACGCCAAGGAGGTTGTGCTCAAGGACGAAGAGAAGAAGAATCTCGATACGTTTGATGGTTCAAACCGGCTTGAAGCCACGGCGAGCGAGATCCGCTCGTGGGCCGAGGGCACTCTCGAGACAGTGCGGCTAACGTCGGCCGGCGACTTTGTGGCCCTCAAGTTCTCGGGCGCCGGCATTCAGGCACTGCACAACCTATCGAAACAGCTCCCTCCGTCGCCAGCGCTTGCCGATGCCATCGACCGCATCTGCCAGCTGGCGGTTGAGCGCAAGGTGCGTCTGCTGTTTGACGCTGAGCAGCAGGCTGTGCAGGCAGGCATTGACGACTGGACCATGACGTACATGCGCAAGTACAATACGCCCGAGCAAGCCTTTATTTACGGTACATATCAGGCCTACCTCAAGGCCACGGGCGCCGTTCTGTCACAGCACCTACGCATGGCCCGTGAGGGCGGATTCGCGCTGGGCGTCAAACTCGTACGAGGCGCGTACCTGGGCTCGGACCCGCGCCATTTGATCCACGACACTAAGGAGGACACCGACCGCGCATACGATGGCATGGCGGAGGGGCTGCTGCGACGGGAGTGGACGGCACCTCTGGTGCCGGGAACGGGAACGAACGATGAAGCATTCCCGGTCGTGGGACTCGTGGTGGCGTCGCACAACGCGGCCAGCGTGGAGCATGTACAGGCACTGCTGGTGTCGGGAATGGCCAAGACGACGGACGTGGCCTTTGGGCAGCTGCAGGGCATGGCCGACGAGATCAGCTGCCGGCTGGTGCTGGACGACACGATTGCGCAGCAGCAGCCGGACACAACGGTGCCGCCCCTTCAGGTGTACAAGTATCTGGTGTGGGGCACGACGGGCGAGTGCATGAAGTACCTGCTGCGGCGGGCGCACGAGAACCGGGACGCGGTGCGGCGGACCAAGTGCAGCAGGGACGCTATGATGGCGGAGTTGTTGCGGCGGTGCAAGGCTGTTTTTACACGGAGGGCCTAGATTGGGGGGTAGAATGCCATTCGTGATTTTTGTTTGCTCATACACTTGCGTTACACCAAAGAGGTGTCTTCCAGCGTTGATTTAGCATGGCAGAGTAGCCGTTCAAGATTTTGTTTTCGTTGTAATTGAAACCGTTGCCAAACAGGAATACCATACCGACGCCTTGCCCTTGAAACGCCATAACCTAACAAAGTAACGCCCTGTATATCACATCCTCCTTTTACAATCCCCGCAATGCCATGGCGCCCAGCACCAGCACTTCCGCCTGGTGTCGCTTGGCCGGCGTGTCCTCGTTGCCGGCCAGAGACGGCACACCGTTCAGCTTGTAGTACTTTCGTACACGCGTCAGGTCTGTGCACTTGGCCAGCGCTACGGAATTCGACAGTGGAGTGGGCGTACCCTGCACATGCTCGGCCAAATGCGCCCAAACCGGGGCTGGGTCGGCGCCGTCCAGCAGCACCTTGACAGCCACTACATTTCGTGTATCTGCTGTGATTCCATACCGGCGGTATGCTTCGGCGATCTGTGGGTGTTAGCAAGCAGAGCGCGTGGCAACGGCGACGATGGCACGCGAAGAATAGACAGGAAGCACTGGGGGGGGGGGCTACATTTAAGGACGGACTCAGCGACAGGACCGCCTCCGAATGAACATTGGGCGTCTTGAGCGTCCCTGACTTGTGCGCCAGCACAGCTTTGTAGACTGCCGCCAGCAGGTGGGTGCGCGACACGACAGTGGCGGCGTCGATGAGGGCGTACTCAAAGTCGGCATTGCGAGCGACGAGCTGAGCCTGCAGAAAGGCGGCGTTGGCTGCGTCAGTGAAAAGTGCGGCGTACACGGCGTAGCCCGGTGGGAGGTGCTCGACGGTGACGGCAAAGTCCGCGAGCTCCATGGTGGGCTGACGGTGGTTTGCAGTAGTGGCGTGAGGTTGGCGAAAATGACTGTTTCAGTGGGATGAAAATTTGAGGCTCGATGCCGCCAAGAATGTATTGCTGGATTGCCCCACCACAAACAGTGACGCCTACATGTCAGTGCCGCCTGCCCGCTGTTATATCAGCTCAGCGCAATACAATAATCAAAATTATTGCATCTTTACAGTACCGAGATACATATGGCTTACATGCATGGCCTCTGCTCATTTCCAAAGAATTTTAATAGTACCAAGTCGTAATTTAATTGAATGTTTTTATGTGATTTCTTGTACTAGATTATTTGGGAGGTATTTATATGTGTATATATATATACATATTTTTGGTAAAAAATAAATGTACGTAAGTAAATAATATTACTCATAAATCAACAATAAATTGGAGCATAATTCCATTAATTTACCGTTTCTCGTTTTACTTAGGAAACAATTCAGTCGTAACCAGTATAAGTATCTTTAGACCGCTTACAACGTCCTACAACTTGTCCTTACCAGCGCCCTCGGTGTCAGCAATGCGAAAGACGTACTTGATGCCGTGCGCCTTGCCATCGCGCAGTTTCTGTAGGCCAGTCTGCACGCCGGCCAGGCCACCAGGAACAACCTCATAAGGATGGCCCTTGAAGTTGCCCTCGGCCAGGGCGCGGCCCAAGTAGCGCGAGTAGACGAAGCCTAGATCCTTGAGGTCGCGGTGGACACGGCCGACGCTCGTGAGGACCGACTGCACCGTCCCCTTGATCCGCTCGTCGTTCTTCCACGGCAGCACCAGAGAGACACGGCCGTCGGGCTGCAGTACCGAGCTCACAATGTAGTTGCTGCTGCCCCCGCTCATGGCGTTGACGGCATGGCGAACAGTCCGGCCGCCCACGGCCTTTTTGAGAGCGGCAATGGCGGCATCGTCGCCTCCGCGGTAGTCGACGACCACGTCGCCTTTGCTCTTGTCAAGCAGGGTCTCGACAAAGGCGGTCGACTGGCCAGCGACGGCAATGACGGGGTGGATGTTGGCGAGGCGGGCCAGCTGAATGGCGGCAGCACCGACGCCCGAGGACGCGCCATAGACGACGAGCGGCGTTTCCGCCACAGCACCGCCTTTACCGGAGTCGTCCAGGCTCTTCCACGGGTCGGGCTTGTCGGTGGCAGCGGCCGTGGTCCACGGGTCCGGTAAGCCCAGGTCGTGGAAGAGCGCAATGGCGGCCGTCAGGGCCACGAGTGGGATGGTGGATGCCTCTTCGAAGGACGTGGTCTCAGGAATGTGGAACGTCGTGTGGGCCCAGGCCAGGGCATACTCGGCAAAACTGGCGGCGGCCTCACCAATCTCGTGGAAGGCGGCCACGCGGTCGCCGGCCTTGAACTCGTTCACACCAGCACCCACACTCGCAACAATACCGGCAATATCGTCGCCCGAATTATGGGTCCGGTCACGCCACGCGGGAAGCTTCCAGTCCTTGGGGTTGGAGCCGGACACGACGACCTTGATGAGGACCTGGCCAGCAGCCGGGATCGGAACGGGGACATCGACGATATGCACGACAGTGTCTAAACGGGAAGGTTAGAGGAGAAATGGCAGAAAAAATTCCAGAACAGCTGGGAGGGATACCTTTGGAGACTTGAGCTTCTTTCATGATGGCGGTGTAGTATGGCGAGGCGTTGATGTCAATTGGATGTGGTGTTGTCAGGAGGGCACTGGCCATTGCCGTCAACAGACGGCCCCTCTCGAGCCGTACGCCATGTCTTATATGCCGAGCCGCACTATGGTGCAATCCAGTAGACGGATTGGAGTGGAGGGCGGCAAACAGAACTGGAAAACAATCGCAGTGCATATTGTCATGGACCGTCAGGGAACAGTTTAAGCGATCGCGGTACTAGGAAGCGCTAACTGAACGGCGATGTTGTAGCACGCTGAGAGCTAAGTCGTCACTCTACAAGATCCGTGTCCTGTGCAATGTCGTAATGGCAATTCCAAAGAAGCCGTATTTCCAATCACGGAGTGCAGAAGATGTCAGACATCCGAGGTATTATTCGCTTAACAAGAACCGGGGCCCGGAATGACAGAGCGCACTCGAGATTTCGCCGGCCGAGAGCGGACAAGACGACTGCATTGGTCAGGCTATGGAAGCCCAATATAGTGTCTAAAGCCTACTTTTGGCCAAAGCGTTTCAGAGATGGGATGCCGCCGATACGACCTTGAATGCTGCTCATACGAGGCACGGCATAGTATCAGCGGTGTTCAAAAGGATTTTATTTACTCAGCAGACGCGATGTGGACTCCTTGACACAACTGGAGTTAGCAGCCACCGCCGGCTGGGTTTGCATCAAATAGGCGGTAGCGGCATGCATTTACAGGGACTACAGCGGGACCGTGGTGCTGACGGCCAGCGGACGGGCACGAAGAAATACTGGAAGATATCCTCGCGGAAGGTGATTGGCTGAATTAGACCCCATCTCCAGACGCCAACACCCATCAACATAACCTCATTGCATGCATGATACGGCGAAGTCAACGGCAACGGTGTCCATAATGCGCGCCACAACAACAAACATCAATCAATTCTTATTCCTCTGTATACAACATAGCCTGCACACCTTTCGCCAATCACCAGCACCACGACAACTATGCCTACAACTTTGGTGTCGACAGCGCACGCGAGACCTCTTCTGCGCCACGAATACCCGAGCGCAGCGCGCCATCCATGTAGCCTTTCCACTCAAAGGCCGTTTCGGTGCCGACAAAGTGTACCTTCCCATGGGTGGTGCGCAATGCGTGGTCGTACAGGGTCATGGCGCCCGGCGGTGCGGCTGGACACGGGCAGCCCTGGGCCCACTGGTCGTGCGACCACTCGTGCTCCTCGAAGCCAACCGGGTCGGGCACGCTGCTAGGAGGAAGACTTGCGCCCAGTGTGGCCTTGACCTGGTCGACTACGGCCTGGAAGCGATCGGCCCGGGCCATCTTTGAATAGGCAATGCCTGCGTCGCCGGCACAGAAGCAGGTGAGGGAGAACTGACCCTTGGAATCGACGCTGGAATCACGCGTCACCGACGCTGGGCCGGCCTGGACAAACGACTGCAGCATGCCGCACAGCCCGGACTCGCGCCACCACGGCCTGGCGTAGCGCACAATGACCTTGTTGATGAAGCCGAGCTTGTTGGCGCTGGCGAGGGCGGCTTTGGCGGGCGGCAGCGGCGGCTCAAACCGGATTTCTTTGTACAGCGGCGTGGGCACCGACACGACGACGCGTTTGCAGACGAAATCGCCGCGGGCCGACACGACACGGACACCGCCGTCACTGCCTGTCTGGACGATCGACCGGACGGGTGACGATAGGAGGACGGTTCCCGCTTTGAGCAAAGCGGCCAGCCCGATGGACAGGCTCTGCGTGCCGCGCTCGAAGCGCAGGTACTGGCCGCCGTTCTTCTGGTCGGAGCGCATCTGCAACAGCCCGCCGCCGCTCTTGCAGTAGTTGAGGAAGAAAAGCGCACTGCAGTCACGCGGCTCCATGCCCAGCATCGCGCGCGTCCACACGGTCGCCGAGGCCAGAGCTGTCGCGCCGCCGCCGACCGACGTGATCCACTGCTCAAACGTCATGCTGTCCAGATGGCCGCCCGTGCGTACAGGGTCGCGGATGTCGAGTGCCTGGCACATCTTTTCGGTTGCGTCTCTCAGGGCGACCATGTCGTCGACGCCGCCTGCCGTCGCCAGTCCCGCTGGGACCGAACCGTACGGAAACTGCGACACGCTTCCGTCGCGGTCTTGTTGGACGACATTGCCCGTCGTGTTCTGGACCACCAGTTTTAGACCGAGTGCCTGCGCCAGCGCGTGCACCTCGCTCTGGTTTGTGTCGTTAATCCACGCCGCGCCGCGGTCCACGAACTTGCCGTCGCCCGTCGTCTGCTCAACCGACCACGTCTTGCCACCCACGCGGTCGCGTGCCTCTACCACTGCCACCGAGTAGCCCGACTTTTGCAGGTCGTATGCCGTCTTGAGTCCGCTGAGGCCGGCACCCACAACCACCACGTCCACCTCCTGTGTTGGCTGCTGCGGGATCGCCACATACGCCTCCACCTCAAACTTGAAGGCGGGCCGCGCCAGGCAAGGCACGGGAACAAGCGTCGTCGCCGGCCGGTGGCCCTGCAGGAATGCAACGAGCGGCTCGACGTGCACGCGGTTGTTGGGGTCGTAGTCGACAATGTAGTACACCAGCTTGATAATGTCCTGGACGGTGGCGCCCGCTGCTTCGAGGCACCGCTGCAGACTTGAATACGCCACGGCCATATGCTCGCGCAGATCCTCAGGCACGCGGCCGTATGCGTCGACGCCCACCTGGCCGGCCGTCATAATGACCCGCGACGGGCCCAACACGCTAGCAACGTGCGAGAACGTCGGTCGGCTGTCAAACAGTCCGTGCGGGTCGCTGGTGACGACGACAGGCTTCATTCTGGTGAGGAGTGGTGTGCAGACTCTGTTGCGTGATGTACTGGTGTGAGCTAACTGGTGCGAGTTGGCTGCTTGGTCTGAGTAGTCTGAGCAGTCTGAGCTTGATGGTCATATTTCTTCGTCTACTTCTTGTTCCTCTTACCTCTTTCCTCTTTCCTCTTTTATGAGCAAGGTACACTGTCGAGTCGTGTCCGAAGACGGCTTCTCTGAAGGGCATGCTGACTCCCAGCACTTGTTGGCATCGCCACGTAGTCGTGCCGAATACCGTATCCTATTCGCGAGATGCGCAGCTGATGTTGTGCATGCACACACACGCATACACGCTCTCTCTCCATACGTGTAAGTCGTGACAGTGTCACATTCGGAACTCGATACAAGTCCGATCTGAGTTCCGAGTTGCGGGCGGTGGTCACAGGGGTTACAGGCGCTTGTCGTCCACTACACACGCTAGTGTCTGCTAAAAGTGCGGAGTCGACCCTTGACATGTCTTATCGGTAGTGCGTTTAGAGCGTAATGGGGCACTCATTGCGAACCATTGTTTTGTCATCTCGCACGGAACGAACAGAAGGCATTGATTGTCGGCGGATATGCTTATCATAACACAAAGTTTTGATTTTCAGAATCGTCATCTCGGATTGTTGACAGAAGAAAGTCTGACGGACGCAAGTTCTTCGTCTGGGAATGCAAACTGTGTTGCCTTCTAACGCTGAGTACCTCCAGCACTCATCAACACTGTAAGATACAGCGCATTACAGCACGTTACGACGTTCCCCTCACAATGACCTACAGCACACCACCGCCTTCGTCACACTCCTCCAGCATGCGGACTACACCAACATCCCGGCGACAGCAGATGCACTCGTGCGATGTCTGTCGCCGCCGCAAAGTCCGCTGCGACTCTGTCGATGAGGCACCCTGCAGCGCCTGCACGAAGGCCGCCGTCGAGTGTCGTTTTACAGTCGGCTGGCGACGACAGCGACGGCCGCAGACTCGGCCCGGTTCGCGTCCCCAGCGGTTCTCCCAGCGGTTTTCGTCGTCGTCGTCGTTGTCGTTGCCGTCGTCACCACTGGCACCGTCGCCGAGAGCGTCTTTGGACGAGACAGCTGCCACCAGCACAGTCGCCAACACGACCGCCGCCACGACTGCCGCCACGGCCAGCCCTGCACATACGTCGGTGTCCTGCTCCTGCCCACACAACCACCGCAGCGACAGCACCGACACACACACTTCGCACACCAGTCTCGCCGTCGAGCCACCGGAATCCGAGGTCGCCCTCTCCATCAACATTGCCGAGAACGGCCTGCTGCGCTTCTTCCGCGACGGCCTGTCCTCATCGTCTTGGGGCGTGTTTGATATGCCTGACAATGTGCGCGTCACGTACATGGGCACGCACATCTCCAACATGACACACCTCATCAAGCTGGACCGCCCGCGCCCGCAGTATCTCGTCTACCCCTACCCGCAGATCCGGCCGCCGCTGTCGCCGCTGTCCTGCCAGCAGGCGCAACGGCACATGCGGACCGACGAGCTGCGGACGAAGGCGGCAGCCAAGTCCCATGATGCCGCTGCCCGAAACGACAACGCAAGCTCGTCGGCTCCGTCTGCCTCGGCCCCGTCTGACTCCTCCAATGCCTATCCGGACGCTGTCGTCCGCGACATCAACTCGTTTCCTGAAAAGGAGATCCGCGATGACTTTATCAATGCCTACTTTGAAAAGGTCAACCCCTACTTCCCCGTCATCGACGAGTCTGATTTCCGCGCGCGCTACGCCGACCCGCACAACCAGCCGGCGCTCGTGCTGCTGCACTCTGTCTTGCTCGTCGGCGCCCATGTCTCGTCCCACGCCAAGGCCGTGCACGCCCGCCACATTGTCAAAGCCGTGCTATTTCGGCGCGCCAAGTGCGTCTTCGACATGCGCCACGAGCACGACCGCCTGCACCTCGTCCAGGCCGCCCTGCTGTTTACGTGGCACCTGCAGAACGGCGACACCGCCAGCTCCAACAGCTTCTACTGGCTGGGCGTCGCCTGCCGCATTGCCTACGGGATTGGCATGCACCGCGACCTCATGAAGGACCCTCTGGAGCCGGGCCGCATGCCCATTCAGGACCGGCGGCTGTGGCGCCGCATCTGGTGGACACTCTTCCAGGCCGAGGTGCTGTCGGCGCTCGAGCACGGCCGCCCCTCGGCCATCCGCCGCGAAGACTTTGACCAGGATCCGCTGTGCCTCGAAGACTTCCGAGAGGTGTCGGGCCGCATCAACCCCAACGTCCAGGTGGCTTTCTGCGTGCGCCAGACGGAGCTGTGCCAGATTGCCCTGGATGTCATGCACCTCAGTGCGCCGGGCGTGGCGCGCGTGCTGCGCGGCGACGACCTGAGGAGACGTGCCGACGAGCTGAATGCGCGGCTGGTGCGATGGATGCTGACGCTGTCGTCGTCTGGCCTCGGCAAGACGGACAGCTTCGGCGACATCTACCTCCGCCTCAACTACCACACCCTTGTCATCCATCTATACCGGTTGTCTTTGGCCGATTTGGCAGATTTCTCGGCCGACCCGGCTTCCTCAGACAACGCCCGCCGCGTCGGCAGCAGCGCCAGTGGCGACATTGTGTCCTGCTTCGAAACACTGCACGAAAAGAACATGCTCGCACAGTGCCCCTGCAACGCTGTGACGGCCCTCACTGCCGCTGCGATCCAGATCGGCAAGGACGTGCAGTGTTCGCTGGGCGTTTTGGGCGAGGCACACGGCGGACCAGACAGCACGGCGTCTTCCACCACAACCAACACGATGCTGGCCGTCAACGGGCTGTGTCTGCTGGACCGTGTCTGCGTCGCCGCTGAGCATCTCAGCGTCTTCTGGCCCAACGTCGAGGGCGTCCGCAAGGTATTTCGCAGCCTCTATGAGCGGTTCACCACGGCCCTGGACGGCATTCAGATGTAGCAGGAGTAGCAACAGGCCCTGCAGGGACGCCAGGGGCACGTGGACAGCGATGACCACATGGGACGTGGCACCAGTGTGGGTCCCTCGGCGGCGGCTGTCTCGATTCTGGACGACGGCTTTGGCGGCGTGACATTCTGGGCTTGACATGGCAAGTTGGACACGGCCACAATCTCCAGGACGCCTGCCAGACGTGGGATGCATCCCTCTTTGGACTGGACTAGGCGGCCGGATAGTGGTAAAGTATATAAAATTCTTACAATTTGACGTTGACAACGCCGTCACGTTGTCTATCTGTTTCTACTTCATGCTTTCCTACCATTGACAACGTCATCGACTACCTCTGTTACTGACAGCAGATCTTCGTCCTGGTAGGGCTGCTTGACGATCTGCACGCACACTGGCTGGTTCTTCCACAGCTCAGGGTCGTCTGGTTGGTTAGCGGGTGTTGTGTTCTTCAAAGTACGTACTGCAAAGGGACGACTTGACTCACAAATCTCGTGGCTCATCTTGTCAAACGGTGCGTTTGTCCGTGGCGTGTAGTCGGCATCCCTGGGATCCTTGGCAGCGTCCACCTTAAATGCCCTCAAAGGCACAATCGTCGACGGATAGTCCAAGATGTTCCAGAGCGAGAAGTAGCCCCACCACACAGGGAACTCGTGCGGAAACCCGGCCGACGGCATACAGGGCGACACGAGCGCGTCCATCGGCCGGCCCGTACCCGTTTTGTCCTTGGTGGCCAGCCACGCCTGGTTGAACTGCTTGCGAATGACGCCCTGCTGTGTGTTGAGTTCGTACACCTCGGCTGTCGTCAGCTCCTTGATTTCGTACAGAGCCAAGTACCACGAAAAATTCTCAGTCAGTGGCTCGTTGCCGGCTGCCACGAGTGCCTGCGACTCTTTGGCGCCTGTCTGGAAGTACAGCTTCCACGTTGTCCGGGCCACCTCCCACAAGTCCATGGGCGGTTCGAATTCGATGACGTCGTGGCCCGCGGCCGTGAGCGCTTGCACCGTCTCGTCCAGTGACCGCCGGATCGGTGGCTGCGGCCGCACCACGCCGTCGTCTCGGAGCACCCCAAAACACAGCTTAGGCGGCAGGAAAACAGCCTCCTTCCAGGGAAACGGCACGCAAGTCGGGTCGTAGCCAATGTACTTGTAGTGTTCCAGCAAGATCTTGGTCACCAGCCGCAAGTCGGCCGTACTGTGGCAAGTCGGCCCACACGCTACTTTGATGGAGATTTGGCCGGGCGCAGACGTTGTCAGGCCGCCCTTGGGGATGCGCTCGGACGACGGCCGGATCGCGTACAGCCCGTTACAGGTCGCCGGTGCCCGGATGCTGCCGCCAATGTCGGTCGACGGGCAAAAAGGCGAACCGTGCATGCCCACCAGCGCACCGTCGCCGCCCGACGACCCTCCGGCCGAGAAGCCCCGGTGGAACGGGTTCAGCGTGCGGCCCCAGAGATTGCTGACCGTCTGCAGCATCATGCCCGTCTGCGGCATCGTTGTGCGTGCAAACGGCACGGCGCCCGCTGTCTGCAGCACCGTAACAAGCGACGCGTCTATGTCGACGATGTTGTCGTGCCAGGCAACGGCGGCAAATGTGGCCGCTTTGCCCTTCATCATGAGCTGTTCCTTGATGGCAATGGGCAGGCCGTGCAAAGGACCGACTGGCTTGCCCGTCGTCTTCAGAATGGCATCCAGCTCGGCTGCGCGCTGCATTGCCTCCTCGGCAAAGTAGTCGGTCAAACAGTTGACCTACAAGGTGAAGCGTACGTTAGAGTCGTCCAATCTCTCTTCTTGCTCGAAAAAAAAAGGAAAAGGAAAGAAAGGTAAAAGTCATCAGTGAGACACGTACACATTGATGAGCAATGGCTGCTCGTGCACAAAAGGCTTCCGTGAGCTCGACTGACGTCAGCTCGCCGCTCTGCAGCTGTTTGACAAGTGCATCAGCCGTCTGCTCGGTCAGGGCCAGCTGTCGGTCCGTCAACAGACCGCACGACCGGGGCACGCCGGTGACGTCGGTGACGGATGCATCTGGTGGTGATGGCAGGTGCCACTTTTGCGGGATGGCCTTGAGGACATTCGCCTGACACGTCGCGGCAATGCTTTCCCAATCCATAGTGTAGAAAGATTTTTGTTGATTTATTTTTGCTGTGCTCCCAGCAGCCGGAACGTTCACAGGCAACTTGCCCGAGCTTCTTAGCCGTGGTAGTCAATAGTTATACCAGGCGCACGCGTCATTTCTAAAACAGGAGATTAATCAGAAGCCGGAAGTTGACCGGCCTTGACACCTGGCTGGTCCCCGAATGGAGGTGGTCGGAACTCGGAACTGGCAAGATAGCTAGTCACGGACCCCTCACTCGCCAGCGTCTCCGACGGAAGCCGGACTTGCAGAGCCCATAGCGTCGGCGTGGGAAGACGTTAGACTTCGACAATAAACATTAATTCATGAGTGTGAACAGCAAGTAACGACTGGTATTGCACGGCATTTTTTGTTGACTTTGGAATTAGCTACGAAAGTGGAGCTCGGCAACTGCTCCCTGAATCCGAAGGAGGGGGACCGAGAGAAGGCGTGTTCTGTCAGAACGATCGTCAACTCTATGGCAAGCCATTACCAAACACCATGTGCGACAAGGTGAGGAGAACTGACTCGAATACGGAGTAAGTAGTCTGTTGAAGCTAGTCATATGCGGGCAATGTAAGATGACGTGTCCGGGGAAGCTCGAGGTTAGTGCACACCCCCTGCATCATGTTTTGTCGTCGGTGTAAGTGAGCAACACTATGATCAAGATAACCATTGCATTGCCGCCGCCAGTCCCGGGTGCCGAAGGCCACACTGACAGAGAAGCAAGCCAAGAAGAGCCAAGACAGGTTGTTGAGCATCACGAAGATAAATAAGATGGCGGACTGAGGGACTGAGACGTTGAAGTCGGAGAGACTTTTCATACGAGCTCCGATAGAACATACAAAGCTACCACACCGTCAAACTCCCAAGCAAAACCATCCCCGTCCCCCCTCCCCTCCACCAATGCCTTCTATCCAGGACCCGACGTCCCTGCCTTGGGACCCGCACAACGACGTCTTCCCCGCGCGCCGGAATCTGCCACGCCTTTCTGGCCACTTCAAGGACGCCCCTGTGGGTGCCGCGTGGGTCTGGGGCACAGACGACCAGTTGGGTCGCCTCAACCTGCTGACGCCCCAGCGCGTGGCCTTGGCGGCACGCGAACAGATTGTGTCTGGGGCATCAACAAGGGTCGACCTGCCGCTGGATGTCCCAAAACACCCAAGCTGGCAACGCGAGCCGTTTGTCCACAATATCAAAGTCATCCTTGGTGAGGGTGGCATTGGACACGACGATACATATTCTCTAAACACGCAGTCAGGAACGCAATGGGACGGCTTCCGGCACGTGTCCTACGGCGACACAGGCTTGTTTTACAACGGCACCACGGCCGATGACATCCAGCAGTCGACCGAGCCCTGTGGAATCCACCACTGGAGCGGCCGTGCCCTTGCCGGACGGGGGGTGTTGCTGGATTACCGGGCCTATTGCGACAGCCTGGGCATCTTCTATGACTCGGCGTCGTCGCATCCCATTTCCTATGACGACCTGGTCTCCTGCGGCAGGCATCAGGGCACCGACATTCGGCCGGCCTCGCAAGGCGGTGATATTCGACCGGGCGATTTTTTGTTTATTCGGTCTGGGTTTACGCAAGACTACTACAAGAGGACCGGCGCAGAAAACGAGGCCATCGGCAGCCGTTCGGCGCCGCAGTGGGCCGGTGTCCTCCAGGAGCCGCAGATGATCGACTGGCTGCACGACTGCTACTTTGCCGCCGTGGCAGGAGACGCGCCCGCATTCGAAGTCTGGCCCACCGCGCAGGCCTACAAGCTGCACGAGTACCTTTTGCCGCTCTGGGGCTGTCCTATTGGCGAGATGCTGGATCTCGAAGGCGTGGCCAAGTTGGCCAAGGAGCACGGCCGATGGACCTTTTTCTTTTGCACGGCGCCAGCCAACTGTACGGGAGGCGTCGGCAGTCATGTCAACGGGACGGCGATTTTTTGAGAGGTGTGTAGTGTAGTCATATTGTATCAAAGTACGCAAGTTTTGTTGTCTGTAATTCGTGTAACGGCCTGGCTGTCGAACTTCTCTGACTGTCGTCTATCCTCGAGGCACTCTGAGTTTGTCGACACTTTCTGCTGGTTCTTTCTTGTTTATTTCTGATTTGACCCTCTTGCCTCTTTGGGATCCATATGGCGCAGACCCTCAGAACAGAGCCCGTCATCAGCAACGATAAGGTTGCCTGAACTAGTGCTATAGTCGGCGCTAACAGCACACTAAGGCGCGCGACATGCCCCCGCAGCCTGCTAAGAATTAGTGCCTAAACGGCATATCGCCCACTGAACCCCTCCTCTCGGAACTCGCCAGTACCGAGCTGCGTGGCACATTGGACGCTGGAATGGCGGGTGTTAGAACTTTATCTCCTTGCACCGTGGAGCCGGCGTGCGCCGTATCTGACTCGACACCTCCATCCTCTGTCAAGTGTCATCATGCATTACCCCGTATCTTGATTTTGCATCTGTATCCACAGCCATGTCAGACAGCTGTGCTATCATGCAGATCCGAGCCTCTCGAGGCCTCTGTCCGCTGTCCATTCCGCGCAAACTCGTGATACTCGCCGCCAGCAGCTGTTTGGCTCGGGGACGTTGGAGTGACACGCTGTGGCAGGGTTGAGCACAAGACAAACCAGGATGCGCGCCCATTCACACATCAAGTTAAAAACCGCCTGGCATCACGGCCACTCTCATTGCTCGCCATTCGAGTCTTCTTCTTTTATCTCCACCGTCCATATCCATTCCCCATAACCTCTCCGCATTGTCGTCAGCTCATCACTCCTTCTTCTCCAGTGTCCCCATCAACCCATCTTAAAGGTGGCCCATAGCTTGCCTCTCATTCATCTCATATCCTGTCACCCACCGCGTCCATCACGCGACTGACCCACCGACACCATGGACGCAGAGTCCAGCGCTGTCAAGCTGCCCTTCCTTCGGCTAAACAAGTGAGTGCCGCATTGCTTGCATCTCTTCACACAACGTACCGTGCATTGACACCTGCATCCAGTCCGTTCGTCCAGAACCTCCTCTCCGCCGCATGCCTCTTCTGCAACCCCGGCCTCTACCTGGCCGTCTCGCTGCTCGGCGCCGGTGGCGGCCGGCCCACGTCCACAACCATGGCAAACATTAGCAACGGCACGCTCTACGGCGTCTTTGTCTTTTCGGCCCTCATGGCTGGCACTGTGCTCAACACCCTGGGTCCGCGCTACACGATGATGTTTGGCATCACCGGCTATCCCGTCTACATTGGATCCATGTGGTACTTTGACGCCCAGGGCCACCTGTGGTTTCCCATCTTCGCCGGTGCGTACCTGGGCCTCTGCGCCGGCTGTCTCTGGACCACTGCCGCGTACATGTCTAGTGCCTACGCCGAAGAGAAGGACAAGGGCCTCTGGCGTGCCATACAGTGGACAGGCAACATCTCGGGCGCCGCCGTCGGTGCGTCTGTTGCCCTCGGCATCAGCTGGAACTCTGCCTCGGCCAGCGTGCCCCATTCGGTCTACATTGTCTTTATCGTCATCCAAGTCGCCTCTGCCGGCTTTGCCTCACTGCTGCTGCCGTCGAACCAGCTGCGCCGCTCGGACGGCACTGCTCTCGCTGCCTTTGAGCACTTGACGGCCTGGGAGTCGCTCAAGATCACGGGGTCGCTGTTCAAGGACTGGCGCATCCTCATCATGATCCCCTGCTGCTTCACGGCCGAGATGTTCTTCCCGCTACAGGCTTCCATGAACGCATACGCCTTCAACCTGCGCACCCGCACACTCAACTCGCTGCTCAACAACCTCATCCAGATTCCCGTCACACTCGGCGTGGGCTTTTTGTTGGATACCGAGCGTCTGGGCACCCGCCAGCGCCGGGCCTTTTACGGCATCACGTTCGACGCCGTCTGGATCACTGGCGCCTACGTTGCCCAGACTATCTGGCTTGCCAGCTGGAAGTTTGACCGTTCCATCCCGGGGCCGTCCATCGACTGCACCGACAAGGCCTATGCCGGCGCCGTCGTCATCTACATGCTGTACGCCGCCCAGTACGGCGTCTTTCAGAACGTCGTTCTTTACGTCCTCGGCTCGCTCACCAACGAGCCCCGCAAGCTCGCCGCCATGGGTGGCTTCTTCGTTTCCTGGTTGAGCGCCGGCACCGCCGTCTCTTTTGGCGTCGATGCTACCTCCCAGCCTTACGAGAACGAAAACGCAGCCTACTTTGCCCTCACCACAATCTGCTGGCCCATTCTGTACTTTGTCGCCTGGAAGTGCATCAAGGCCACCAACTACGACAAGGAAGACAATGTCATTGTGCCCATTCACGTGCGCCGGGAGCTACATCTCGACGGCGAGAAGACGGGACCGCTCGAGGGCGTCGAGATGACCCCCGAGACGCCACAGGCCATGAGCGAGAAGGTGGAGTAGGTGTGTGTGCGCGCGCTTGTACAACGTACCTTGACGTGATTTCCACATTGCAGACTCATAGAGTCGCCGGTTTCATTGCTGTAGTCGCAGGAATACTGGTCAAACAGTAAACAGCAATGGGATCTCCACCGTTTGTTTTATTTTTTATTTATTTTTAATTTTTTTTGAAAAACCGTTCAATCGTGTCTAATCCACAATGCTCCACATACTTCATGTTTTGCAAACTAGCTCGCTCGTCCGTAGACACAGCTCGTCGACCAATCGACATATGTCACCTACGACGCCCTGTTCATGTAGCCTATCCCAAGTAGCATAGCTGCGTTTCGTGTCGTCCATCTTACCCTTGAGGGCAGAGGCATCCTCGTCCTCGTCAACATCAAAAACCCTCCACCGGGGATGGGATACTGAGAATGGCGGCTACGGTGCTTCACCGTTGGTAAACGACACCCGAAGCTGCCACCACTCGATCTGACACTGACTGCTGTGCAGGTAGACCTATTGGGCCCGTCGAACCGCCCTTGCTGGCCCCTTTGGAATGAACGTCAAAGTGGGCTGACCCCGCAGATGAGATTTTCACGACCAGTGTCAGTGTTTTCACGCTCCTGCGTGAGCTCGACGATGCTGGAGCTTCACTCAACAGCCATTTTCCGGGCATCTGCGGCTTCTTGGCCGTCACATGAACCCGTATATCCTGCACTTTCCCAATAGGAATTTGGGCCAGCAGCGACATCGATATGTCCGCCATTGTGCTCGACAACTTGCACTTCCTCGAGTCTTTCGCGGCTTGTGGGTCACCATTGAACACTGCCAGGCTCTGTATGCGTATGCCAGCTAGGACCGGACATTGTTCACCGGCCGCACGCGTGCCGACTTTGAAGCTTTGGAGTATTCGATTCACGATGTGCGCGGCCAGTCACCAAAAGAGGGTGCGTCTATCCCCAGCATCAGTCATCACACCTGATGTTCCACAGCTCGCCTTACCACCACAAACACAGCGCCTCGGTGAGGTTGTTTTGTCGTCGTTCCATAGCCCCGCCGACACGGCAACGCAGGGGTCGGGCGACGTGCACGAGCCGAGCCACAGCCAAGTCTGGCCCCTCTGGGACGAGCAGCAGACACCCCCATTCGCACTGGAAGGGATGCCGCTGGACTACAATCTGGATATCATGGAGATCTACCAAAAGTGACTCTTAAATTGAACCGGGATAGTGTGGGGAAGTGGGGAGGGGAAGAGTAGCCCTGAAGCATCTCGTTCACCCATCGGGTGAAACCCCAAAAGCGGAACGAAGATGCCGAGCTGTAACGCCTTGACGATCGACCATGTACAGGTGCTCATCGGCAGTTATTCCTGTACAATACGTACCCGTGTGTTTGCTTCAATATGAATCATCCAATAACATACGGATAACTTAAAGGACAATATCGTACATACCAGTCGTACCTTCGCTTTTCAGATTCTAGAGTTCTAGAGTTTGTATCGCGTCCTCTATTACGTCGTTTTCCTTTTCTATTTTCATTGTTGACAGTCAGGACAAACAATTCCCATTGACCGCAATATTTGACAAAATGCCCTTTGGTATTTGGGACCCAGAGTCTTCTCGGGATGGAACTACCAGCGGCAGTGAATTTAAACTGAATGGCACCGAACGGCTCATCGACGAGGGCCGTGTCGACATCGCCGCCGACGCAGCAGAAAGTCATTTCTTGAAGCGCATTATTCACAAGGTAGAGGATGAATATGGGGCCAGCATACGGGGTGCAAGATGTAACAAATACAGATTTACTGACTACTGTTCTAGGGTGAGGAGACAATTCTTGTGCCGCAGCCTTCGGACGATCCAAACGACCCATTGGTGAGATGATTTTCTGACCTTCGATATCGCGACCTTCGCGTGCTTATTACTGACATAACAAGCTCTGGCCACGTTGGCAAAAAGAGGCAGCATTTTGGACCATTTTCTTCAATGCCATCATCTTTGCCATCCTGCCCGGCCCCATTATTGCACCGGCCACCTTCCTCCTGGCCGGCGTCTTCCACGTACCCTTGACGCGCATCGCTCAGCTCTCCGGCTACCAGCTGCTTGTCGTCGGTGCATTTGGGTGAGATGACAAGCCTCCACCTTTCTTGTCGTTGTCAGCGAGCCACAAGTACTTCTAACACGGCCTTAACGCTGCCGCAACGTTACAGACCCTTCGTGTCCGTCCTTGCTCAAAAATATGGCAAACGGCCACAGTTCCTTTTCGCCGCAGTCTCCGCCACGGTCGGCACGGCCATTTGCGTCGCAGGGTCTGAGCGTGTGCATTACCAGACCGTCCTGGCCGGCCGCATCATCCAGGGCTTCGGTGTGACGGCATGGGAGAGTCTTGCCGTGGCGGCCGTGGGCGACCTGTTCTACTTGCACGAGCGAGGTCTTCGAACGGCAATCCTGGTCGTTGCTCTTGCCGGCACGGCATCGATTGTGGCTATTATCTCCGGCGCCATGTCGGAGGGTGTTGGCTGGGCCAGCCTCTTTGTGGCCCTGCTACCCATTGACGTGGTGTGCTTACTGCTCACCGTGTTCCTACTGCCCGAGACGCAATTTGCGCGCAAGACACAATCGACCGCCGTACTTTCAGACAATGTTGCCGAGAAGCCTGGTCTGGTAGTCCACGCCGAGATGGTCCATACGAATACCAGTGCACAATCCGCATCGTCCCCAACACATGCCCGCAAGTCTTTTGGGCAGCGGCTTCGACCCTTCTCTGACCGTCCCTTCACCCAAGAGAGTGTATTTCACCTGCTCTTGGCTGCCGTGGCCCACCTCGGCAACCCGGCCGTCTGGTGGATCCTCTTGGTTAGCGGCGTGCTCGTCTGCTTCTTTGTCGTCACTGCCTACATTCTGTCCCAGATCTTCTCTGTGCCACCCTACAACCTCGGCGTTGCTGCCAACGGTTTCTTTTATGTTGGCCCATTCATTGGTGGTCTCGCCGCTGTCAGCATCGGTCCTCTGTGTGACTGGACAGCCCGTTTCCTGGCGCGGCGGCACAACGGGATATTTGAAGCTGAATTCCGCATTCCCGTCAATATTCTGGGCCTCTTGTGCTGTGGGCTTGGATGGTTCCTCTTTGCCTGGCGGGTTGACCACGAGGTGGCGAACGGCTACTATCTGGCTTCCTTTTGCTTCGGGCTCGTGTGTTTTGGTGTCTCAGTGCCATCCACCTCGGCGGGCCTGTATATTTTGTGAGTCAAGCCAATACCACCATACCTCCATACCTCACAAAACACAGTTGTTGTTGACAGACGTCAGGGACTCATTCCCTCGACAATCCACTTCGCTTTTTGTGCTCCAGATGATGCTCAAGAATTTCATCTTCTACGGATTCTCCATGTTCATCAACACATGGGCCGCCGTTTCCGGTCCCGGCGCCGTCTTCCGCACATTCGGTATTGTGACAATCGCGCTGTTGGCTACCTGTATTCCAATGTGTAAGTGGTTTCAGAAAGTGTATGATATGATATTCATTTAATTGTTTTTCTGACGCTTCATCATTGTAGATATCCTTGGGAAGGCCAATCGCAGGTTTATGCACGGCATTTATCGTAAATACAAAATCTTCCGAGTCATGGATTAAGGGCTGCCGTTCGAAAACAATTAACAATTAAATTGGAGATACATTCCGAACAGTTGCTTCGAGAAACTGTATGCAAAGACAACAGTTGTATTCAAACTGTCGAAACAAGCCACAATTCAGATATGGATTGTTTTCATTGAGGATGCATTGACGATGCGCGCATCCAGTTCGCCACTCCTTGGTTGTAGATCCATCTGCGAGGAATTGAGGCCAGGCCATGCCTGGACTGTTACACCAAGCCCATACAGGCAGTTGGAACACCCAGTCTTTACACGCGCTCGTATCAAAAATATTCCAAATTTTCCGGACCATTTCTGAACTAAGACGTCGTCTACATAAATTTTCTGCTCATATATTTATGAGGTATGAAAATCATCCAGTATCGTGTTTGCAACGTAACTTATGCTAGCTGCACTTGGCAAGACTAGAGGGTTTCAAGATGAATGCCGGGCCCGTCATTTTTCCACAGTTTAAGCCTTCTCGCTGATCTCGGGGCCGTGCAAGGTGGCTCTCCGCTTTGCCTGCTGGCGAAATACCTCGCTGAAGCGGCCGTGGCACATGTTGTTGACGTTCTCTTTGATACCCGCCCAGTTCTCCCGGACAATGCTCATCGTCGGGCGCTCAAAGACCTCGTCAATCTCCTCGAGCGTCTTGTCCTTGGTTTCGGGCATGAACAGCAGCTGGTATATCTCACCCAGGACTGCAATTCCTCCGTAGAAACCAAGCACAAGTCCGGTCTTGCCCATGGCGATCTGCATGGCCGAGAAATTGTACGTCACGGTGAAAGACATTAGAAAAAGCAGCGCGTCAGACGTTGTCATGCCGTAACTGCGCAGGTAAGTCGGGTAGACCTCCGATGGAACAACTAAGGGACGGAGCGATGTTAGTTTGTAAGGAAGGCGCGCTAAAGTTGGAAACCAGGCGAATGGAAACTCACCCCACGTCAAACAAGCGTATGATCCGAAAAAGCCCATGTACAGGACAAGACCCGTAAAGTACAGTCCCTCGACGGCCACCAGCTGCGTGTCCAGCGAGAGCTGGTAACTAACGCCGATGAGCACCAAGCCAACGAAGAAGCCAGGAAGCGTTATAATGGCCCAGAAACGACGACCAAATGTCTCCATGAGAAAAATAGCGGGAATTGTTCCGAGCAGAAGAGCACCACCACCAACGAGAGACATGTAGTTGGCCGTCTCGGGGTCGAACCCGATCTGGTTGAGCAGAATTGACATAAAATAAAGAATAGCATTTACTCCTGTCAGCTGACCGAGGAGAATCATGATGTTGGCGTAGATGAGTGCACGGCGGGCTCTCGGGTTTCTTAGAAGAGGTGTTAACAAGTGTCATGGAAGGGGGCTGAAGATGGTCTGTGTGGAGGATGTACGTACGTAAAAAAGTCCATCCACGGAAAGCGTTTGTTCTTCGCTCCTTCCTGGACAGCGTTTTGCTCTTCGCGGACACCAGCTGTCATAACGAAGAATTCTTCTCTGGCTTCAAGTGACTCGACACCGCGAATACGCTTCCACACCTTGTAAGCGTCGAGCATGTGACCTTTGTGGATCAGATAGCGCGGACTCTCTGGTAGGAACAGCATGCTATTTAAAGTAAAAAAAAAGAGAAGAAAAAAAGAAAAGTTTAGCGACATGGGCAAAATGTGAATAGCGTGTCGCTGAAATACAGATAATCTTACCCGATGAACATGATTGTGGAAAAGACGAGCGAAGAGCCGAGGATATACCGCCAGTTTCCAGGAACGCGTACGAAAATGGCCGCCACAGCATAGCCAAGAACTTCGCCGAGAGCAATGTTGAACTGGTAGAGAGATACAAGGTTACCGCGAAGGCGACGCTCCACGGTTTCAGCCACATAGATGGGAACGGTGCCGCCCTCGAGGCCAACACCGAGACCGAGGATGACACGGGCAGCAACAATCATAGCTAAAAAGACAATGGAGGTTAGTATACTCGCCGCCAACTTTCCAGATAGGGCGACATAGGACAGACCAAAATTGATCGAACCAGCTTCCAAAGCGGCACCGACAGTGTACAGGATGATGGAAAGAATGATGGCGTTCTTCCGGCCGAGATATTCGTTGGCGGGCGACAGGAGAAGGGCACCGCCAACAGCACCCAAGGGCATGCCTGAGTTGACGAGGCTGTTCTGATGTGTATCGAGGCCCAGGTCTACGGGCAGGTAAAGGTTCGCACCCGAGATCAGACTCTGGTCCAATCCGGACAGAAGACCGCCCATACTGGCGAAAGCCACGAGCAGCCATGTGAACTTCCTCGGGTCGTCGAACGCAATGTGGAAGACGCCCGTCTCCAGCCCACCAGACTCGTCAAGAAGTCGCTCCATGTCTTCGATCATGTCATTGACCTGGGCACCGCCGCCGCGGACGACCTCCATGGCCTCGGCCAGGCGTTTCTCGTGCTCCATCGTGTAAAGGGCGAGGAGACCGGGTGCGGGAGTTGCAAAACAAAAACAGTTTGAAAATTGAACAAATGAAGATAAGATGATGAGAACCCGGAGTCACCGATATTTTGCAGATCGGGGGGGACTCGACATCTTTTATCAGCGACGCCGTGTAACGGTCGTTGGTCGGCTTCTCCACATTGTGATCGTCCTCTACTGAGTACCTTCCTGTCACGCGTCACTCTTGTCTCGCCACTGTTACCTCTTCTCCGAGAGTCTCCCTTTGCTCCCGCACTTCGCCCACGCTCTCTCACATCACTTCTCTCCACACTCCGCACTCCAACCTCCAGCGGAGTTGCTCAAGTTGGACATGCAACTGTGGAGATCGACAAAGATGCCCATTGCGACGATTATGTGGTCTTACGTCCTTTTGTGTGGATGACCTATCGAGTAAGCGTGTATTTCTTGTTCTCGGGACAACCGCATCACCCGTGGTGGCGAATTGTCTTCTTTCCCCCATTACAACTGCGTTTAGTTGCCATTCTTGCTTCTAAATAGGCTGCAATTACCGAAGCAGTGGTGGCCGTTTGACCCTCAAAAGCAAAGCAAAGCGTCGATGGGACGCGCTTTTTTCCAACTGCGATGTGTTTTAGTCCATGTGTTGTGAAGAAAAAGGACCGACTGTCTGTCGGAAGTAAGGCGTGTGTGAGAAGTGGAGAAAAAATGGAACAAAAGTTGCCAAAGTCGCCCAAGTCACCAAAGTCACCAAAGTCAAAAAGCGATCGTTGCTGGCTTCGTGGCTAAACACTTATCCACGGCAACTCCGCTGATCTACGACCCTAAACTAAGTCAAGGGATGCCGCCGCTAACAGTGCAACTACCGCCACTAGCAAACAACCCATGTGCCGCCAGTGTTTTGTTAAGTCGCTATGGGCGTTTTGAGTCACAGCGAGCAAAACAACGAGCCAACACAAAGGGCACAAAGGGACGCAAATCGTAGACAAGCAACTAGCGGAAAAGATGCCCAGAATTCTAGAAAACATCTAGTGGGATCGAGTTTGGAGAATCTGGGGTGTGCGTGCGCGTGCTTGGTCCATTGAGACGGAGTTCAACATTGCAAGCTAACACATCATTGACATTGTACAGCACTACCACCCCGACTGTGCAAGCCGCAGAGCCATATTGTATGCGTGCCTCTTTTGGTTTGTCCAGTGTTTCCGACGGCCAATAGCATTGCTTCCTCTACCTTTGCAGGTGTCTGAGCCTCGAAATATTTTGTTACAAAGATGACACAAAGGAATCACAATTTACTTCTACCGCAAAAGGAGGACAACTACAAAACGTCAACGACAATCCATCTTGGACTTCTTCATCTGAAAAAGGACAGCACACAAAGACAATAGCTGCCTTCAATGGATTGCCTTGCAAAGCTCGTGCGCGCACTGAGTGGGCTCTGTTCGGTGGGCCTAGCAATTGAAATCACTCGGTAGGCGGCCTGTACACACCAGCACCTCAGCAGTGGAGTATGTCGACGATTTATTCAACTTCCGCAGCCGGGCCACTGGACCCCGTTCCGCCGAGTGTTGCAGCGAGAAGAACAGCGAAGCACTGGATCCATTACGAAGCTCAGTTGTGTTGTGTTTCTGATTCGTGAGCAGCCCTGTATTACTCTACGTCGTAGAGGGTCTAGAGCTATGTATGTTGTAATTATTCTGTAACTACAACAGGGCATGCGGGGCCTCTTTGGTGTGAAAGCTGCGGAGCTGACGTTTCGAACTTGAGGAGTGAAGACGTCACGGACTCCTGTTCGGCGAACATCAATGTGAACATACTCCGTGCGCTGCACGGCCTGACCTGTAGGAGCAATATCGTAACTTGACTGCCAATCGAGAACCCCGACACTCGTCTGATGTCAAGGCTGTTTGAGAAGCCGGTACACTGCTGTTCACCAGCATTTGTTCTTCCCCGATGCTGAATTCCAAATCCTTATTCTTAGACGACAATTCTCAGTAGTCGTCGTTTCCGGGAGATGAACTAAACAAACCGCGCACACGCTTCCGGGTTTGTGAGTCGGGCTTTTGTGAATCAGTCGGCGTGAGAACGCCTTTAGAGAGGGCTAGTGTAGTGCGAGTAGATATTGATAGTGGCTATACTAACTTCCAAACCTGTCATTCTCTCGTTAAAGCCGTTGCTAATGTCGCCAATTTCGTTGTTGTTTTCACTGTCGGAGACACTCCCGTGTTGAGTAGTCCGTTTAGACATTGGTATCGACTGGAAATAATCGTTTAGTTCTATTTTAATCTCCTCCTCGTCGAACTCTTCGTTATGCTGTTCTTGCAAGCTATCCACAAGTGCTTGAATACGATTATGATACTCCTTTTCGAGCCTCTTTTCGACGACGTCGTCCTTATCGTAGGTTAGATTGGCGTCGTCTTCTAAAGCGACTTGGAGGGCCTTTTCTGCGTTGGCGATCCACTTGTCTCGGGCCTCTCTCATTTCTTCAGTATAATCGGGTAGCCCCTTGTAAAGACGCAGCGCCTCCTGGTCATGGAAAACATAGTCTTCGGGCGAGTGGGCTAGAATGTACTTCGTAGTGTGCCCCAGCTTTGTGGAAATCTCCGAGACCTGGCTTCGTTAAAAGAGAAGCACACATGCTGTTCGTTTCTAGGATAATGTAACAATGTCTTAGTTTGTGGAAGCAGGAGTTAGAATTGGGGTCGGGATTTCGTAGTGTAATTACTAAAGAACTTTTTGTCCTGGAAAAATTCAACCGCGCGTATGTACTACCGCGTGTGCTCTAGAATCACGTTAGAATAAGACGCAAAGCAGTAATCAAAACAAGCCAAGAAGGGATGCGATTTTCTCACCCTGGAAGACAGCGTTGCGCCTGGAAATCGGGAATGGACCTCGATTGTATTCCTTTTGGTCGGTCATCGTAACAAGATAGGTCACTCAGGGGAGTAATACATTGTTGAGGATGACAGCACTTTGAGCTGTCTTGTTGTCGAGTGGGGAGTGGCCTGGCCAGGTCGATCGATGGGTGATTGCGAAGCGCGAGTCAAAATGGCAAGGGTGGAGTTTGTATGAAGATACACTGGCCATACAAGCGAAACCAGACTGTGCCTTAGCTAGTTAGGAGCTGCCAGGGCTGTCTCCACTGTTGCGGTTACTTCCTTTTAACTAGTGTTGGAATATTTCTTTGCCAGCAGGCACTCACCCCGTCCGTTGTAATGGCTGCCAAGCGCCCCAATACGTGCTGAGGGTGCTGGATACAAGGCGTATCCTATTGTCCTCCGGATGTTAAATACAGTTGCATAGCCAAAAATGAGTGCACTATTATGTGCGTCTGTGGAATTCTCGCCAAACCCATAAAATCTTCACTTCCTTGGTTTTGTCTCTTGAGTCCTTGAATTGTGGGTCACAAGTGCTGGTCACATGTTATATCTCGTGACCCTTCTCCTTCTACAGCGTTATCATTGGGCCACCTGACACTACTGACACTGGGTAAAGCGACTTGTAAAGATATGAAGCCGGGCTGCCTCATTGCCATCCTCCCATAATAGGACATCCAAAAATGGTGCTGGTGCCGACCTTCCTGTAACGAAAACGATTGACGGGGCCGTAAAATACTTAAGGGGACTAAAGGCCCGCAAAATACTGGGTATTCTTGAATTTGACACGTTTGTTTCTCCCCTTAAATTTATCTCGTTTACAAAACATCATCGCCAATTGATAACTAATCGATCATGCCGTGTTAAGCAAAATGAAGACATGAGAGACTTGCACCACAAATATGTCGTCAAAAACAACAATGTAATCCTCACAAAAGACACGAAGTAAGAAACCAACCACTTCGTCTGTGCTTCTAGACTCCAGAAGCCACACGCTGTGACATCCAACGAGTGCCGGGACCAGCCGGGGTCGGTCCCGCCCCCGCACTTCACATGGGCTTCAGCCCTTGTCATCCTCAGTTCCTGGCTCCCAGTTTGTCAGCTATTCTTTTCTTTTTTTTCCGTTTCATTTCGGGCTTTCCCACACTACATTTTTTGTCTTGCCCTCGCTGCCCTCTCAGAGCTTGGCCCGGGAACACGTCCATACAAACTCACCTTTTAGTGGGATGGGTGCCAGTCGCCTTGGCCGCACTCACGCGCCTCTGGCACACTATGCTATAGTTCCCAACCGTTCAGCAACTTGCTTGCTACCTCATGCATAATCACAAGGAAAGCGAGTATAGATGGGATGATTCGGTGCATTTTCTCGGACGCTTTACACTTGTTGCCCTGTGTGCATCGGGCCACCATACCAAATTTGGGTGTACGTGCGAACAAGCGGCGACAGTTTGTCCGGAGCCTTGAAGTGAGAGACGTTTTATCCTATCTCAGTGTTTAACCGTCGTCACGATCTCACTCCGTTCCATGTTTTGGCTAGTAATAGCTTTTCTCCACGAGGAAGACTCATGTTACCTTATTCCAGCTATAAAATGCCCATCACGAGCCGACGATCATATTCTTCATGCCGAGGCCTCTGCGTGGATAACGATACACGTCATGAGATTTGAACGCACCCCTGTCCGATAAATACTAATGCTATATTGTCCGTGCACCATTTGCTTCCTCTTTGGGCATTTCTTTGGACTTTCCATCGCCTTATTTTCCAAGCCATCAATCCTCCACATCCTCCACAGACGGCCCTGACAGGAACCCCGTGGGGAAGTGGACTAGACATGTGAAGACGACCTAGCAACGATCTGCAAGCACAACATAACGGTCCGCCTGCCACCACGCTTTAACGTTCATTATGTGAAGCTTAAAAATGATCCCAACCCCGGTGGAGTGACGGACAGGTCAAAGAAAAACACACTCCTTGCTTGCACGCACAAAAAAGCAAAGACTACTTGCGGCAGACAACGACAAATCAACCTGAGCAACAGGGGTCTATCTGGACTAGATGACTGACGGACCGCGGAGACTTTGACAAAAAGAGTAACATGTCCACGATTAGGAAGGAGAATAAAGGCGAAGCGCCAAAAAATGATTTAAATCACTGCAAAATTAACCACAAGTGTATCCAGCTGCGGTTTGATCCCCCCTCACCAAAAAAAAAAAGGTCCAAGTGATCCCGTCGATCCCATTAGCTCCATGAGTCTAAGATTTCTCGTCTGGTTCTAAGTAAAAGAATGAGGAGGTAAATATAAAACAATACGTGGCTAGCGAAAAGTGATCATGGGCCTTGTGAGAGTCCCTGGTTTTCATGAGAATACGACTACGGCCGAACGTATAAGACGACTATTTAAGAGGCGACGATGCGCCGTTCGTGCAGCCTCACCCTGCCAAGAACAGACTAGTTGTATCCCCTTGTGCTTGTCACCAAACCTGTTTTCTATATCCCAAACTGCATCATGGCGGGTTTCACTGCACGTCTTACGCTCGTGGCGCTTGCTCTGGCTAGCACCGTGACGGCCGCTCCGCCCCCTACTCCGGCCATCAAGGAGCGTGCCGCGCAGGTTACCATGGTGCTGCCACTGGGTACCGTGATCGGTGCGTCGTCGAACGGCGTCGAGTCGTACAACGCGATCCCCTTTGCCCAGCCTCCTACTGGAAATTTGCGTCTTAAGCCCCCCGTTAAGCGGACGGCGTCCTACGGTGTGCTCGACGGCACCGGTCCTGCCGCGGCCTGCCCACAGTTTGTTGAGAGCACCAGCGGCTCGCTTCTGTCTTCGGTGATTGGTACACTGGCCAACAGTCCGTTTATACAGACGGCGACAGACCAGACTGAGGACTGTTTGACCATTGATGTCTACCGCCCTGCGGGCACGAAGGCGACTGACAAGCTGCCGGTCCTGTTTTGGATTTTTGGTGGTGGCTTCGAGGTATAGTCCACCTGCACTAAAATCAAATTGGTCTTGTTCCTCATTCCCCCAACGTTAGTGCTCTAACACGACATTTTCTGTAGCTGGGCTGGACTTCCATGTATGACGGCGCTGGTCTCGTAGCCGACAGCGTTTCCCTTGGCAAGCCCATGGTCTTTGTTGCCGTCAACTACCGTGTTGGTGGCTTTGGCTTCCTGCCGGGTGCTGAGGTCCTGGCTGATGGCGCGTCCAATCTGGGCCTGCTCGACCAGCGCATGGGACTCGAGTGGACGGCCGACAACATTGGCTATTTCGGCGGTGACTCCGGCAAGGTTACCATCTGGGGCGAATCGGCCGGTGCCATCTCGGTGGCTGACCAGATGATGCTCTACAACGGCAACAATACATACGACGGTAAGGCCCTATTCCATGGTGCCATTATGGACTCTGGCTCGATTGTGCCTGCGGACCCCGTCGACTGCCCCAAGGGCCAGGCTGTTTACAACCAGGTGGTCGCCAAGGCGGGCTGCTCGAGCTCTTCGGATACGCTGTCCTGCCTCCGCACCGCGCCCTATAATACATTCCTAAACGCCGTCAACTCCGTGCCGGGAATTTTGTCGTACAGCTCCGTCGCCCTCTCGTACCTGCCGCGTCCAGATGGTGTCGTCTTAGTTGACAGCCCCGACGTTTTAATTAGGAACAACAAGTATGCCGCCGTGCCGATGATCATTGGTGACCAGGAAGACGAGGGAACGCTCTTCTCGCTCTTCCAGAGCAACATCACCAACACCAACCAGCTGGTGACCTACTTATCCGACTACTTTTTCCACAACGCCACCACCGCCCAGATTCAGGCCCTTGTCGCCACTTACCCCGACAACGCCAGCGCAGGCTCGCCCTTCAACACTCTGCTGCTCAACGAGGTCTACCCAGAGTTCAAGCGCCTGGCCGCCATCCTCGGTGACCTTGTGTTTACCCTGACGCGGCGTGCCTTCTTGGCCGAGACCAACAACCTCAACCCGTCCGTGCCTAGCTGGTCCTACCTCGCCAGCTACGATTACGGCACCCCCGTTCTGGGCACCTTCCACGCCAGTGATCTGCTGCAAGTCTTCTACGGCATCCTGCCGAATGCCGCCAGCAAGAGCATCCACAGCTACTACTTCAACTTCCTGTACAACCAGGACCCCAACAACGCCTCCGGCGGTACCAGCAGCACTGCTAGCCGGGTCAGCCTTAACTGGCCACAATGGGGTGCGGGCAACCAGCTGGTGCAGTTCTGGGCCGCGACGTCGAACCTGTTGGCCGACAACTTCCGCAACTCCAGCTACACCTGGCTCGTTTCCAACATTGCGTCGCTGCACTTCTAAGGGAGACGACCACTGGGTATTGAAATTTGCAAACGCCAAACGCGACGTGTTCGGAAAGTGGATGAGAACAAGACCTCTTTGGTGGATTTAATGTGTTTCGGTACATTTTGTGCCCAGTTTTCACTCTCTGTTTGATTTATTCTATTGCCCCTACTGGGTGACTCAGCTGTGGGGCCGAATTATTGTAAACGCAGTGATATTATGTTGTAACTTGAGAACAATAAACCAACGAAGTAGTTATTACGGAATTGCTCTATCCTTTGTGAGGTTACAGACTGCATTGGGGACGACTCTGCCCCTGTAACGTGGCGATGTGCATCGTTGACAAGAACCTCTTAGATAATGCAGGCACTAAATTTAGAACAACTCCACGAAGAGAGGCAGCTTCTCATTTCCCTGCAGGCTCAACGGGAATGAAAGCAACAAACTTCAGTCTCAGATGCAATTGTCGTTTCAGTCCTCACTTCAACACTTGACAGCGGCTTAGGCTCGCTGCTAGCCTTTATTTTGATACATACATGGTCCTTTGAATTTCCCAAAGCAATTTTCCCACCTATTCGAGCCATTAGACTGGCCTCTCATTGGTATTAGTAGTCTTCCATCAGACCACCCTATTCCTTTTTGCCGAACAAGCCCTTGAGCCACCCCATACGGTCACGCTCGCCATCATCTCCATACCGACGCGCGCGACGTCGGACCGCCCGGCGCCCAACGCGCGAGTTCACGTCAACGAACACCATAGGCGCGGTGGGATCGTGCATCGCCGCCTGCCGTTGCATGCGCCCAATTTGCTGGCCGGCGTAGCCGCCCACGACGGCGCCTGTAATCATATCCCCGCCGCCGCCAGCAACCAAGCCACCGACGACACCGATCTGTTGACCCGCCTGCTGCATCTGGTTCTGTTGGCGGCCAGAGAGCGCCGCGACAGGGACGGCAACCATGCCCGGTGGTGGGTCGGGGTACGTTCCCGGCGCGATAAAAATCGGCGCCTTGATGTCGCTGGACGACTCCTTGGACATGTTGTGACGACGAAGAATTTGGTTTTGTGGATTGGAGTGAGTGGGTTTGGTTTCGGCCAAGGCCGATTTTGGGCCGATATTTGTTGTTGTGACGGGGGACGAAACGATGTGTAATAAAGTCGGTAGGGGGCGTCTATTGACTAACGTTCGTCGCGGGGTAAAAGTCTTGTCGAACTTGGCAGAGAACTGTAGGGCTGGCTGGCCCCTTTTTATGTCACGGGCATCCAAGCCAGCGCCTCTCCATGGGAGGCCTTGACACGATCGGGAGGACGATTGGTTGTTGTTCCCCTTGTCCTGAGTTCCCAACCGTGTCGACGGGCGTCGGAAAGCTGAAAAAATAAATGAAAGGAGAATGTCCCCCTACCCAGACAAGGCGCACAAGAGTCGCCCAAAACGACACATTGTCAAAGATACGAAGTACGAGGTTCGGGCCCGACACTCTGAGAGGCCAGACGGGATGCCCTGCCCCACTCGACTGCAAGGATTTAAAATAAGCTTCTCCATGGCTGTGCTGCATGCACCCCGGCACATAACACGCTGAACGAGGCCGTGCTCCACACCCACGCCGGACGCCTCTCTCAAAAGCCTTTAAGGCCACTCGGCGTTCGTTCAGTTCGTTTATTGATTCAGTTGCAAACAACGCATGCTGCCAGTGCAAGTGGAGTCTGCTGCATGTTGTTTAACGGACCAGCCGGTGTTCAATAGACATATCGGACTTCTTTTACTTCGTATTCATTTTCAGCATAGGTACTTCTGCGTCCCTCATCAAAAGCTGATTCCCAGGCTCAGGGTCAGGAGCGTCTTGCAGAATGAAGCCTAACTGAAATTTGCCAGCGACGACGGAACTGCCCACGCCAGACTGCGCGACTGACCCACCCGCCAAATGCAACCATGCAGTCGGGGCTGCCGCTTGCGCGATGACATTGGCTAGCATACGATACAAGCAGGATTCTGCAGCAAAGGTTGTTTCCCGTACTGCGCTGACAGGACGTGTGGCGTTCTGGCGATCGCTTATCCCCCGTGGTTTGTCACCTGGTTGGCAAGGTATTCAGTATCACGACCGTCATTTTTTCATAATTTAGCAAAAGGGTCCTGGGCAGATTAAAGATGCCTCCCATTTATGCACATATGGAGCGTTTTCCTTTTCGCTCAGTAGTGATTGTCACTGTCAACTTACATGCCAGAACCCATTTATGACTTTCCGCCTGTGAAATAGGAGAACGGCCTCATCATAGGCAGCTCCGACTGTCGTCACGGCCTTCTGCATCTCATCCACGGCGAGTACTCCATCTCAGCACCGTTGCAGCCAGCCGGCAGCGCTGTGCCCGCGGCTGGTTTCATAATTGGCCCTGTGCTGTGCTTCATCATCAGCGACCGCATCGGCCGCTGCAGCGCCATGGTTGCCACGTCTGTCATGTACCTGGTTACCATCGTCATTGAAGCGACGGCCAACTCGTATGCACAGAGTGTCGTCGGCTGGCTCCTCAACTCCATTGTCACCCAGTACTCCCCCTTTCCCCCTCCTCTCCTTCTCTTTATGATTTAGGCGGAGCATATTGCTGGATAACACTGTGTGGTTCTTGGAACGTGCCAAGCGGTTTGTACGGAATGTCGTAGCCATAGTCGTGCGGGCCGCCGATCTCGATGCCGCGCCCCGTATCTGTCCAGCGCGGCGAGCAGGCGATGCCCAGCACGACGACATGGCAACCGTAGCGGTACTCGGGGACGCCGACTGGTTTTCCAGTGTCACGATCCAGCAGCGCAATCAGGTCTGGGACGGTAGCAATTACCTTTGACGAGCCATCAGAGCCATCGCGAGCGTGCTCCGCGAGGATATTTTCGTTGACAAAGGGGATGCGAAGGGTTCCGCCCGTGGCTACAGGGGTTTCTCTGCCATCACCTTCGTCGTCATCGAAAGTGGCCGCAATGTGCAGGACACCGACGGACAAGCCCTTGTGCAGTGTCCGCTCGATGGAGGTGATCTTTCCGCGGAAGAGAATGCGTGCACTCGTTGCGCCGCCGAGCTCGCGGACCACCGTCTCAGCGGCGCGCACCGCGTCATGGCGAGCCACGGAGAGGGCAATGGCACGTCCGATGCGCCAGGCCAGAGACAGGCTGCGTTGCACGGCAAATTGGCGAACAGCAGCACCCGTCGTCGGCGCAGGCGCCAAGCCCACGAGCGAGCCCAGCTCCGACAAGGCGCCCCGCAGAGGACGGTCGACATCTTCGTCGCGTGGGGCGCGTGTCAGCAGCAGGGTGCGGCCGGTGCCCGAATCAATGGCACACGGGCAGAAATGGCCGGGCTGGTGCACGGTCAGGGTGGTCTGCCAGCACATGGGGTTGGCGCGGCCCATAAAGTCGGCATCGAGGACGGGGCGGTCAAAGAAGCGCGACGAGCCCCACAGCAGCGGCTCGAGCCCGTTGGCACCGCCAATCTCGAGCCCGACCACCGCGTCCAAGTCGTCGTGCCGCAAGTAGTCCATCAGCGCGCGGATCGCGAGCACGGTCTCATGGGCCTGCAGGCGTTCCGCGATGGCCGCGGGCGAACCCATGCGGCCGCCCCAGTAGACCCGGGCATTGTCGGCGACAGCAGACACGTCCGCGGCATCCACCACCCTCACGCGGTGGCCAGCATCTAGCAGATCATGCAGCTGCAGACGGCCGGCGCTGGGGTTGCCCCCGCCGCCACACCCGAGCACGTAGCAGCCGTCGGCCAAGTAGTCAATGTCGGCCTTGGTCAGCAGCCATTCTGCGACGCCCGTGGTCTTGTCGCGCACTACGATTGGCGTGTACGATTCGACGTCAACGGCGTCCTCCCGCGTCATGCTAGGTCCTTGCTCTTCTCTCGTTTGAAACTGGGCCTCGGTCTCTGTATAATCTTCGACGTCGACAAGGCCGGCTTGTGACGCTTGTGAGGAGGCGGTTGGTGCGGCAGCCGTCAGGTCCAAGTCGCCAATGCTCGTCACAATGAAGCGTATGCGGTTGTCGAGGTAGGGGATGGGTATGGCGTCCACCTGGGCAATATACACAGAGTCTCGCACGGCGCCCTGCGCAACGGCACGATCCACGGCCAACTGCGCTACTTCCTCCTTTATCTCGATAGAAGATTTCTCGCTGGTGCTCCGGATTGTGTCCACGGTCACGCCAATCCCAGAACACGCCGCGCCGACCGCGTTGGCCACGTCATAAAACGGCGGCCGGATTACCTCTGACGCACCAGCGATAACACCCGGGGCCAAGATGGACCCGCCACCGGTCAACAAGACGGGCAGTGGCAGCGGTGACGTTTTGACAAAATCGATGGCCTGGCTGAGCATGACACTGACGCGCTCCAGCACCGCATCTACCAGGGTTCTGTCGAGGCCGGTCACTGTAGAAGGCACGTCTGATACAGATGCAATGTGCGCCCGGCCAGCAGCGACGGCAATGTCGGTGGCTGTCGTCGTCCCGCCACCGAAGACAAGACTGCGCTCAAGATGGGCACCTACGGACGCCGGTCCAACAACTGCTGGGCCATCCGGCTTTGCCAGAGCCACCAGCGAACCGCCGCCGAGACCGATGGAATGCAGATGTGGCAGGGCGTAGTTGACGCTAACACCACCGACAGACACATATGTGGATGCCGGTCGTGGAAGACCTGACGGCAACAAGACGCCGACATCGGTGGTTGTCCCGCCCATGTCCACGACAATCGCGGCTTGTCCTGCCAGACCCACCGCATCGCCGCTGCTTTCCTCTGTCTGTGCTGATCGGGAGAGGCCAGCAAGATACGCCGCACCGCGCATGGAATTCGTGACGCCCGAGGAAAAGGTACGGATGGGAACACGCGACGCCGCGGCCACGTCCAGGACGGTACCGTCGTTCTGTGTCAGATACAGCGGGCAGTTGGCAAGGCCGACGTTGCGCAGGGCCTGCTCGAATTGCCTGATTGACCGACGGGCGAAGCGTAAGATGGCCGCATTTAGAATGGCCGCATTTTCTCGCTCGAGGAAGCCTTACGTAGGGCTGTTAGAAAACGTTAAGTGACCAGCCACCTGTACAAAAATGGGCCAAACTGACTCACCGATATTGGCAACTTCATGCGAGCAGACGACGTCCACACCCGGCAGCTCGCGTTGCAAGATCGTCCGGACTCTGTCTTCCTGACGGAATGTCTGGTCAATCGGTGCGTACACACCAGCGACGACAATGGCGCGCAGACCGTGCGCCCGGAACTGACGACTCTCTCTCACAACCTGGCTTTCGTCAATGGGCGCCTCTTCGGACCCGTCAATGTTCAGGCCGCCGTCGACATAGCCGACGTAGCCTTGCACAAGCGCCGCCAGATCCGCGGGCCAGTCGCTCAGTGGCGGGATGTCGCGCAGGAAGCTCTGGGACAGACGCAGCACGCCCACGCGCTCCAGCCGGCGGGGGTTGCGCTCAATAACGGCATTCAGAAACGCCGTGGTGCCAACTGTGACGGATGCAATGCGCGACCGATTGATCTCGGACGCCTCCAGCACGGCCTTCAACGCCGTCGCAATACCGGACGTGGCGTCATGGGTCGTGGGCGTCTTGTGGAAGGCCAGCACGCCGCGGTCTGGTGCTGCCCGTTGCGCCGGATCCAGGACGACGGCGTCCGTGTTCGTTCCTGCATGGTGAGGCAGGTTAGTCGCCTGGTCAGCCGTTTGTATTGCCGGCTACAAATGTGTGCTAGTATATTTATGAAAACAAATGACGAACCTCCTACGTCGATCCCGATGCGCACTGGGCGATTTAGTGATGCCATATTGTGCAGTACACGGGGTGGTGATTTGTATGGGAAATGTTGGGATATGTTGGGATATGTCGGGGTGTTTGTATCCCGACCATCAGCCGGCGTGGTTTCGTTTGTTTCCATCCAGAGTTTGCGTTGGGTACCGGTAAGCTGCATGTCGTGTTACCCTGTTAATCCGCGAATAAATTGCCGTTTGGGGGCAGGCGCCTCCGCGCTAGGGAGAAGACTAACGCGACGACGACGCATGCTCCCTGCTAGTCCGGTTGCCGGCTTCCGGAGCGTGTCCGGAGCATGTCCGGGGAGCCAGCACGATATTTACAGTCACAATGTCGCCATCGCAGGATTTCATTCATGATTGGCATCGATGCTGTTGAGTCCACATGGCGCCCAGGACGCGACCCGACCGCCTGGTTCCTTGCATAGCACTACCACCTTCTCGTGAACACCGGTAAATGTCGACATAGCGAAAGGTGAGAAAAAAAATGAAATAAACCGAATAGAGAATTAAAATAAATAAAATAAAAGGACAGGGGAGTGAAAATCACACGACCCGTGCCAAAACTCGATGCATCACTTGGTGCAGCATAATACATAAGCGAAACCGTGCCCGGTGTCCTTCTGCATCATTGGACGTCAGACCTCCGCCCATTTTCAATTCCTGCACCCATCCCATCACGAAACATGTCCGTCCTTCGCTCTGTCTCGCGCCGGCTTGTTCTGCACCAAGGCGACGACGACGTGCCCCCAGACCGCTGGCAGAACCGCGACCTTGTGCCGCTTCCGCCCAGCCGGCGACTCTGGCAGGACGTGGATTTTGTCAGCCTCTGGAGCACCGTCTTCCTGACTATCTATGCATGGCAAGCGTCCTCGGCGCTCATGTCGTACGGCCTCAATGTCTGGCAGTCTGTCATCTGCACTGTCATTGCCCGCGTTCTGATCTACGCCGTGATTTTGAGTCTGGGCTGGATCGGCGGCGTCTGGCACATCTCGTACACAGTGCAGTCGCGCTACACATTTGGCATCTGGGGCTCGCTGCTGCCCATTTTCCTGCGCGTTGGCGTTACATGTGGTAAGCTGCCGCGGCCCTCTTCCGTGTTTCCGTGTTCTTCCTCTGTATATCTTCAAGGCGCTATTTTGTTTTCGCATCCTCGCGACATTCACTGACGCGTGCAGTATGGTATGGCGTACAGGGCATCACAGGCGGGCTCTTGGTTAGCTGCATCCTGTCGTGCATCTTCCCGTCCTACCAGAACATGCGCAACACGCTGCCAGAATCAACGGAGATGACCACCAAGGAGTTTGTGGGCTTTGTCGTGTACAACATCATCGCCCTGCCCATCTTGTACCTGCCACCCGACAAGATGCGCAAGCCGCTGCGCGTCGCCCTCGTTGTCAGCACTATTACCATCTTCGGCCTGTCCATTGGCCTGATGGCAGCCGCACACGGTGCAGGCAGCTACGTGCGCAGCCCGGCCAGTGCAGCCTCGGGCGGCCCGCTTGGCTGGGCCTTTGTGCATGGCATCACCACCTTGCTTGGTGGCAATGCCGTCGGCATGACGAGCCAGACAGACTTCTCGCGCTTTGCACGGCGGCCGCGCAACATGATCTGGGGCCAGGCCATTGGCGTGCTCTTCTTTGGCCTTGTGGTGCCCGTCTTTGGCGTCCTCGGCACGTCTGCGGCCGGCCAGCTGTACGGCGATGTCACGGAATTGGGGCTCTGGAACCCGCCCACCATTCCGCAGATCTGGCTCAACGAGCACTACCACGAGCCCAAGATGCGTGCCGCCGCCTTTTTCGTGTCGCTGGGCCTGCTGCTCAACATCTTGGCACTCAACTCCGTCGAGAATGGCGTGTCTGGCGGCATGGACTTTGCCGGTCTATGGCCCAAGTACATCAACATTCGGCGCGGCTCCTACCTCATTGCTGCCGTCGCCGTGGCCATGAACCCGTGGTACATTCTCGCCGACGCCGCCAACTTCACGTCGGCGCTGAACAGCTTTGGCATCGTGCTCGGCCCCATCATGGGCGTCTACACTGCCGACTACTACGCCGTGCGCAAACGGTTGGTAAAACTCGGCGACCTCTACCACGACAACCCGTCGGGCATCTACTACTTTTTCCACGGCATCAACCTGCGCGCGTTTGTCGCTTGGATTGTTGGCTTTGCACCCGCCATCGGAGGCATGGCATCGGTCAACCCCCAAAACAATGTGCCCGACGGCCTCGTCAAAGTTTTCTACCTGGGCTTCCCTCTGGGCTATGCGTTGTCGTTTATTGTACACTGGGGCCTGAACGTTGTGTTCCCACCGCCCGGCTTGGGCCAGGTTGATTCGTACGACTCGGTGAGTTTTGGCCACTCTGATTCTTCCATAATTCACTCTTGCCTTTGCTACATCCACTGACATTTATTAGTACGGCACGTTTTCGACCGAAGAAGCACTTGCTCTGGGTATTGAACCTAACGACGGCAACCGGGACGAAGGGGATCCAGAGTGGACCTCCAAAGAAGCCAATGTCGCGGAGGCTGCACTTTGAGAACCCATTAGTAAAGAATGTGAAGAGCGGCACCATATAGTCATTTCCAACTAACAGTCTTTTTAACTTTGCTTTAAATGTTTGATATAAGTGTATAAATAGCATGACTAAATCGATATAAGTCTGTGCATGTAAGGTGTCTCGTATGTGCTCCGCCGCTTCCTCCAAGACGTGAGAGTAATTACTCGTTCTGTCCTAGTCCACTGAGTCTGTTCAAGACGCCGTCCAGGTTCTTGATGGCTTCGAGTGTCGGTGGGTTCGGTACTCTCTCCCGCCATGTCTCTTTGCCATTTTCGTACACAACGAGTGTTGGCCACCAAACGACCTCTGCTTCTTTCTGGACGGTCGTACCAGGCTCAACGAGTCCATTTATCTATCGAGCAGAAATAGAAGAATTAAATTACCGTCATTTTATTGTAACGTTTTGGTCCTCTTTCATCTCTTACCTTAAAGAACCGAAATTTTGCGTTGCTCGCCTTGCCTGCCAGTTTCTCGTAGTGCGGCGCAATAACCTGCATTATGTTCGGTGTAAGCAATTTTGGTCTGAGCTCTCATCGCATATACACTCCTCACCTTGCATGGCGGGCATTGTGTCGAGTAAAAGTCCAGCACGACCACGCCGGGCTTTGCAAGCTCTGCCTCGTATGCCGTCAAGTCTGCTAGCTCAGCAATCTGTGTCGTCATGGTGTCGTCTGTGTGCTCTGTGTGCTCTGTGTGCTCTGTATGTTCTTTGCTGTCGGGTAGGGAATGCCATTGATCAAAATGCAGGCGACAGAGTGGTTTCCCATCCAGCTAAACTTATTATACCGCTACAGGAGCGGACAATTTGTGTTGGCCAGCGAATGGCGACATCGCCCTTGCACATTTCGTCGGCTTCAACGGTCTTTAGCGGGGAATGCTCCGTGCTCGGGGCACTAAGTGGGACTCGTCTCTAGGCTTGCATGGCCATGTGGCGGCAGGCAATGTTGTCTCGAATAATTAACTTTACGGTTGACTGACTCTGCGCGAACGACAATGCATCCTTTGGCTCCGACCAGTTGTGGATTACGGCCCTCACAACTACTCTACAACTTACAAACGGATCATTTGACGTCTCTGCTACGATCCATACACTAGAAATGAGAAATGTAAGGGAAGAAGCTTGTGTCATACATTGTTTAGCGGATGCTGACCATTTCGAAATCCTGCATGGGCCCAAACCCGATCGAGGGTCTCGTTGAAAGCCGTCCATCTCCGCACGGCAACAAGGGTAGCTAAGTGACGCTTGAAAGACTACGGCACATAGAAACGGCATTGTATTTTTCACGTTCGATATTTCGGTCTGCAGCGACTGGAATTAATTTGGATCGTGTATTTGAACGTCCAAATCACTGCTAGACTTGGCGATATACCTCTGTTGTTGTTGCTTAAGCTAAATGGCTATCGTGGACGTCCTGCCGGGTAAGTATTTGACCACCGACTCTCGGCTTTCCTGGGATCAGAGATTCGACCTAGACACCATACGCAAAGAACAGCTACATGGCGCAGTCGACCAAAAGTCCCTCCGATACAAAGACCAAAAATATGCACAGACGCCGATAACGACACTTGGGATCGTTGTGCACAAGGAGACAGGCAATGCTGGCTTCGCAGACGCGAAATGTCCACACTGGATCGTAAGTAAACCGAACTGTAAATGGCACTTTTACAGTCGGTGAGGATAGGATGGTGCGCCTTCATGTCACGCTGGTCGGCCACGGTATGACAGGCTTCAATACGTGGACCACTAACCCAGAAGGCTCGATCTGATGCGTTGGCTGTCTCCAAGAACGGTATTACTTTGCTGGAAAAGTAGTTTTGTGGCATGACACCTCCACATAGTATCGATACACACTCGCACAGCAAGACCGCTCTGCCGTTATGAACGTCATCCAGGCCGCTTTAAGTGATATCTAGCAATATAGTCCACGCACAGTCAACAACGACCTTTTAGATATAATTATATTGCACATAATTGCACATAATCTCGCTCTGGTATTCCAAACTGTCGCAATAACTTGTGAATGGCCACCTTGTCAGCATGCCACACGTTGAGATACTGGCAGATGGCGGGGATTTCGTATCGCGTCCGAAAGGCAATCCACCATTTGCACTGCGCAGCTTTGCCATACCAGAGGCAGAGAAGCAGGAGAGCGACTGGATCGCGCTGGTGCAGCAAGACTTCGAAAGCGTCGTGCATCTTGCTGGCCACCATGAGGACTTTGCCGAGAGAGGCGTTGTCGTAGGAGAGTGACAGGAGTCGTGATAACGAATGGGCCACGACAAAGTATGGGTTGGTTTCGCGTGTCGAGTACTCGTCGATGCCACAGATCCGGGCCAGGTCCGGCAGCAAGCCCTCGTTGCCCATGCGCGGCATTGGCGCCGATTTCCCGTGCAGGTCGCCGAGCACCTGAAACATGGGCCGGAACACACTGCCCTCGCGCATCGGATTGAGCATATGCCACAGCGTCATCTTGCCGGCGCCCAACCGCAGCCACTCGAGGTCGGAGGACGGCTCCGGCGGGCCCAGCGGCCACGCATCTTCAGGTCTCCTGGCTGTCGAGGATGCAAACGTGAGGATGGACAGCATACCGGCGCCCGACCAGATCGGGTCCTTGCGGTCCTCGGTCATGGGCTGGCTGAGCCAGTCGTTGAAGAGCGACGTGCAGCGGGCGACGTGGAAGAGCTCACGACCAGCCCGTGTGCTTGACCTGCTTGGCCAGTACGGAGCGACGGACGTGCTGCTCGGCTCGTCCAAGAGATAGCGGTCGTGCACGGCGGCAACGGCGAGCGTGCCGTGCATGAGGAATGGGTGTGTAAAGCATTTTTCGAGCATGTAGTTCTCGTAGATGTCTACCATGGCTTGTCCGCCGAGCGAGTAGAGAGTCCGGTTACGGAACTTGGTAAAGAGAATACAGTCCTGTGTGTCGAGCATGTACTGCGTGTGGCCATCGTTGGCCCAGATGCCATTGCTGGGCGCACTTCGGATGGTCGGGGGCGGTCGTCGGCGAAGTTGCAGTGCGTGTTCCGTGTTGTTGGACGTGGTACTCGGCTTGTCTGCAGTTGCTGCCTCTCCTGCGTCCCCTACAATCTCAGCCAGCTGGTGCTTGCTTGGGCCGCTTCTCTTCTCGGATATGGGCTGCAGATCTGGAACCGTAAGAGTGAAATTGCACAGGACACCGTACTTGCTGCATTTCGTGCAGTGTGGCCGCGTCTCATCACACTGGGGCAGTGTTAGCGGGCTGTGGAGGGGGGTTTGATACGTAGGATAGACAATGTAACGGAGGACAATGATGACCAACCTTGACCTTGCGGAGCTTGCAGTTGCGGCAGCCAAAGCGGGATTTGCGCCGGGCAAATAAATGCGGATTTGTCCGAACTGCTACCGTCGACATTCTATGGTGCCTTGCACTTCGAGAGAGAGTGTGAAAAGCGGTACACAGTGACAGAGAACACGAGAGTATGTGCGTGTGCATGTGCGTGTGCATGTGCGTGTGCGTATGCGTGTTGTGTGCGTGGTGTACGTCGTCATGATTGAGACGGACCGCAGGGAGAGACGATGTTTTCGTAATCCGCTCAACTGGAGCACCGTCAGTCGATAATTCCGTTCTTGGTCCTCATAAGTCCGGGCCAAGACCGGGGCGGTAATTCTAAGGTTGCGGTCGGACTTCTGGCTGGACCCACCCTCTTTCCTCGTCTCGGGTCGAGCCGCACATGATTGGCCAGAACAGGATGTCGCGGACCCACCTTTGATCCGGCAATGGCATCACTAAGCTGTATTTTGTACTCTATGCGTCGCTCGGACACGGCAAGAGGCGCGACAAGCAGGACGCAGGCGATGCGCATTCACGGACAGCGGACATCCTCAAACGCCGACATGCAGAAAGCAGAAAAGTATATAACAAGGCATGCAGTCGTGGCTGGCTGAGGTATAATCTTGCCACAATCCCGTCACCTCTCTCCCATACTCTTTGCCCTCAACAACATTGTTCCTCCCAAACATATCAAGTTTCACCACCAACGTCAAAATGCGTGTGTTCGTCACTGGATCGACGGGCTTTGTCGGCTCGTCCGTCGTCAAGGAATTCCTGTCGACCGGCCACTCGGTCGTTGGCCTCACGCGCAGCGAAAAGGGTGTCGAGCAGCTCAAGGCCCTCGGCGCTGAGGCTGTGAACGGGACCATTGAGGACGTTGCTCTTCTCGAAGCGACGGCCGCCACGGTGGATGCCGCTGTCCACCTGGCGTTTGTCCACGAATTTTCCAAGTTTGCCGAGGCCTGCGCCACAGACCGGGCCGCCATCACGGCGCTCGGCAATGGCCTCGTCAAGGCGGGCGGCGGCGCGCAGCGCTCGCTCGTCGTGACGAGTGGCACCATGCTCCTTGCCTCAAGCAAGCGCGGCGAGGTGCTCACCGAGGCCAGCCCCTTCCAAACAGCCAGCCCGCTGGCAGCTGCCCGCGGCCCCTCTGAGAAGGTCTGCCTCGACTTTGCTAAGAAGGAGAACGGCGGCCTGCGCGCCAGTGTCGTTCGTCTCCCCCCGGTGACACACGGTCCCGGTGGCGTGTCCGGGTTCGCGGGTCACCTGGCGTCCGTTGCTATCAAGACCGGCAAGTCGGTGTACGTCGGTGACGGCCAAAACCGCTGGTCAGCCGGCCACCGCGACGACGCGGCGCAGCTGTACCGCCTGGCTGCCGAAAAGGCCGAGCCTGGCTCCGTCTTCCACGCGTCCGTCGAGCAGGGCGTGCTGGTCAAGGACATTGCCACGGCCATTGGCAAGCAGCTGGGTCTGCCCATCGAGAGCCTCGAGGGCGACGCGGTAGATGCACACTTTAACTGGTTTGCCATCCCCTGCAGATCCGACAATGTCGTGTCCAGCCAGGTTACGCAGGAGACGCTGGGCTGGAAGCCGACTCACGTCACGCTCATGGAGGACCTGCCTGCTATTGTTGAATTTGCCAAGACGGCTGCGGCTGCAGAGACCAAATAGACCAACGTGGGCAAAAATGTCCACTCCTTGGGCGAGTTCACATAGGAATAGCATATCACCATTATATAGTAAATCGTCCATTTCAGATATTGCACGATTGTGCGACGTACATCTACCACGGCATGTTTTGTGAATCGGCAGACATGCCCGACATGTAGTAGTCAAAGCTCCAATCGGCCGTACCGGTTCCAAATGTGCTTTCGATAGCGTTGCTGGTGTTGTTGGTGTTGAAGAATTCGAGGACCAGAGGTAGGATGGCAGGCGGATTGATAATGTCGGCACGTCCATCGTACATGTCCATTCTCCCCCCGGAAAAGGCCGCCACATCAAGTTCCAATTCGGATGCAAGAGTGGCAGCGGCTGGCTGCACGTCTGGTGCGGGTGGAATAAATAAAGGACTGCCATCGTATGGCCCAGGGAGCAGTGTATTGGGAACAGCCACGTCGGGTCGAAGAGACTGCCGCTCCAAGTGAGAAGCAGATGCATTCGTTGTATGACGCTGCATTTGCACACGGCGCAGACCGAGATCATCGTTCGGCTGTTGTGCCACGCAAGAGTTGCGCTTGCTGCCGCTGTCTCGTGGCGCTTTTGCTGACGATGTTCTCTGTGGCTCTGCCGATCCGCTGCTTTTAGATGCCACACCGCCATACAAATCCCCAATAATACCCAGCCACCGTCGCATCGTGCCTGGCGTCTGGCGCTCGTCGCGGTGCTTCCGTGCGAGATCGGCAGATTTTTGGAAGAGGCTTCGGGTCTCCGAAGCGGCGGATACTTTTCGCTGCGCCGTGTCGCATATGAGGCTCAAAACGAGAACCAAGGTGGCCGAGTACAGATAGTACACATCCAGTCCGGTCTGTGCATTGAATTGGCCGAGCTCGGCGAGTTGGAGCAGCAAGACGATGGCCTCCCGACCCGAGTCCTGGCAGGCATCCGCAATGGCCGTGGCCGAGCAGGGGCTCGAGAGAGTAAGTGCTGTGACGCTGTCGCTGGGCATGCCGCCGTCGTATCCAAACGGGGAGTCCGACCTCGGTCCTCCCTTTTGCAACGACGTGTATCGGGACAGCAACGCATGGCGCGCCACAAGGCACACGGTATAGTGGTACTGGATGTGCAGAAGCAATGTAGCACGCTGGATGCCCGGCGGCGCATATCGCACGGCGTCGATGCATAGGTGAGCCGGAAGTGCTGCGTGCCACCGCGTCAGGTCACGGAGGAGAGCGACCGCCGGCGCCAGGGGTCCGCCGTAGTTTGTCCGTACGGTCTCAGGCATGGCGTTGGCCCGTCCCAGTAAAAGCGTGAGACGGCTTGCGTGCTCGGCGTGTCCGTATCGCACCGTACTGGCCGGCGGCAGAGGCTGCACGTGCCGATTCACTACGGCGCTGGGTCGGTCATGCGACGACACCTGCAGCTGCTCAAAGGCGTACAGTGTCCACCAAATCGTTTTCCGCATGGCACGAAGAAGCGGCGGGGTGGATGCGGCCGTCGTATCGTTGTCGACGAGGCCAGGGCGATGGAGTCCAATGGCATAGCCCAGACGCAGAGCGGCACCCGTCAATGTCCAGCAGACGTCGCGTGAATTAGTGTTGTGCAGATGCAGGCTGGCGAGCAAGAGGGCTTGGATGGAGGCGAGGCTAGAGGTGAAGAGGACCGTGGGCAGAAGGGCCTCAATCTGAGCCCAGAGCCACAGCGCATCGGAGTCATCGTCCGTGCGGTTATGGGTGGTGGGAGTGGCGAGTGATACGTGCAGCCGCCCAAGAATTATGACACAGTACACGATACACAGCCAAACCCGATCAAGAGATGCCCTTCGGGGTGTCCCTGGGCCGGATTGCGTCTTTGTTTTCATGACAAAATCCAGTGTTTCCAAAAACAAGACTTCATGCAGAACTGGGAAGTCGGTGTTGACATGCTCGAAGAACGCATGGACGCTGGAAAGCACCTCAGCTGACTGCGGCCCTGACAACAGCTCCATTCCTGCTGCAACGGCTGCTGCAGCTGCTGGTTGCACTGCGCCACAGCGACCAGACGACAAACGCCGGACTCGGTTGGCTGGCGGGTGGAGATCTGTCATATCTTCCGTAGCCAATTCCGCAACAGCCTCTGGCGATGTCGTTGCGTCTCGCATGGCATGTGATGCCGCTGCCCCGTGCTGTCGCAGGAGAACGTCCTTCTTGTCGACCGGATTGGGGCCAAACAGCTGCATTTGGCCGGCATCTGCGCTGCGACCTCCACCCACCAAAGTCTGCAGGTGGATCTGGAAGTAGTATGAACTGGCCTGGCCAATGTACTGTTGCTGGCCTTGGCGGTCCTGGACGAGGGCTTCGCTGTGGCTGCTCGACGTGGACGACATGGCAGGCGACGAAGGTGGTGGCGATGTATAAAACGCGTTTGTGACTCTGCTAGGCAACGGCTGCGTTCGTCTGGGTGTTCGTCGCATCCCAGAATCTGATGGCACGCACATCGATGCATGGAGTGTGTTGGTCGTTGATGCATCGTGGTCTTGAGCAGTCGTCAGCTCTGGGCTGTGATTCCGTGACGCATCGGACGACAGCGGGATCCCCAGCTCCCTTCCCACGCAATGAAGGCTCTCGAGACTCGTAACGTCGGCCTCTGGCACCAGCCCCTTGATCAGCTCCTCCATGGCCTCCATGCGCGCACTGTACGCTTCGACAAGCACACCGGTCGCGGTGGCAGCAGCAGCGGCCGCCGCTGCTGCCGGTGGCAAACGGGGTTTGCGTGGTTTGGTGACGATGCATTCATAGCCGTACTTTTCGCAGTGGCAGCAGCGGTCCGAGTCGGCGCCCGTAATGCGGCGGCATTTGTGCTTGCGCGTCTTACAGCGGTCACAGCTGTTCTCGGTGCGCTGCCGCAGCTCGGCAGGCACACGCCGGCTCTTGCGGTTCGTCGATGTCGAGCCGACGGTGCTCATGGTGGGATGGGGCTAGGACTGCGGCACGACGCAGTCGACGTCGTCGTACTTCGCCCATCTGTTGCTTGGCATAAAGGAACGACCTGGTTCAATGGTTCCCAGTCTGTCGAATCCACCGGCCAGTCCCCTGCTTCTTCCTCAGATTGTTCATTGAAGACTTCAGAATGCAGATGTTAAGTTGGAGGTCTCTAGATTGCTTGTCCCCAGAACGGAGGCTCGGAAGACGGGATCCATATATCAACAGCCACGCGAGATAGCTTGCCTGTTTGCCGTCATCCGTTGTCTCCTCATTTATCGCATTTGGCTACTTTAGCGCATATTTAGTGGTTTTGTTACCGTTCTGCTGGGCGTTTGCCGCTGTTTGGTGATATCGCCGCGGCTTGCCTGTCATCCGCGCTCCACTTACAGCGGGGCTTAGCGCCTGGACGGCAGGCCGACAGGGCATCTAGGTGTCTTTACGGCTGAACTAAACCTCCAGCGACGGGCGGGGGAGCGTAACGTTATCAATGCTGCACCTGTTTGGTATCTGGACAAGCAAGTCAAGTCAAGGTCGGCGACACAACCGTGAGGGGATGAGGGCACAGCGATGATAATATAAAGGAGGCCGTGTCGAGTGTGTCTGGGGTAAATATGAGTAGTTGGACACGGATTCCATGCGCACAAAATTTTGGGATCCTCTACTTTTTTTTATGTTCACCACCTGAGTCTTTGTTACCTGTCGACCAGAAAATGGGCCAACCCGGAGCCATAGATATCCAGGAGCAGCCCTCCTCCGAGGACTTTCGCTCCGAGAAGCACGACAAGCCAGAACCCGCGTTCCTCAAGGCCACCAGGGACGGCATCCCGCTGCATCCACAGCCCAGCGATGACCCGGAAGACCCGCTGGTAAGAGGCCAAACACAACTCCAACTGCTTTCAGTTTGCCGGAGCCAGGGACCCGAGAAACTAACACGGCGTCTCCTTACCTGCAACGCACAGAACTGGAGCCCGCTCCGCAAACATGCCGCCCTTGTCGTGCTGGCCATGGAGTCACTGATCATCAAGTTTTCCAATACCGTCATTGTGCGTCACAGCACCCCGGATAACACTCTATTTGCCGTCTAACATGCCGTGGCTAACACACTGGTGGCTTACTTTACCCTTAGGCCCCTGGTGCCCACACGCTCGCCGCCCAGTTCGGCACAGCTGCGTCTACGGCATCGTACATTGGGTCCGCCCCGTCTGTGCTCTACGCCTTCGCCCCGTTCTTGTGGATCCCGCTCAGCCACCGCCTCGGTCGTCGCCCGGTCTTGTTGGCCAGCCACTTGGTCGCGCTGTTGGCCGCCATTGGCGTCGGCCGTGCCCAGTCGTACTCGCAGGCGCTTGGCTGCCGCATGCTGATGGGCTTTGGCGGCAGCGCGGGTCTCTGCATCAGTACTGCGGCCATTTCTGACATGTTCTTCTTGCACGAAAAAGGCACCCGTCTTGGGCTGAACGGCATGCTCTTTGTGGTTGCGCCGTACATTGGCGGTGTGGCGGGTGGTGCAATCCAGCAGAACAAACACCTTGGCTGGCGCTGGGCCATGTACATTGCCGCCATCTGCTACGCCGTGCAGCTGGTTCTGCAGTGCCTTCTCGTGCCGGAAACCATCTACGACAAGGACGTCGCTGCTGCCGAGCCCCCCGAGGCTAAAGCGACTTTGTACCGCCGCCTTGGTTTCCGCACCCCAAAGCCTGCACCGGGCGAGACATGGGCTGCCACGTTCCGCATGCCGTTCTCCATGTTCGCATACCCCGCCGTCGTTCTGCCGTGCTTCTGGGCCTCTACTTGCATCATGACCGAGGTGGCCAACACGGCCGGCCTGAGTCTCAACTTTGGCTCTGGCACGCGCTTCGACTTTTCCGTCGCCCAGGTGGGCTACTGCTTCTTCGCCGGCCTGATCGGCTCCTCCCTCGGCGAGGTCTGTGCCGGTCCGCTCTGTGACTTGACCGCCAAGCGCAGTCTGCGCAGCGGCGTCGCGTGGGTGCCCGAGAAGCTGCTCAAGCTGTTCCTGTCCGGCCTCTTCACCACGTTTGCAGGCCTGCTTGTCTACGGCTTCACCCTCGAATACGTGCAGACGTCGCAGTGGGCAGTGCCCCTCGTCGGGCTGGGCCTCTTTGTGTTTGGCCAGGAGATTGTCGTCACCGTGCTTCTTGCTTACATGACCGAGTGCTACCGGGACCGTGCGGTCGAGTGCACCATCGTCTTCCAGTTCTTCCTGAACCTCATGTGCTTCCCGCCGCCCTTTTTCACGCCGCTCTGGATCGCCAAGAAGGGCGGCGCCAAGGTACCCTACATTGTGTATGCCCTGTTGCCGGTTGCCTTCTTTCCGCTGTGCATCCTTCCGTTCATGCTCAAAGGGCAAGCTATCCGTAAAAGGGGGGGTGTCCTCGCTTTCTGGAAAAGGCGTCAGTAGGCGTTGTGGCATGTAGCATCACAGGTGATGGGTTCGTCCATTTCGACCATAATCAGTGTCACGGGTACAAATTAATAGTTGCCACAATTAAATAGACAGCAGCATTTCTCAGATACTTTAATTACAGAGGTCAACCACCTTGAAAAGTACCGCGAGAAATTACATGTTCATAACATCTTCCATTACGGTCATGACATAAAAACATATTGTAAGGCATTCTGGGATGTGGACAGTTATTCAATTCAAATATTAGTTACAAGTCGCCTCCACCCACTGACAGCTTCTCTTGGCTTTTCTTCTTTTCCCGAAACAGCTGACAAACGGATTCCATGTCAGCTGTCAAGTCGTGCTCCCAAATCCACAGGAAGCGCACGTTGAGGTTCTCGACGATCTTGCCCATGTCGTCGCCGTAACGCGGGTCCGAGCAGGCATACATGGCGCCCAGTTCTTGGCTTGTCTGCACGACGCGCTGGGCGCGTGGCCGCCGCACCGCATCGTAGGCCGCAAACGCTGCCTCGAGATCCTGCCAGCGAGCCACGCGACCGAGCACGTGCGAAAGGATGAGGGCGTCTTCGATGCTCATGCCGGCGCCCGAGGCCTGGTGCGGCGTTGTGGCGTGGGCCGAGTCGCCGAGAAGGCACAGCAGGCCATTGTAGTATGTAGATGTCTGGATGTGATGGTGGAGCGCCCACTGCACGGGCTCGGCACATTCGATGAGCTTGACGAGACGATCGTCGACATTGAGGAAATCCATGCGGATCGTCTCCAGAGGAACACGGCGGGTCCACTGTGGGTGTGTCCACGGCCCATCCACAAAGCGACACGCCACTATGTTGCATTCAGTGCCGGACGAGATGGGATACGTCATGATGTTGACACCCGGCCCGTTGAAGCACTTGGCATCACCGGCATACTCTGCGCCGAGCACGGTCTGAGCTGTGGCCATGGGCACGATCGAGCGGTAGGCGTACTTGCCGCTAAAGACGGGAGCGACTTCCTCGGGGTAGCCAGCCGGAGCCAAGACAAATCCGCGCGAGGTACCCTTCACGCCGTCACAGCCAATGACAGCCGTAGCCGTCGCCTTCGTGCCGTCTGAAAAAGACAGGACACACCGACCTTCACTTGCAAACTGCTGCATGTCCGTCACGCGCTTGTTGAACTGCACGGCATTGTCCGGGATTTTGCTGGTAAGGATGTTCAACAGGTCGCGGCGATGTGCGCTGGTCCGCTCGTAGCATTCGGCGCCAAAAGGTCGAGGTGTCCATCCGCGCGTCTCGCCGAGCCCAGGCTCCGCATACATGGCTTCCATGGCCACGTGGAGCTTCTCTTCCGACAGGTTGCCCGAGGAAATGGTGTCGTAGAGTGCCCGCAGCTCGGGGCTGATGAGATACAGGGCCCGGAGAGCGTTCGGGCCAAGACCGACGCCAGCGCCGATGACGCTGTACTGTGCGGCGGACTCGTATATGGTAAAGGCCACGTTGTTGCGGAGACAGCCCACGGCCAGGGATAGACCGCCAATGCCAGCTCCGACAATGGCAATGTGAATTGGTGGTGGTGACGGCTCCGGTGATCTTGACTCGGACGACTCGGCGGACTTGGCGTCGGAAGTTGTGGACTGCCTCGGCACAGTCTCGTTCGGCGCATATCGACGACCAACGAGCCGACGGAAACGGGACAGGACGACGCCCATTGTGATGAAGTACTATTGTGATGGTAAATGTCAGCTTGGTTGACGTCCTGTTTCTGAACTGTTGCCGTCGGTGATCCTGCCTATGGTTCATAATCGATATTGCTGGCTCGGCCAAGTGAGTTACAACTAGCCATGGGCAGCCTCGGTCTCGTAGATAAAGGCATGTTTGATAAGTCAATTAATTATCCTTTCCTGACAGCAACAAGTCTTTGCCACGGAAATACTGAACGACCATCGCAGGATACCAGGCAAGCGGCGTCTGCCCGTTCTTGGCTCTGAGCCCCGGGAGCCAGCAGTCCGCAGCGTTGGACACTATCAGTGAATTGTCTTGGCCCATCGCGGGTTCTCTGGCAACCCGCGCGACAAACTCATACTAGCCACAGGTAAGAACATCGGAACAGAGACAAAGGAGTCACGCAGCAACCTGAATCTGACACTCGTATGAGTGAGAATGCTTCACGGTGTGAAAATGATCAAAACGAGGGAAATTTGGGCGGCGAGGGGAGGTGCAAAGAAAAAAAACAGCACTTGAGGCTACGGTGCCATGTAGAATACAAAACTCGAAATGATGTTCGTGGGACATGGTCGAACTGAAGTATGCCACTGGTGTTTCATATCTTTTATTTTTTTTCTCATTAAATTCATCTTCCTCCGTATCGTTACCGTTGACAGATTTATTTGTACGATTTCATTCCGATCTAATAAGCGATTGCGTTCCTTATTTTGTTTTTATTGTTCCTTTTCCTTTTGACTAAATTTTTATTAAATGCCCTTGAATTTTTTTATTTTTATTTTTTATTTGTTTTCCTGTTCTTTATTCCATTACGATATGTTTTGTTACGTCTAGTCTTGAATTCAACTTAAATTTAAACTACCAATAAAAATTTCTCGTAATTTTTAAACCAACTGTTTAATGGTTATTCGTTTCGGTGATTTTGAAAACATGTCATGCCACAAAGATGGCCTTCGCCGAGACAACCCGACGACATCGTGGACACTTCTAGAACTGCAGCGAACCGAATCGCACAGTGTCTTGGCGATTTGGGGAGGTTCGGAGTCCAGTAAAATGCCATTTTTTCCTGGCAATCGTGCTGTTTCGCGCTGTTCGCACTGTAATTCCAGTAGACCACAGCCCTGTTTGCACTATTTCCGGCGCGTTAACCCCGCAGGTCCATGGCACGTGAACAGCGCCGATGACTTAAGCGGCCAATTTGTTGTACCTTTTGTGGCCTGCACGTCATTGCGGCGTTTGCCTCCCCACTTTGCCATCTGCTCCTGCGCTGATAAAAGCAGCTATTTAGAGCCTTTTGCTTTTGAACGGCGATTTTGCCCTCTTTCATCATCGCCATCACCACATCCATCAAGACAACCATCACAGCCACACCATGATCGTCTTACCGCCCGCCATGGGCCCGACCGCACTGCGGCGCCTAGCGCCCCAAGTCGTCAAAGCGTCGCCGTCGGCACTGGGTATGCGCGCGTTCCACCACCAGTCGGCCGTCAAGAACAGCTTCTTCACGTCGCGGACGACCATCGCCAACGCCGCGAAAAAGATCTCGACAACCACCTCCTCGACCCCCGCCGCCTCCCTCCTGACCCGCCTCGCGGGTGCCTCGCGGTCGTACTACCAGCAGACGCACCAGACGGTGGCCCAGGCGTCGCCGATGCGCAAGCTGCTGGTGGGCGGCGCCATCTTTGGCGGCACGCTGATGGCCGTCAACATGGTCTTCAACCGGGAGACGCGCGAGGACGGCGGCATGCCGCTGTTTGAGCGCGAGTACCTCAACAACACCTTTTTGCACACGGGCCTGGGCGTCGGCATCATTGCCATGTCGGCGCGCGCCATGATCCAGTCGGGCTTTGTGTTCCGCATCATGACGGCCAACCCGTGGGCGGTCGGCATCGGTGGACTGGCACTGTCGTTTGGCACCATGATCGGCACGCGCGCCATCGACCCGGATAACTACCTGCCCAAGTACGCTCTGTGGACGGCCTTCAACGCCACGCAGGCTGCCTTTGTTGCCCCCCTCCTGGCCTTCGCCCCCGGCGCTCTGCTGGCCCGTGCCGGCCTGTACACCGTCGCCATGATGGGCTCGCTGTCGATTGTCGGTGCCACGGCCAAGCAGGAGAAGTACCTGTACCTCGGCGGCCCGCTGCTGGCCGGCTGTGCCATCGTGCTGGCGTCGGGCCTGGCGCCGCTGATCATCCCGGCGACGGCGGTGCGCACGCTGGCTTTCACGGAGAACATTTGGCTCTGGGGCGGCCTGGCGGTGTTTGGCGGCTTCACGCTGTACGACGTGCAGAAGGTGCTGTACCACGCGCGGCTGGCGGAGCGCGGCGTGATCAAGCGCGACCCGGTCAACGAGAGCATCTCGCTGGAGCTGGACTTTTTGAACATTTTCGTCCGCATGGTGCAGATTCTGATGATGCAGCAGAATCGGCGGAAGTAGAGGAGAAAAAGCACAACAGCTTTCTGGCCCAGATAGAATAGCTTAGCAGTCGACAGACGCTGTACAACAATCTCAATTCATTTCATACTGACTCAAGCAAAGATACTGCGGTGATATTATGTCTATTATGTTCAATTTTCTCAGTACGTGACTCGTGAATGCCAACAAGCAACTGACTTTCTTATGTCCATCGTTCTGCCTCGCAACACGTCCGCACGTCACTTCAGCGCGGGAAACGATCGCACGTAGTGGCTCGCGCACACGTAGCCGTCCGGGTTGTTCACCAGGTACAGCTGATGGTAGTCCTCGGCATCCCACCACTGCTTCGCCGGCAGGATTTCGGTGACAATCTTGCCCTTCCACCACTGCTCGTTGGCCTGTGCCGTCACCTCGCGCGCAATCTTCTCCTGCTCGGCGTCGTGGAAAAAGATGCCGCTGCGGTACTGCGTGCCGCGGTCGTTGCCCTGCTGGTTGCGTGTGGTCGGGTCGTGCATCTTGTAGAAGAACTCGAGCAGCTGCCGGTAGCTGACTTGCGCCGGGTCGAAGGTGATTTGGGTCGCCTCGGCGTGGCCCGTGTTGCCGCTGCACACGGCGCGGTACGACGGGCTGGCAGCGTCGCCGCCAATGTAGCCGACGCGCGCATCGTACAGGCCCTTGCCCTCAAAGTGCTTGCGATACTCGTGCTCGACGCCCCAGAAGCAGCCGGCGGCGATCGTCGCCTTCTGGGCGCCTGCGGGAGCGCTGGACGCCAGCGCGGCAGCAGCGGCCGCGGCAGCAGAGGGCTCGGCGGCAGACATGTGGAAAGAGGAGCGGAAGCGGGTAGAGAGGCGGGCGAGGGACGAGGGGATCGAGAAGCCCATGAAGGTGAGTTGGTGATGGATGCGATTCGTTGAAGTGAATTGGAGTGCGCACGTTGCTTGTGCTGAAGCGAGCTCGGTCTTGATTGACTTGATGTTCAATTGCCAGCAAATCCGGGCATGTCTGGAGGATTATATACGTCGTATGTAGGAAATGTCAAATGTCAAAACGGTCCAACAAAGCCTCGACCGGTTACTACATAAGCCGAAACCGAGTGTATTCGTCATACGTTATTTGCCCCAGCAGTTCCGTGGGGTAGTTTGTAATCTTACTACAGTGGGTCTGTAAAAGTGACGCGTCTAAATCAAAAATCCCGCTAACACCAAAAAATTCTTGACGCGACAAGAAAAATATCACGATTTTCAACAACCATAGTGTTATGATCGATTCGTGGCCGAAGGCCACGAGTCCAGTGACTAGGCTTACCTAATAGGGCGCGGTGTGGTCCTTAACCACACGTTAGCGCCACGTTAATAAGAAGCCTTTCTCCTTAAATAAGAGGACTCCCTTCTTCTTAAAGGGAAGAAGGGGTAAGAATTAGTCTCTGTTATAATATACACCTACCTTCGTCCTCGAAACTAGTGTTTTTTATTAACTAATTTATTGTGAAGACTTATTTTATAACCATTTATAATATATAACGTATTTAATTATACTTTAAATATAGTTAAAGTCGAATATAGTCTTTATAAACAGACTAGAATTATAGTTTTAAAAGAATCCGGGTATTTTTATATATAAATCGTAAAAGTCGAGGACGTAAACCCGAAGTTAATTTTTAATATAGTTGTTACGTTTATACGTATTACGTGTTATAATCGATTCGTAACCGAAGGCTACGAATTAAGTAACTAAGTTTACACTTATATAATAAGACGTAGTATAACTAGTTCCTAACCACACACTAACACTACGTTAGTAAAAAACCTTTCTCCTTAAATAAAAGGACTCCCTTTTTTCTACCGGGAAAAAGGGGTAAGAATTAGTCTTTATTATAATATACACTTACTTTCGTTTTTAAAACTAATACTTTTTATTAATTAATTTATTATAAAGACTTATTTTATAATTACTTATAATAATTTTAATTCTTTTTTTACGGATACCTTTTTACAATAATTAAAAGAAAAGAAGTAATAAACCTACTTTTTACTGGGTCGAGTCGAGTTATACGTTCGTATTCGTAAAGTCTTATAAGTCTTTCGTAAGTAAACGTCGACTTTATCTCCGAAAACTTTAACTTATAATTAACGGTCGAAGACTCGACCGAATCTTCGGGTATTAAAATAGTAATAATAGTACTAATTAATAGTAGAAAGGGAGAAAAAGGTAGTAAGATTAGTACTATTACGGAAAAATAAGTAAAAAAGAAAAACGACGAAGAAAAAACGTTTAAAAAAAGGTTAGTAACGTTTAAAAGAAAACGAACTTTTAAAGAAAGAATTACGGTTTTAAAGGACGTAAAACGTTAACGAGTCTTTCGTTAAAGTAAAAAGATTAAAGATAAATTTACTACTTTTTTTTTAATTCTATTATTTAAAGAAAATTCTTTTAAACCGAATAATAGTTTAAAAGTCGACGGAGAAACCTAAAAAGGTCGTAAGTTAAAAGATTTAAAAATATAACTATTATTTAAAGTTTATAAGAATTATTTTACTTTTAAAGACTAAAAATTTTAAATTTTAAAATTAAAAATAATATTTAAAATTAAGTCGTATAAATTCTCGAATTTTTATAATCGAGTCGTTATTATTTATAATTATATAAATAAACTATTTAAAAGGTAGTAAAATTAATATATACGTAACGTTAAAGATTTTAAAAAACGTCGACGACTCGAACGTTTTTAAAATAAATTTAAAGAGTAAATAACGATACTCGTTTTTATTATAAACGACTCGTTGATATAAACTTATAAGTTATATAAAAAGGTACGTTCTTGACTTAATTAACCGTTATTTAAGTTTTTAAATTACTTACGTTTTTTAAAAGAGTAAATAACGTCTTTTTTAATAAATTTAAAAAAGAAACTTTTTACTTTAAGTTAAATAATTAACTTAAGTATACGTTAAATAAAGTTATCGATTATAAAAAAATTAACCTTCGAGACTTATACGTAAAAACCGAATTATTATTTATATAACGAGTAAGAAATCGTTTTATTAATAATACTCGTAATTCGTAAAAAAGTCGTAAACGACTCGGTAATAAATTATAAAAAAACGTATTTTAAAAAAGGAAGTGTTAATACCGTTCGAATAGTTATAAAAATCGTAAAAACGATAAAAAGAGAAATATAATAAACTTTTAACCTTTTCGTTTATAAAATAAAAAGAAGTCGTAAAAAAACCCTCGGTTATTTACTTTAAGTATAATAAAGTAGGATATTACGTAAATAACTATTTAAAAAACGTACTTATTTAAAATACTATTATTAAAAAGTCCGTTAAGTTAAAAAACCCTTAATTACCTTTTTCGAGTCTAAAAAAAAAAACGATAAAAATAAAATATAAATTATTAAGGAACGTATTAATAATATATTATAAAAGAGTCGAAGAAAAAACGACTATTACTTTAAACACTATCGTAAAGTTAAATATTATAAGTATTTAATTTATAAAACGACTTTAATTATAAAAAACGAAATATCCCGATCCGGTAACGCGTTTAATAAACACCTTCGAAACTTAAATATTTAAGATTTAAAACGTCTTTATTACTTTTACGGATTTCTATAAAAGAATTAAAAAGACGATTCGTTTTTATATCGTACTCGATAAATCGGAGAGTTTAAATATTAGTCTTATTTTATTAAGTATTATAAATTTAAAAACGTTAAATATTAATATTTTAATAAAAGTATTATAACGTTTCATATATAAAACCTTAAAGATTTATATTAAGATTTTAAAGAAGTTTACGAAAATTATACGAAACGAAACGGTGGTATATACGGTTATAACGTTTTAATAGTCCCGAGTAAACGTCTTTATAAAGACTATCCTTTCGATACGGAAAAGTAAAAGAGTCGTAAAAAAGTCGTATTACCCGTTAAATTAAAAGACTATTATAAGTGATTGTAAAATAGGTCTTTATAATGGATTAGTTAATAAAAAGTATTAGTTTCGAGGGTGAAGGTAGGTGTGTATTATAATAAAGACTAATTCTTACCCCTTCTTCCCTTTAAAAAGAAAGGAGTCCTTTTATTTAAGGAGAAAGGCTTTTCACTAACGTAACGTTAACGTGTGGTTAAGAACTAGTTATACTACGTCTTATTATATAAACCTAGTTACTTAATTCGTAACCTTCGATTACGAATCGATTATAATAATTATCCTCTTTTTTTAATAAACTAGGTTTTAGTTTTTCTTACGACTTCTTTTAATTTTTTTACTTTTACCCGAGTAAAAAGTATCGAAAGTTATAATTAGTTCTTTAATTATATACGATAGTCCGTTAATTCGTATATAAGTTATTTTATAATCTTTTATATTATATAATAGTCCGGTTTATCGATTATCGACGTAGTATAAGGTTTAAAAGTATTAAACGTATTTAAACTATTTATTATTAAACGTCGATATTTAAATAAATATTCTCGTTTTCGGTTAAATATTATTTAACGTCGTCGTTTTCGTAAAGTATATTAATAATTATATAATAAATAAGTAACGGTAAATGTTCGTAGGTTATTCTCACTTAAAACGTTTATTCGTAAATATCGTTTTTTTATAAACGTTATTTACCCTTATCGTTCCTTTTTTATATACGAGTATAAAACTAGTTACTCGATTAAGTTTTTATTATAATTTACTTTTACTCTTTTTACTTTTTACTTATTTTTAATTTAACGAACGTTTTTTAAATAAATTATTTTTTACTCGTAAAAGAATCGTAACTCGTTTTCTTTCCTTTTTTCTTTTAATACTTCGTAAAATTATCGACTATTTATCGTTTATAAATCGTTAATCGAACTTTTTTAATAACTTTTTTTTATTCGTTAATATATTATAGTTTATTCGTTCGAAAGTCGTTTTTAATTAATATTTTTTAATATACTTTTTAAAACTCTTTAACGTTATAAATACGGTAAAGATAAGTCTTTAAACGATATTATAATAAGAATTTCGTAATTTTTACCCTTTATCTTTTTATTTTTATATAATAACGTAAATAATTCGGGTTTAACCGTTTAACGTTTATCGACCGTATTAAACCGTACGTTTATTCGACGTATTACGGACTTATTTCGTTACTTACTTACTCTTTTTTACACTAATTAACTTATAATATTAAAGGTTAAAGAATACGTCCGTATTCGTATTATTACTCGGTATATTAGTATTAATTTACTTATAAGTCGTTCGATAATTATTAAACCTTTTTAACTTTAACTTAATATATTACGGTTTATTTAATAAGTAACTTTACTACCCGTAAAAGAACTTTAATTACGTCCGTTCTTTTCGGGTTTATCGTTTAACTCGTTTATAATTTTATTTATTCCGTTTTTTAAAACTACTTTTTTTATACTTCGTTTTTAAATTATAAACCTTTTAAACTTAAACCGTTTTTAACCGTTTAATAACTTTACGTTTTATAACGTAATTATAAGTCTTTTAAATATTAATCGTTTTCGGTTTATTATAACTTTTATTACTTTTATAACTCGACTATATATTATTAATAATACTACTCCCGTTTTTTTATAATATAAACCTCGTTTACGGTTTTTTAACACTTTATTTATAAAACGTCGGACTATAATACCTTTAACGATATATATTTAAATAAAAATAGTAATATAATAAATAATAAATTTAATAACGAGTCGTTAAAGATTTAAAATAACGACGACCCCGAACCGGAGTTTATTACCGACCTTTAAGTTTATACGTATATTACTTATCTTTTTAATACGGTTAATAATCTTTAAAACGTTAACCTTCGTTAAACTTTATATTATATATATAAAGTAATAACGAGATATTAACGATATAAG